TCTGCGGGGAAGAGGGGTGAGTCACACAGTACATATTTGGTGATCACCGCGGGGGTGAAGCAATTGGGGGGTGGAAGGACAACCCGGGGGCGAACTCTAACCTCGACGACCGTCACATGGTGCAATATACTCCGATTGATGGCTATCCTCCGACGGAACGACTGTGTAGGCAGGTCAGCGCCCAATACTGATCTCGACGCGAACGAAGGTATGTATATGATGTCATACTGTAGACGTCGACCTCTTTCTCCTGCATCAATTGCCTCAACCTTGTCAGGCGCTGGGAGGTGTCCACCGTCCCCATATCGACGGTGTATCTCGGACGGGAGGTCGAAAATAGCCTTGTGCGAGGGAGGGGTAATGATCGAGCTGATCGGACGGCCGATGATAACCAGGGTAGGCGAATCGGATGGTACGAACAGAGCATCGACGGAGGATCGAGACGAGAGAAAATGCAGGTGTCCGAAGCAGTAGACGAATCCCGTCAACACGGTTTGCAGGCACAATCCCTTTGGATTGTTGCACAGAGGGTGGGAGGAAAGGAGGAGGGGGAGAAGAGGAGCTGGAGCGATGGAGGGGAAGATCACTAAAGGTTAGGCACGGATACAATGTATGATCAATGAGAGCAAATCGGATAGAGCAGCTAGTTAACTTAGTGAGTCGCGTTGCAGTAACCTCAGGCGGAGATGGGGATCCATTGGGGAAGCGATAAGCCTAGCTTAGTAGTAGCTCTGATACCGTCGAATACGCCATGGTTGGGCTATTTGGTGGGTCATTTACAATACTCCTGTATCATTACCATTATTTCTACAGTAACCACGTATTGTTTTTGATCCGAGCGTTTTCCCAGTTAGAAACACAATACAGTCATCTCTCCTTCATTAGTATATTACCTAGTTATGGGTTGACTGACATCGCCAGTTGCTGCTCTTTATTGGAATGTCATAAATCATCATAATTCCCTTGTGGACACAATTCCTTTCCCGCATCTGATGCGGTCAAATACCCAGCACATTGTGGATTGATCTAGTAAGTCCACCAGGAGAAATTATAATAATAATCAACACCATCTCCCCCCGGCTTAAAATAGCCCAAATACTGAAATAGCCAACGATACTCTTCTCTCTGTGGATGCTGCCCCTCATTCTGTGACTCCCTCTCCATCCCACTTTCACCGCCTGACCGTTGTGTGGTAGTGTTATCAGCACGTGACCCCCCGTTATAAGCCACTCGTGGGCATCGTAAATCTATATCCTTTCGTTTCCCCCTCCAAGACGGTCCTTGTCGCGCTCAGGCTATGTCGATGAACATCGCAGCCCAGGCCTCGGACGTACAGCTCCTCGTCGACGAGGCCCGGTCGGTGAGTCACGCATGTGGTCGAGACGGTCGAGCAATGAGCTAATGTATCTCTCCAGCTCGTCTCGCAGCTGTATGACCCGGCCAATACGGGAAATCCCGCCAAGATCAAAGTGATCCAGGAGCAGTTACAGGGATTCCAGAAAGGTCCCCAGGCGTGGCTGGTGGCCAACAGTCTGCTAAATGAGGATCACACAGACCTGAAATTCTTCGGTGCCTTGACCTTTACGGTCAAAATCAATCAAGACTGGTGTGTTCCCCTTCGATTCAGGAGTCGGGGCCAACTGACAGCGACAGGCAACAATTAAGCGACCAGGAGGGACAGGAGTTGCTGGGTCGACTAATAGATCACTATGTCTTTCTGGTGAACGGAGGAGGACAGCCCTTCGTCATACGGAAGCTGGCAACGAGCCTCGCAACCATCTTTTTGAAGGCGAACTCCCCTTGGGCGCATGCGATTTGGAACCTTGCTGCGTCACTGGCGAATGGGAAGTATATCTCTGAGGAACAGTGTCAGTCTGTAGACTTGCAAAATGCTGTTCTTCCCGCCATGGCAGAACGACAGGTGATGGCATTACTGTATTTCGCCAATATCTTGGGAGAGGAGATCAATAAGTGGAGCTCCGAATCTCGTCGGGGGGCCGATAGTGGTCGGATCTCCAAGAATGCCCAGGATGCCTTCCTTGTCGTTGAGTTTGTGCTCCGCCATATCGTGCAGCAGGAGGTTTCCGGCAACCCTCTATCGGATGGTTCGCTGGGGATTGAGGCCATCAATGCTTTTCATGTAAGTTTATTCCTTGGTTGTGCGACACATGTGGCTGCATCTAACGTCGGTCGACTTCCAGTCATGGATGGGCGTTCGAAGTGCTCTTCAGCTACGTGACACAATACCTGCTTCGCAGCTGAGCTCTACCACGAACTATGTGATTCAGAGTATGAAAATCTCAACTCTGTCTAAAACAGCGACACAGGTCCTCGTTGAGCTCATAGACTGGCGCGACAGCATCTCCACTCCGGAGCATCTCAGCGCGGTTTTGGAATACATTATTAGCGACTTTGGCTCCAGCCATATTGCTGCACTGATGGAGTCTGATTTTGACGAAGACAACCTGACATTTTTGGAGCTACTTCTGGCTTACTCAACGCTCAAACAAAGAGAGATCTTGATACAGCCCTTGGACGCGCAGCATGAGAAGGTGGTTGCTCTTCTGCACATGCTATTCAAGGCTCCTGGATACGCCGCAGTTGATGATACCGCTTCACCTTTGGCCCTGGAATGGTGGACTGAAGTGGCCGATGACATGCAGGAGATATTCCTAGGCAGCGAAGAGCAGGCGGGGATGGGGGCCGCCAAACAGAACCTGGCGCGCGCCGCCATGGACTGCTTTGAAAAGCTCAAGTACCCAAGCACCAAGGAACTGAAAGGGTGGAATGACGACGACCGCAGCGAGTTTGGTTCTTTTCGCCGGGACGTGTGCGATTTCCTCCTGGCAATCTACCCCATGTTGGGGGTAGAATTGGTGCAGGTATTCCAGGATAAAGCGAGATCGTCCCTCATACAGCAGGATTGGGCAACATTCGAGGCTGCCATTTTCTGCATTGCGCAGCTTTCCGAGGCAGTCGACGAGAATCAGCATGCGGACGAATGCCTCAATGCGATATTCTTCTGCGACCAGTTTGCACAGCTCTGCGAGAGCGGGGGATTGGCAATTCCCGATAAAGCTCGCCAGAGCTTGGTCGACACGCTGGGAAGATACCAGTCGTACTTTGAACGCACCCAGTCCTTGCTTCCCCGCGTGCTCACCTTCCTCTTTGCATCCCTGGACATCGTATCGTGTGCCTCCGCTGCATCCAAATCGATCTCATATCTCTGCAAATCATGTCGCAACGCCCTCACGTTCGAGCTCCCGACGTTCGTGGATCAATTCGAACACTTCCGGTACAAGCCCACTGCCACCTCTCAAACGATGGAGAAGGTTCTTGAAGGCATTGCGGCCATTATCCAAACTGTCCCTTCAGATGAGGATAAATCCCAATTTCTGCAGAGAATCTTGACTTTTTTCCGTGAGCAAGCGGAGCTGGCACGTGAGGAAGCCAGCCAGGGATTGGTTGATCAGGCTCGCTCGCGGGGACAGATGTCGCTCCGCTGTATCGCTAGTGTGGGAAAAGGACTTCGAGCGGATGGCGAAATCGTCTTGGACTCCGATGACGCCAGCAGTGCAGACCCATACCCTCCGACGTTCTGGAATACAGGGAATGGTGCAGCTTCGCAAACCTTAATCATGCAGTGCATGCAGCTGCTGATGACCGACTTCCCATTGGACGTCTCCATCATCGAAGCGGCGTGTGACATCCTCAAAGCTGGCTTCACAGAACGGACAGGCCCCTACGTATTCCCACCCATGGTGGCCGTTAACTTCGTGAAGAGCATCCCGCTTGGCAGTGCTGGCACCGACATGGTCATGGCTACGGCCTCCGCATTCCTGGCATCCCACAGCGCACATCCCCAAAAGGTGCGGGAAGAAACGGTCGCGTTGATCGTGCATGTGTACGAAACCTTCTGCTGGATGCACGAAAAACCAGAGCTCTACGACCCCGAGGTTGCGAATAGTGGGATTGACTTCCTGACCCGCCTACTCCCCAAGTACCACCCCTTTCTGTTTTCACTCACATCTACGCCGCCGGGCGCGGCCCAGAGGCCACCGGTCCTCCAAGCGATCCTCAACTTCACCCTTCTCTCCCTCCAAGATACCGAACCGCTCCCCCTCCGCTCTGCGTCTCAGTTCTGGGTCAGCGTAGTGAATCTGTCGGGAGAGGCTGAGCCCGTCATGGGCGCGCTCAACGACTGTCTCCCTGCCCTGTGTCGGATCCTGATCACGCAAGTCTCCGGCCGGTGCGCGCGATCCGACCTGGAGCATCTCTGCGAAGTGCTCCGGAGGATCATCTTCAAGCACCAGGGACTCGCCCGGCCACACCTTACAGCAGCACTCGCTGAGGTAGGGAACGAGCCGACCAATCAGCACCACCATCCCGTCGTATCGCCGGAGGAGAAACAGCGCTTCCTTGCGTCCCTGCTCGCCGCCCGAGGCGCCAAGTCACAAACGGTCCAGATGACTCGGTCATTCTGGGTAAAGTGTCGGGGAGCCGGCTTCGATTACACTGGGTAGATATCGAAAATGATGCGACCATTTGTGCCAAACCAAATACAAAATCATTGCAGACAGATCTGGAACCCGATCGTTGGGAAAGGAAGGGGGGCCCGTATTGAGAAATATGACTAATTGCAAAGTGAGGCTCGAAAAAGGCACCATGTAACACACCCAATTCTCCAACCCCAGACCACCACGGCAGCGAAATTTCTATTTCTGTATGGTATGGATCGGCGGATTGGGAAGGGGTGGTAAGCGGCCTTAATTGCGCCCTATTAATAGTCTATCGTGATTTGGGCGAAACTAAGCTAACCGCATGAAAGCGCCGCTTTGTTTTGACTGAGTGGGTCAATCATCTCCAACGACATCATTAGCCACAGGGGCGGTGCAGCCAGGCACCAACCTAAGACAACAAAGCCATGCTGGCATGCACACGCTAAGGTGTTCTAGTGGCTTCAAGTGTTCAAGGAAGGCCTGAGAAAGGCTAAAGGGCAGTCCCACAGTGCAGTGACAGCTTAATTGGGCGGTAATCATACGTTTGCCGACTAACATAGAGCTAGCTCAGCAATTTAACATCGGTCATTGATCTTCTTTTAACACCTGTTCTCCCTCTTTCTTTCCACCTTTTTACTAGACTTCATAGTTACCACACCATGCCTGTCAACCATAAAGCCGGGTCCTCTCTAGGGCGGACTGACTCCCTAGACCCAACATCAACATGCAGAGGCGTCACTGGAAATGGCCGCCCCTGTCGGCGCCCGTTGGCATCGTCGACGAACTCATCGCCCGCATCGTCCCCCTCAAAACATGCCAAACAAACAGACGCGGGCTCGTCCTACTGCTGGCAACACAAAGACCAAGCACCAGCGGTCGCCTCCCACGGAGCAAACCACACCCCACAAAACCCGCAATTAAAGCCAAGGACAAGTGTCGACACGCTGATGGGCCGCCTGGGGGTGTTGGAAATCAACGACTCGGAAGACGCGTCCAAAAAGCGCCGCAACCACAGACGGCGCACCGACGTGGCCCCGGCCCCGAAAAAAGAAACCAAGCGAACCCTCTGCTGCTGCTTCGAAGTGCTCGTCGAAGACGATGACCCCGTGCCATCGAGACCGGCCAATCCCGCAGCCGGGGAGAGACCCCCGGCTATGCAGCAGATGCCCTCGAACGCCAACCTGGGCCGACCGCAGCGCCCGTCCGGCAAACCATCAACCTCCTCGCAAGCACACCTTCTGTCCCCCTCGCAGACCCCCTCCCGCCCATCTCTCCACAGCGCGCCGGACTCGACCTCCTCAAACACAAAGGCCCTCCTCTCCTGGATCCCGCCGGACCTCTCCCCGCAAACAACCTCCGTGCTCCTCGGCGAGCTCGCCAAACCCATCTCCGACGCCGACGAACCAGGCTACATCTACATGTTCTGGGTGACCCCAGCGACATCCACCCGCAGCGGCCCACCCCCAGCAGACGTCGCGCGCTCCCTCCTCCCAACCTCGGAGTCCCGCCCGCGACGCGCCAGCGACGCCATCCAAACCGCGCGAGGCTTCACCACGCCAGCAGGCCAAAGCGCCGGCTCCACCATCAGACTGAAGATCGGACGCACAAGCAACGTCAACCGCCGTCTCACCGAATGGTCGCGGCAGTGCTCGCACGACCTCACCCTCATCAGATACTACCCTTACTCGCCCGGCCGACCGGAGGGTCTCCCGCCGGCTGATTTCCAGGAGGGTAAAGTGCCGCATGTGCATCGTGTGGAACGACTGACGCATCTCGAGCTGGGGGATCTGAGGCTCCGTGATCTCGGCAAGTGCGAGGAGTGTGGGAAGGAGCATCGCGAGTGGTTTGAGGTGCCGGCTGATAAGGCGGAGTTGAAGCGGGTGGATGAGTGTATTCGGCGGTGGGTGAAGTGGGCGGAGAGTCAGTAATCATATTTAGGGGGGATGTCAGACATAGATAGCGTTGTATTTATACAGCATAGCGAATTAGACAGACAGCCTTGAAATGTTCAATTCAATCCGCACCTAGTGAATATAACACGACGAGTTAGAAAAAAAAAACACCACCTTAACCTGATCCAACAACCTACCAAAACACACCCCCTATTCAATTCCCCCCATCTCTACCCTTCCCATTCTGCACCCCATTCCCATAAACCCCACCATCACCACCCCCTCCTTCTTAACCACACCAGAACGACTGAACTCATCCAGCGAGCTATAAACCGACACACCACCATTCACAACAAATGCCCCCCACGCCCACCTCCCAAGCATGATAACCACCCACCCACACCCCCAAACCCCGACACCCAGCACAGTCGTCCCAACAAGCACAGGGATCAGCACAAGCCCAGCAAGACACGTAAACGCCGCGACGGCAACGGAAGCCGCGACGACAGCGCCGAGGAGGAAGAGCGCGATGGGGATAGCGGAGCAGAGGAACTGCGCGAGGAGGAAGGTCGTCCAGTAGGGGTGGGCGAGGATTGTTGTAAGGAGGGTGGATTGGGATTGGGGTGGGAGGAAGTGCGTGGTTAGGATTGTTTGGGCTGCTGTGAGGAGGGAGGGGGGGTCGTTGTTGTTGTTATGGTTGGGGGTGGTGTTGTTGTCGTCATTGTGGGAGTGGGAGTTGGAGTGGTCGGGGGTGGTGGTGGTGGAGGAGTTGTCGAGTTCGATGGCCATTTTGTAGTTCTCTTTTCTTTTGTTTTATCAGACGTGATGAAGAGGTAATGTGGTTGATCTGGATGGAAGGGCAGGACGTCCCCTTTTCTGACGTTGGTGGTTGTGACAAAGAAGTGACTGGGATGAGCGGAGATTGCATGGATCGGTTGGCACATCCGACGTGGGTGCCTCGGTTCCTGAGGATGACGGTGTCGATCTGCTTTATCAACCACTGTATAACATCAACCATTTATAGCCAACCGAAGTCATACCTATGATCATATATTATACTTATATAAGAATTACCCTTTGATGTGCACTTCTTCAACATCTACAGACAAATCATACCAGGTATGATTGATCTGTATGCAATACTCGCAACTGACTTGGATAGTACAAGTACTCCATTATCCAATTCTATACCAGAAACCACAGACCTCAATTTAAGTAGAGCTCGAATATGACATAAATGTCTACCATACATAGTCTATCATAATCACACACCAATCAGTGCCATTCCCAAAACATGATCCAGCATGGACCAAGATCCCACCAGATTCCCAGTAATGACGTCAACCGGGACTGACCTCTCTCCGCATTTCATCCCTCCTCTACTACCACCATACCTCCTCAACTCCATCCATTGACACTCCATAACCACTCTCCTCGTCTCTAACACAATCAATTCACCCAACAACCACCCCCTCAAAAATCCCAATTCAGAAAGAACAAAATGTCCCTCCTCCTCCGCCCAACCACCCTCCTAGGCGCCGGCCTAGGCCTATCCCTCGCCCTCCACCCGCTCTCACCCCTCCGCACCCCCTCCACCCCAATCCAATGCCAATACAGCGCTCCCTACTCCCGCCACGGAGAGTCCTCCTCCGACTCCTCCTGGACCTTCAACGACCAGGACCCCCTCTTCCGCAAGCAAGGCAGCACCCACCCCGCCGCCAGCGACACAACAACCCAGTCCAGCGGGATCCTGACCGCGTCCAACATGCGGCAGGTGAGTCTGGGGAGTGTGCTGGGATTGGTCGCGGGGGTGGGGCTCAGGGCGTTTTCGAGGGTGTTGGTTGTGTTGCTTGGGATGGGTGTGGTGTTTGTTGAGGTTTGTTGATTCCCCTCCTTTTTTTTGGAGAGTCGTTGCGTTATTATATTGGGGTATGCTAATACAACGATGATGATAGTGGGCTGCTGCTAAGGGTTACAACGTTTTGCCTATCAAGCGCATGCAAAAGTACGTCAAGAGCTATGATCTTCAGCGAGTGGTGTCGCGCCATATCCCGTTTAAGATGACGTTCGGGGCGACCATGGCGTTGGCGGCGTTTGCGCAGTTTTAGGTGTATAATATAATGTAGGAGGCGAGATGGGCATTGTGGGTGTTTGGAACAAAAGAGAGAGAGAGAGAATAAGATATTCGGGTTATCCGCCCTACGCTTGTGACATGAATAAGGACTAGGATTCAAATCTTATGGATTAATTTAGTACCAATAGTGTACAGGGTATCATATATACATGCTTTCGTTTTCTTGCCAGATTGCAATTGCAATTGCAACTCCTACGCCAACACCAAGTCTTCCAACATGCTCGTCATCTCCTGCTGCGACAGCGGAACCCCCAGGATCTCCATCCCGCTCGTATCAATCCGCGACGTGATCATCTGATGGTCGTGGAACTCCTTCAGCAAAGTCCGGAACATCATCTCCGACGAGGCGATGAACTCTTCCGCGGCCTTCTGGTACAGCATGCGGAACTCGATGCCCAGATCGTCCTTGTTGGCGGCATCCTCACGGCCATTACCGGCCTCCTCATCCTCCGACAGACGGCCCCCATCCGACATCGACACGAGCTCCGTAAGAAGCAGTCGGTACAGGTTCTGCGCGTTCTCGGGCAAACTCTTGAGCACGAACTCAACGCCGTCTTTCCCGCCGATGCGACGGCCCTTCCGACCTAGCAAGCTGTGCACCTCTTCCACGACGTCGAACTCCCCGTCGAACGGGATGAAAGTCGTGCAGTCGTGGAAGGCAAAGTTGAACTGGTCGCGGAGACTGATGTCCCACATCAGCGAGCAGTTCGGGGTGTCGGTTGTCGCGAGTAAGTGGATCTTGGGCGTCGCTGCGAGACGGGCGAGGAGGGCCTGGTTGGCGGCGCGGCGGAGAGGCGGAGCGTCGATCGAGTTGATGAGGACCGTGATTGGCTTCTGGGACGGTCGTGCCTTGAGCGAGGACTGTAGCAGTTCGAGGACTTCCACGGGCTGGAATCCCATCTTCGATGGGATGTCTGCTCCGAGCACGGCGGTCACGACCGTTGCGAAGATGGATCGGATAGAGATGCCGGGTGTATGTCCGTTGACCATGACGATGGCTGGCGGGGAGGAGCTGTGGCGGTGGTAGTGCCAATCTGCGAACTGCTGTAGAAGCTGTCGTTTCGAGCCATATCCGTACAAACAGATATTGAATCCCTGGTCAAACTCAAAGTCCCACTGCGGGAACGACCGGTGGTGAAGTTCTTGCAGGAACGTCTTCTCTTTTTGGCACGGGTCCGTGTATCCCTGTAGCTTTTCAAAGTATTCCTCGTGTGTCAACAGATTCAGCTTGTTGAGGGTTGTGTTGGACGTTCGCGCGGGACCGGCTCGATTCTGGAAAAAGTATCGCTCGTGCGGAGGGAGATCGCCTTCAGGTGTTGGAGAACGCTTATTCCGTGCACCCTTGGGTCGTCCAGCCCGACGCTTCGGAGTTGCCGCTGCGCCCTTTTTCGCTGGCTCTCCGGACTCTGCTTCCACCGTCTCAGCCACCCCATCCTCCTTCTCAATAGTTGGATCCGCATCGTCGTCGTCTAAGATCTCCTCTGCTAGACGGTCCGCCCCATCCCAGTCGTCCTCGTCATCATTGACCTGCTCCTGAAGAAGCCGAACGCTCTTCTTCTTCGCAGACCGGTCCGCATTTTTCGCCCTAGACGGTGTAGAAGGAGCCGCAGCCTTGGCTGGCGTCGAGAACAAGGCCTTGGCCTTGGACCGGTTCGTTGGTGTCTTCAGTCCCGATTCCTTCAAGGCAGCCGGGGTCGGGGCGCTGGCTTTCTGGGGGGTCTTGATGCGCCTCAGCGGCGTGATCTCGGGCGATCCATGACGGTCCGCATTCACAGTAGCCGTCCGCTGTCTCTTGGGCGTCGAGACAGGGCGCTCTTCCTCCGGATCTGGTTGCTTGCGCTTCATGTCAGCAGGGTAGGTTCGGACGGACGATCAACGGGAAACCAAAAACATACCATCAGAACACGACGCGCGCTAGCTTCAGCGCACAGAAGAAATCCGTTGACGCAAGGGGGTAATTACTTCTCGACAGGCACAGGATTGGAATGTTGATCCTTGAAAGTAAGATGGGCGCGTCTGGAACACGCAGAGGCAGATCGATCATAAAGACCAAAAGAGAAACGTTTCTCCGGCTCCGCTCCGACGTGCGGCATTTGCGCCGATCAGCTTTGTATTCGCGGGGCGTACGGAATACAAGTTTACTTTTTTTTTACCTCCTCTCTGTCGTTCCTTTTTCTAATCTTCTTTAGGGGAAAGCCTTGGACCTGTCCATTACTTCAATTACTGCTGCGGGATTATCCGTGTGGTAGCGGTGGCCGATCCTACATCGCTGTGAGTCAATACCAGCTGTAGGTATAAGTAGTGCCAGTGAGTCACGTCCGTCTAGCTCCAATTGCTTCATATATATCCCTCATAGTTTTCCAATCCTCGTTGAAATTTGCCTCTCAATCTTACTCAAATACTGACTCAAAGGGGACAGACTCAACAGCTCAATGGCTTCTCCCGCCCAACCCGCCGTGGCCGCATTCGCCCGGATGGCCAAGGGCCAGGTGCGCCACTACTCAGCGCCCCTGGACATGGCCGTCCCAGCCGCGAAGCAAAAGTTCATTCCCTCGTCCGGCTCCTATCCCAAGGGCTTCCTCGTCTCCGGCACCCACGTCGGCGTCAAGGCCTCCAACACCAAGTACCCCGATCTGGCGCTGATCTCGTCCGAGACGCCCTGCTCGGCGGCGGCCGTCTTCACGACCAATAAGTTCCAGGCGGCGCCCGTCCAGGTCAGCAAGGACATCCTCGCGACCCGCAAGGGCGAGGGCGTCCACTCCGTCGTCATCAACTCCGGCTGCGCCAATGCCGTCACCGGCAAGGGCGGCGTGGAGGACGCGGTGAACATGGGCAAGACGGTCGACGAGTGCAGCGGGCTCAACGAGCCCAGCACGCTGGTCATGAGCACCGGCGTGATCGGACAACGGTATGCACACATACCCACCATACCTCAATTGAGGCCTCACAACCAAGCGTGCAAACTAACCCGCACACGCACACCAGACTCCCGATCTCGAAAATCCTCTCCAAGATCCCCACAGCGCACAAAACCCTCTCCTCCACGCACGACGCCTGGCTCACGACCGCGCGCGCCATCTGCACAACCGACACCTTCCCGAAGCTGCTCTCCCAAACCTTCACGCTCCCCTCCAACCCAGGCCGCACCTACAGCCTAGCAGGAATGACCAAAGGCGCCGGGATGATCCACCCGAACATGGCGACCCTCCTCGGCGTGCTCTGCACCGACGCCCCCATCGACTCGACCGCGCTCTCCCCGCTCCTCAAACACGCCGTCTCGCGCTCCTTCAACTCGATCTCCATCGACGGCGACACCAGCACAAACGACACCGTCGCCTTCCTCGCCAACGGCGCCGCCGGCGGCACCCCCATCACCTCGACCCCCAGCGCAGACTACACCGCCATGCAATCCATCCTCACAACCTTCGCGCAGTCGCTCTCGCAGCTCGTCGTGCGGGACGGCGAAGGCGCCACGAAGTTTGTCACAGTGCGCGTGCAGAACTCGCCCGACTATGAATCCGCGCGCCTCATCGCGTCCACCATCGCGCGGTCCCCGCTCGTCAAGACAGCCCTCTACGGCCGCGACGCGAACTGGGGCCGCATCCTCTGCGCAATCGGCTACACGCAGGGCGTCGCGGCTGGCACTGTCATTCCGGAGCGCACGAGCGTCAGCTTCAAGCCTGTGGATGGCAGTCCCGTGCTGAAGTTGCTTGTGAACGGCGAGCCGGAGCAGGTGGATGAGGAGCGGGCGAGTGTTATCCTCCAGGAGGAGGATCTTGAGATTCTGGTTGATCTTGGTGGTGGGGAGAAGGGGGAGAAGGGCCTTGGTGGTGAGGAGGCTGTTTATTGGTTCTGTGATTTCAGTCATGAGTATGTGACTATCAATGGGGATTATCGGACTTGATCTCTCTCCTGGTCTATCTGATTGATAAAGGAAGTCCACACCAGATATTGATGATACTCTTACTATATCTCACCGCATACCATGTAAAATAACTACACGTCATGTCAAGACTCCTGGTCTATCTGATTGATAAAGGAAGTCCACACCAGATATTGATGATACTCTTACTATATCTCACCGCATACCATGTAAAATAACTACACGTCATGTCAAGACTCCTGGTCTATCTGATTGATAAAGGAAGTCCACACCAGATATTGATGATACTCTTACTATATCTCACCGCATACCATGTAAAATAACTACACGTCATGTCAAGAATCACCGTGATGACCAATTAATGTATTCGTAATTTTCAGATCTTTTGTGGAATATGGTTACAAACCAGGTGGATGCTATATACAGCCGAGGCTTCAACTTTTCCGACCACTCTCCAAAACACTGAAGTAAACTACAGATCCCTAAATCCGGACACCAGCCAGCCACGGCAGCGCACCACCTGGGAAGGAACGGAAGAACATAGAAACATCAAAACAAAACCCTCAATCTCCCTTGCCTATGCAATCATCAAATATCAGGGGAACCGGTTTAGTTGCCGGGGACGAGGCCCTTGAGGCCACCGCCGATGTCACCCTCGCGGGCGGCGATTTCGAAGTATCCGTATATAATCCTAGATTGAGTTAGACAATGAGTCGGAATATGAGTCTGTACGGAGAACTTACGTCACAGCGAGAAGGATACCAGTACCGCTGCCCAGGGCACCGAGAAGGTCCGAGGCAACGGAGAGAGCGCCAATGCAGGCACCACCAAAGGCAGCAGCGGTCGGGATGACACGCTTCAGCTCCTTGTACATGCTCTGCTCACGGTGACCGGCCATGACCAGACCCTGGTCCTTGAGCTGCTTGGCGACATCACGGGGAGCGGAGCCGGAGACCTCGATCCAGGTCTTGGAGAACAGGGCGCAGGCAACGAGCATGAAGGCGATGTAGACAGCGGTGTGGATGGGGTCGAGGAGCGCCTCCTTGAAGTTCAGAGGAGGGGACATGTAGTAGGCGATACCGGAAGCGGCATGCAGCTGGGCAGATCCGTCGCGGGGCTCCCACACTCCGAGAAGCTTGACGAGGATGTTATCCGAGAAGCGCGAGTACAGCATCTGACTGATGAGGAAGATGTTGGAGCACAGGGCGGACTGCAGCATGATGGGCATGTTCGAGGTGTAGAACAGGCGGACGGGGTACGAGCCACGCATGCCACGCTGGCGCGAGGACTTGACGGGGATCTCCACACGGAAGCCCTGCAGGTAGATGACGGCGGCGAAGACGGCCAGAGTGGCGAGCAGGTTCATGACGTTGGGCAGGTTCTGGCGGTAGAAGGCCTCACGCAGAGCACGCTGCTTGTCGGACCAGGTCAACAGAAGGTGGAACAGGGCGATGATGGCACCCTCGAACTCGGGGCCACGGCCAGTGTTGATGGTCGTGGGCGAGAACGCCTTCCACACGATCGACTCGCAGATGTTGGTGGCAATGAACAGCGAGATACCGCTGCCGAGACCGTAGCCCTTCTGCAGCAGCTCGTCCAGCAGGATGACGACCAGACCGGCGACAACCAGCTGGACGATCAGCAGAACGCAGATACCGGCACCGAGGTCGCTGGGCTGGCCATAGAGACCAGTCAGGACGTACACACAAGCCTGGCCAAAGGACAGGATGATGGCGAACAGCTTCTGGGCGGTCTGGTAGAGCTCACGGTCGGTCTTCAGGTCCAGGTTGACATCGATGAGGTGGGTACCAGCGAGGAGCTAGACACGGCATTCATTAGCGTCCAATGCCATCCACAGCGTGAAAGAAAAGAGGTTATCAGCCTGTACTACTCACCTGGAAAACCATGCCGGAGGAGATGATGGGGGTGATACCCAATTCCATCAGGGTACCCCGGTTACTGGCCAGCATCATACGCAGCCAGTACAGGGGATCCGAGGTGTCGGAAGAGACGATACCATACAGAGGCATCTGACTCATAACCAGGAAGATCATCAAGGTCAACTGCAGACTATGTGAGCTCGACAATCCTTCTCCCCATCGCGACGCCAATCAATCACTTACGCCCGTCCACATGAGCTTCTGGTTGAAGGGAACCTTGGTCTCCGGGGCTGCCACCTCCGGAAGGAGGGGCGTAAAAGGTTTGATCAAATCGAGGAAACGGACTATTCTCCCATATCAGTATTCTGCAAAGCCATTGAACCAGTGAACCGATGCTGTCGCGCGATCGCGTGGAGATCACTCACGTCCGCTCATGATGACTGTTCGCCCTCCCAAGCGAGTAAACAAGTCGGGGGAAAAGAAAAGGAGGAAAAAAGAGGGAAGCTGGGGAGAAAACCAGCTGAAGGAGCGAAGATCGAATTAAAATAAAAAAGAAGGAAGAAGAAAAAGGGCGACGGGGGAGAAGGAAGAAGAAGAGGGAGAGGGAGAAAGGGAGAAACGATGAGGTTTGGTTTGGAGGTAAATCGCCTCGCTGGCCACTTTGGCGCAACCCACGCTAAACCCGGTTCAGGCCACTTGGTCCTTTTCTCCCCCAGAAGCATCCACCGTTCATGACGGCCCCGATTATATGAGGCCACCTTTTCTTAATTCATTCTACTCTTTTATAGAAGGAGATTATCTTGTGTTGACTCATTGTCTATCATGTCTTCCATCTTCGTGGAAAGGACACATCGACTGGTTCTTGACCGAAATACGACGCTATTCAGCTGTGCCTACTACTAAAACAGGAAACGAACAAAATCAACAAGAGAAAAGAAAAGCATTATAAAAAAGAAAAATATGTAAATGGTTTAATACAAATCGATCACTATATCAAGCCAGAGGTATCTTCGCATATCATGTTGATTGATCCAAACAGACCCAACCCAAACGTATTCTCGTCACCACAAATATCCCTGGTATATCCACATCCCCATCACACGTAGTAGAATGTTATAGCATGAGATAAGGACTGTCAAGGTCCAACCATACTCAGACAATCGTCAATGACCATCTCAAGCTCCCCCAGTCGTCCTTTCAATCCTCGGTTCTCTTCCTTCAAAACACCCATCACGCTCCAGGCTTCGGATGCAGGAACCCCATAGCAGATAGTGCACTTGGAGGCACTGTTCCCCCACGACAGCCCCTTCAAGACTCGATCGTACGCCGACGGACGGGGCGGTGCGGATAATGTGGCAGGCTTGGTCTCTTTCGGGCTAGCCTGGAGATACGCCGTCGATGGTGGAGACAAGGCGATCTGGGAGATGTTGGGGGATGGAGCCACCGTCGAGGTGGGCGATTCAAGGCCCTCGCGCCGCGAGAAGACACTCTCGGCCAGGCTCTCGTCGCCGGAGTCGAAGCCCGAGTCGCTCGTGAAGGTCGCATTGCTGTTGCGTTTCAGGCTGCGTTTGGGAGCTTGCAGGTCGGCGCCCAGGTCGGATGTGCTGTCGTCATCGCTCGATCGGACGAGCATGATACTGCGGCGGCGGGCCTCGTCGTCGCGTCGACGGAGCTGCCTTTCCTGCTCCAGCTCCTCCGCCATGGCCTTCATCTCCTTATCTTGCTGAAGCACCCGCTCCGCCATTCCGTCCAGCTGGAGCTTGAGGTGTCCGACACGCGTCCGTGTCTCCTCGAGCTCTTCCTGTTTCTCGACCCTCTCGGCCAGGACTTCGTGCAGGGCAAAGGTCCTTTGTTTGTACGCGGACTGCAGGCTTCGAAGGACGTTACTAGCGTTGTTGCGCAACGCTAGGAAAGCCTCGTGTTCGTCGAGTTCCGCCGATCCGGGGGGGAACAGAGCGGCGGTGACGTCCATATTCAGGAACTCATCTTCGGCCGGCACGGGAAGTTCCGTCCGTTCCTGGCGCTTCAGGCCGAAGAGGGAGAGCGGGCCCGTGGAGGCCACTTGTTTTAACGGGGATGGGGCGGTCATACGCTTTTGTGTTCGGTTCATGGTCAGCGTGGTCGGAGATCCGTAGATATCGTGCGAGTTTCGTCTGTCCATGTTGTGGTCGTGGTGGGTTTCCCGGTTCCCCGGCTGGTAGACAAGGCCCAGATTCACCGGATCGGAGTTCCCCTGAAACCAGTCTGAAAGGCGTTTTGCGCCTTGTTCAAGTTTCTTCCGGGTAACGTTACCGGGTGGGTTCGGTCGCGTATCCGCGGCGTCGATATCTTCGAGTGCTCTAGGTTGAGTCGCAACGAGGTGTCTCGCGGGCGCAGGAGGTTGTCGATGGAGAAATTCGGTGTTGGCGCGTCGGTGGAAAGAGGGATTGGGGATCGGGGCGATCTGCTTCTCCGGCTGTGGAGAAGCGGTATCTGAGCACTGGGCTAGCGAAGCTGCAGGAGTGACTCGGTGGGACAACAGCTGATCATCGTAAGACAGCGAGTGCTGCAGGTTATCGACCGGAGAAACTTTGGTCGGAGGCGGTTTAGGAACGTCAGTGGCGGGCGTCGGCGTAATTGAGGGATGCTCGAGGTCTTGGAGCATTGCTGAGCCCGCGCCTGACTGGGTAGGAGGGATAAGGGATGGGGTCGAGAATGAGGGAGGTTGCCCCCTAATGGTACCACTTGGACAAGGACTGGAATGCCACGTCGATGGTTCTCGGTGAAGGACGCCCAATCTCACGCAGGGTTAGCCCAGGTCAAATGCCTGATCGCTCACTGATGACTCCGAAAAGAATAAAAAATAATTAACAGATTAAAGGAGTGATGGGCCGGGTTCAAGGACCTCCTGAACGGGGCTCCGCCTCTAGGCCGATTGTTTACTTGGAATGCGGGGAGACGAAGTATGAAGCAGGATGACCACAGGAAATGAGAGGGGAACTCTGCAAAGACTCCTGGTCACAACGAGTCCAGTAGAGCGAAGTCTAGATGGAGAGAAACGGCAGGAGAAGTAACGGTGCGCAGAGGAATCCGCAGATTAATTGGTTGTTGAAGGATTGTCGAAACGCCAAGCGATAGCGATCGTTGCACGTGCCTGTCAGTTACCCACACTCAACGGGTTCAAGTTGCTCTTGGGATCAGATTCGAATATGACACTAGATGTGAGATCTCTCGATGCGCTATGTGTTGGATGTTTAAGACAACTCGATCTAAAAAAACTACCACGATCATATATCGAGAGGCTGGGAATTAAATATTAAGTCTGCACTTGAGGATCTCGAGAAATTGCGGTGGCTGAACGGTGTCCCTGCTCCACCGAGATGAGGCAATGCACCACTCAAACATAACGGTGACTAGTGAGGGTACTGGAGGAGACGATGCATGGGGCATTTCCTCGAATCACATCGTGGGGCTGGATTTATTCTTAGCTAAATTTGCCTCTTCATCGCCAATCTGATCGGGGAAGTTACCTAGTCCTGCAACAACGTCATCGGTCGCCGCTCTTAACGGGCGATATGTTTATGCCTACTCTAGGTCCGGTTGAGAAGAGAAGCGTCAAGTGGATCATCGAGCTAGATCGTTTACAACTGATTGATCATCGGCGAGTCCAGCTGCTCTACGAGCGAGACTACAACGGCCGGACGCCGAGGACTATGCGGCAGCTGTCATACTCATTTCCATCTTAACTATCCTAGATATGGGACGAGGAAAGGTAAAGGGCTTACAAACGACGAAGATTCTCATTCTGACTGCTGCATAACATCTCCATAACTTTTTTTTCTACTTCCCGCATTCTCTAACAACCCTATAGTTCCAAGGATGATGGACTCGTTTGGAATCTGTCCACAACCAACAATCACATACTGGTAACCATCGAGCTATAGAAGGCGCGCTCGATACAGGCCCAAGCATCGGACAATTCAGGCCGGAGTATCAGATACAGAAGTCGCGTTGCCTCGTACACAAATCTACCCCACACGCATACCGATTAGCGTTGCTACAAGGAACATGGTGCATAGACTGTAGATAATTACCCCGCCAATATTATCAAGCAGTACAAGACAACGAGTACCATCGCAGCAGTCGAAGCCTATATCAGGACTGCAGAACCAGCCAGGTTTGACACAGACGGGCGATGGGAACGATGAGACCGAGGGAGAAGGAAGAGGCCCAGCTATGACAACTGAGACGAAGAGAGCCGAGAGGAGAGCAGTGAGCTTCATGTTGAAGTTGGTAATACTGATTCTGTGCTTGAGTAGTCTTTAGACGTCTACAACGACGAGGTTCAATCGTGCTTGGTGGATTAGTTAGGATGGGGAGGGAAGGAGTTGAAAGGACCTGGCCAAATGCTTATACTGGATTTTCTGTATCGTAAGGATGATGGAATATCCGTTAGGCAGCGAAAGTCTACATGTAAAAGTTTAACTGTGCGATAATAATGAGGTAATGACCATGAAGCTTTTACAGCAACATCACGAAGGTTCCATCCGCACAAATCAAGTGCCGGAAAACATCTCCAGCATGACTGGGAGAAAAATGTCTGCAGTACTTGAGTAACTAATATAAAACCAAGACTTACAGCTACACCATCAGATGTATTACTGAGAAGCAGAGAGATGCCCAAGCTAGGCGGCTTTTTTGCTTGATATTGCAGGACATAATGAAGGGATTCAGATGATTGGCTGCAACGCCGTGTATAAACCGTATAAAGCACGTGATATATTTCTGCTTATATAATATACCACTAAAGGCGGCATCACCGGGCAGTATCAGATCGAGGCCAGCAGCAGGAGCGAGTTCGGTTTGTCTGAGAGCTCGACAAGCAATTCACGATATTGCCAGCCCTCTGGAGCAATCGACTCCCCATATACTTGATCTGCGGTCGAATATATCTATTTTCTGATTCTTTGAACCCCTCGTCCCGTCCAACCATCGTGACCGCAACCCCCGCTCATCGCAATGTCAACTCAGAGCGGACTCAAATACCTCTCCAATGCCCTCGCAACCGCCGAACAGTTAACAACCTCCTCATCATTCGTCGATGGCATCGCACCCGATCTCGAGGCCTCTGTCCGGTATGCAGGCGTACAGTTGACCCAGGCCGCGGGGGTGTTATTGCGCTTGTCGCAGGACACCATCGCGCAGGCGATTGTCACCTTTACGCGATTCTGGATTGGCCCGGAAGGCGGGAGCTTGCGGCTCTATGCGGCAAAGGTACGAAATACCGGACACATGAATTGAGGTCTCCGGCATAGGGGAATGGATTTTGACAGGTACTGATTAAAGCTAGGACGTCTCTGCCGCAGCACTCTACATGACCGCTAAGCTGTCCTTCCAGCCGACGTCGCCCCGATCCATCATAAACGTCTACGCCTTCCTACTGTCTCGAGACGTCTCGCCGTTGTGGTTTGTGAATTCCAAGGGCGCGCCGTCGACCCCGCCCGCCCCGGAGGCGTATACCCTGACGGAGGGAGGGTATCTGGCGCAGCGGGTGGTGCTCCTACGGGTCGAGGCGATCATCCTCCGCACATTGGGGTTCAATACGCACGTCGCGCTACCGCATACCATCGCCCTGACGTACCTCCAGACGCTTAATGTGTCGTCGCCGGACGTCTCGCGGAGGGTCTTTGAACATCTCAATGCGGCGCTGCTGTCGCCCCAGCTGTTGTACGTCACGCACCAGCCGAACGCGCTGGCCGTCGCCGCGATCTATCTAGCAGCCAGAGAGGTCGGGGTGAAGCTGGTAGACGTCGAGTGGTGGGAAGTATTCGACGTGGACCGGGAAGACCTGGGGTTCTTGGTGGTAGCCATGAGAAGTATTGAAGGATTTGCGCGGGCGGAAAAGGAGAAATGGAGTGGGCGAGCATTGCCCATGACTGTGGATGAGCTGGAAGCCGAGGTGGAACGGAGGCGGATGATGGAAGAAGGGGGGTGAAATGATGCTGGATGTTGATACATTCTTCATTAATGAGCTATATGGCGCACAATGCCTGTCTGCCCGAGGACTGCCATCTGGTTTGCATCGGGTGCTGCCTATACCGGGTCCAGTGGTGCTTGGATCGGACTCGTCCTCGAGCCATGCGTTGTGGCTAGTGGGCTACTAGCAGGCTTTGTGCAGCGACGAGACAGGAGGTCGGAATTTGACGGTCTCAAAAGCACCCAGACAACATCGACATGCCGCTACAGATAACTTTCTGAGACAGTGGTCTATTCCCGCCAAGATCGCGGACGATAGTCTATAGATACGGATGACTTCATAATTCGAACACTAGAGATGGACGTCGACCACATACAAATACACAATAGATATAATGAGAATTAAAGAATGAAAATATTACAAAGAACAATCACCTGATGTAAACACCTGACGACTCAGCCACATGATTGACCCCGCGTGAGGACTGAGGCAACAACAAGAGTGACCGCCACACCGATAAGGCACGCAGGCATGTCATCACCGATCATCCCCTCTCCACACTATCTACCTTACCTATCTCCTTTCAACACTCCCACAACTCAACCCGCCTTTCCAAACACTACCACCCCTTATCAACATCAGAATAACAATCCACACGAAAGGGAAAAGGAATCAAGAAACGAAAAGGATGAACATCCTCCACTCCACATTTTCCACCTGGCGCGAGCGCCTAGCCCCCATCTCACGAACCTCCACCTTCCGCACAACAGGGCAAATCACGCCCGAGGAGTTCGTCCTCGCAGGGGACTACCTCGTATACAAGTTCCCGTCGTGGACGTGGGCAGACGCATCCTCGCCCGCCCAGCGCGTGTCCTACCTTCCCGAGGGGAAGCAGTTTCTGGTGACGCGGGGTGTGCCATGCCACCGGCGGTTGAACGAGAACTTTGCGGGCGATGCGGGACAGGAGGATGAGATTGTGAGGGACTTTCTTTCTGGGGGAGGGGAGGGAGTGGGGGCGGTGGGGATGATGATGATGGGTGGTTGAGGACTGGTGGTGGGGAGCAGCGTGGTGACAACAGTGGAGGGAGAGGGTCTGGAGACGGTCGGATTGGGGACGTGAGGACTGTTGATGAGGCGGGGAATGTCGGCGATAAAGAGGAGGAGGAGGAAGAGATACCGGATATGGAGGATGATGATGACGAGGAGGCTATTATCCGTGAGCCTGTTGGGACGACGCAGTATGTCCCTCCTTACTTCCCTCCTCATATCTACATACATTCTGTGAATTCGAAGGAGATAATACTGACAAAAACAGACCAACAAGAACCTACAACCTCTACATCACATACTCCAACTTCTACCGCACCCCCCGCCTCTACCTCTCCGGCTACCTCTCCCCATCGGAGCCCCTCCCCCCGCACCTCATGATGGAAGACATAGTCGGCGACTACAAAGACAAGACCGTAACGCTCGAAGACTTCCCGTGGTACGACGGCACCGTGAAAATGGCCAGCGTGCACCCCTGCCGCCACGCCTCCGTCATGAAAACACTGCTCGACCGCGCCGACGCAGCCCTCAAACTCCGCCGCGACAAGCTCCAATCCGGGAATAAGTCCACAGCAACGGGAGGCAGCGGACTGGAGGGACTCGTCGATGACGTTAAAACAATGACCCTTGAACAACAGCAGCAGCAGCAACACCACCAGCAACAACAGCAGAATCCCGGCGGCGACGAATGGGAAATGCTACAACACGACGAAGACGACCAGGTAGCGATCCGCGTCGACCAGTATCTGGTAGTGTTTTTGAAATTCATAGCGAGTGTGACGCCGGGCATTGAGCATGATTTCACGATGGGAGTCTGATATTATCTATTTGCTTTTTGCAATTCTTTCCTTTTTTTTTTTTTTTTTTTTTTTTAAGTAATGCACAGGATGATAACGGACTGCTAAGCGTACAGGTTGAGGAGTTCAAGTCAAGTCTTAGCTAGTTGATCTCTACCATCTCCATAGCAAATAATTTACGAAGTACCGATGAGAATGATGCTGGTTCAATAGCCTATAATATTCCGTCATCTCAAGAAAAAGTATATACGTATCTACCTATGTGGTTATCTAGACAGTAAGTATATATTTAAATGATATCTGACTTGAAGAAAGGCCAGAGAGAGAGACTATAAAATAAAGTATGATAATTGATAAATTGTATTAAATAAATTAGAATACAAAGACAGAGGTAGAGACCAGCCTGTGGATAGATAAGGGATAGCACAGATCAAACAAGCGAATAGAAGAAAATAAAGGTCAGCTGCATCCCGCATCTTGGGAAGCCTGGTGGTGGTAGTGGAAGGGAGATCAGGGAGAGGAGGAGGGAGGGAAGGAGAGAACGTGTATGCGTGATAGGTAGGAGGTAGACAGGCAGTAGGAGGGCGATTGACGAATAGATGGAAGGATGCAGCAGACAAGAATTTGCAGAAGAATGTAATATGTTTGTCGGGAAGACAATGCAAGAAGTGAAGTGAAGTAAAGGGTCCAGGGTAAAGGATTAAAATCAAAAGATAGAGATGGTGGTAGAAGCAAGAAAAGGATCAATGAGGGAGTGCAAGTGCCGGTCATATCACACTGCTATAGTATCACACTGTTAGAGGCATGATATGCAGACCGCGAGACGCTCAGTGCCCCTCGCACGAGCAAGGCTCCGGCTCCGGCTCCGGCTCTTGAACAACGCACACTTCTTCAACAGGGGGCTCTGGGGCAGGAGGGGCAGGAGGGGCAGGAGGAGCAGGAGGGGCAGGGGCAGGAGCAGGAGGAGAAGGGGCAGGGGCAGGAGGCTCATGGGTAGGCGGGGCGGGGCGGGCGGAGCAGGAGCGGGCGGAGGGGGAGGAGGAGGAGTAGGCTCAGTGGCAGGGGGAGCTGGAGTCGGCGTAGGTTCAGGCTCAGGCTCAGGCTGCGGTTCCGGCTGGGGCTCCGGGGTTGGCTCGGGCTCCTTCTCCGGCTTAGGCGCACTCTCATGATAAGAATGATGATAGTGATTCCCCATGTTGAAGCTGGGCCCATCCGGGATACCGATAGTAGTACCATGTTCAGCATCAGTCTCATGGGACACGCCGGAGCCAAAGTCGTCGCTTCCGTCGCCTTCGTCGGATGAGTCAGAAAGGGAGCCGGCGTCATTGTAGTCAGGACCGTCGGGGATACCGGCGCCCCAGTTGAAGCCCATGTCGGTGTCTTCGTGGACATGTCTTTGGGCGAGGGTTTGGGTCTGGGATGTTAGTTTCCTGCTCTATGTTGAGTATGGGGTGGGGAGATGTAGCATACCTGGGAGATGGGCGCCGATAGGACCGACGCAGGAGCCGAGAGGAGCAGGCACAGTAGTGCGGAGAAGGTCTTTGGGTTGTACATGTTGAAGGAAAGAAGAAAGAAAGATGTGGAATGAAGGATTGTAGTCAAGCTAGCTGTGTGTGATCAAGATACTGAGGAATGAATGAATGGATATATTCCAAAAGAGCTGGAATGGCAAAGGAGAGAATGGCAGAGAATGAGCGAATGCTGTGACAGTTCAGCTTGGAAATGCTTGATGAACAAGAATGCAGTCAGATCTCAGGAATCTGGGACCCTTTTATAACTATCCAGCGATCCATTGCAGGCGTAGATGTCTTCAAAGGCCGAATGAAGGGCCTGGCCGGGCCCTTTCCAAGGGATCCAACTCTATACTCGATGGGATAGAGGAGTCCCTCGATAGTACCCTAGAAGGGCTATCCCCTCGATAGTCCATAGTTGATAGCCCTATGCAGGTCAGCGCCACAGGCCAGCAAAGATGTCAGCTGCAAGAAGAATGGATAACTAGGGGACTAGGGGAAAGATGGGGCGAGACAATGGGGATGGATGCAGGAAGGAGAGTTTGGTTGAGGGAGGGCGCAGGTCGATGCAAGGGAGTCGGAACTACCGACGCCTCTCCAGAAAACAGGTCACCGTATTTAGTTTCATTCAATAAGTAATTACACATGGTTATCGATAGATGCATAAGCAGGAGATGGAAGGAAGAAAACATAGAATAGAATAGAAAAAAAAGATAAATCGTCTGAAATCGTCACTCATGGTACCCATCCAAATTCGGGAATAAAAAGAAGACCAAAACAATGGCCTTGTGATATATGCTCGCGTTAGAACTTATGGCCAAATGCGGTGCCAAAGTTTGTGGCGTTTTTGAACCTGAGTTCAGGTTCCTGGCTGGGCGGCTCGGCTCTCTCCTTTCGATCGCTCGAGTCCCGCGAGCTGCCCAGGGCCTGCCAGGCCTGGTCGAGGAGTTTCTGATCCAGCTCCTTCAAAAAGCCAGAGTCGTGTTCCTCGTCGTTCAGCAAGGAGAGGGGGCCCGTCAGCGCCGGGTCGTCCGGCAGGCTCGCAAAATACGAGTCGGAGTTTTCTGCAGGTTGCCGCAGCGCATCTGGGGCAAGGGGTGATGGGTCATCACCCTCGTCTGCACCCTCGCCCGCACCCTCGTCCACGACGTGGGGTGATTTGGTTTCAGCGTCCGAATCCATGACGACCATAGGGGTGTGTCCCGCATCCCTGGTGAGGTTCTTCTCGGGCGGGCCTAGCTCCGACAGCCGGAGCTTCAGGCTGTTGCGACGCTCCGATTTCTGGGAGGTCATGGACGGTGACGTCTCGGGGGACCGCGGCGAGGGCGGCGTCATCACGCGGGCGACAATCTCCGGGTGCAAGGCCGACGATTTGAGGGTGATGCCGTCGAGTTTGCTGTCGAGCTTTTCGATCGGCACAGGGACGCTGCCGCCTGCAGCAGGGTCGGAGGGGTGGGATTTGGGCGAGAGGGCTGCATCCAGGGACACTGTCAGGCTGCCTCCTTGCTCCATGGCCGACGGGCTAGCGCGGTCTGATTTCTCCGGGTGACCAAACACCCTGGTTGGCGGACTGGAGGGGCTGGTGCCCTCCCACACTTGGGAAGTATTACTCGAGGGGGTCTGGTTCTGTGTTGACTGGTTTGTGGATAAGGGCGGAAAAGATGATGGCGTCTCCTGATTCTTGAGCTGCGATTCCAATTCGGCGACACGCGCATTCAATATCGCGCGTTCTCGCTCCCACAGCCGTCGCTCATCCTCAAACAATGTGCGCTGTCGCACCAGGAGCGACCGTGACTCCTCGAGGTAATCAGCCGCCAGAGGAGAGTATCTGTCGAGCGACCGCGGGGACAAATCCGACTTCAGGACGGAATGGGTGTTTGGGACGGACAGCGCACGACGGATAGGGATCGGGGTCGCGGTCGGCGAAAAGCGCACCTCCTTGTAGAGGCTGCCATGACCGTTGGGGAGCTTCGTAGACGATGACTTCATGGTCGAGTGGATAGGCGATCACTAGGGCGGGGGAGCGATCGAAAGTGAGACAACCGTCGGGAGGGACTGAGCCGGGTCGCCTTCTCATAAAGAGGGATGGTGAAAAGGGGGACGGGAGGTTGGTGGTGTGATGTGGTGGACGAAAGACAGGGAATCGAATCAGTCGGGCACGCACTGGACCGCTATCAGTTTCAAGAGATCCAAAGCTCCGAAATCGAGGGACGATAGGATAGAATTGTTTCGCCCCTCATGAGACGAACGATTATCCACACGGGGTGGGGAATTTTCCGCCTCTCAGGCTAATCGGAACCGTGGGACGGGTCAGGGACGGACCTACACCGTGGCCAGTTGGCGATCGCGCCGTGCTTCTGTGCTATCCTCTGATGCCGTGACAACGAGGAGAATCACCCACGGTGCCTGAACAGCTGTGACCGGGCGCTGGATTGAGGGCGTGGAGAAGAAGATGGCGACCACACGGGAGCGAACAAGTGGACGATGCGCTTGACTGCAGTCGAGGGATTCACAGCATCGTTGCTGTCAACAGAGCCTATCATAGGGCAGACCGGGGCGACTTGGAAACTTCGGTCAACCATGTACGTCGTCTGCGCATCCAATATGCAGACGAATGATGTTGATTATGGATACAGGATGGACGAGAAGATGGAAAGAAAGCGTTTTTATTATAGAAAAACAGTCGAGGTTGTTAGATAGGCTGCAGCCTGAGGCCGATCACAAGACAGCGGATGATGACGTTATGCCGGATGGATAACGTGCACAATTGGATTACTCGTCCAGCAATCCGGATTATTTCCTGATTTGTTCTGATATTTTTCTTATTCGATCGATAATGGTCGTGGTGGATGGTAGTCGAAGTTTATACTGTATGGTTTTCAATAGAGCTATGACAGTTCATACATCATCAATACGATGGTAGATAGCTCTTTGGATTCGTTTGCACATACATCGCTCATTAATCGTTGATTATCATTAGAAGTACTATATAGTATTAAGTGCCTGTAACAGGACTTCTCGCACAGTCAAACAAAACACCCAGAAATATAGCGGACCGTCCATAGGCAGGCATCACAACGTTTCTGGGCATATCTGACCATTAACGTCATCCTGCATCCGTAGACAGCCAATCACTCCAAGACATCAAAGTGAGGAGTCATCACGCAGGTCGATGCATCGGGAACGTTTTCACAGAGTGGAGGGGGGCATTGCAATGGGAGTGGAGGTATAAAGCAGGGTATGAAACAGGGATATAAACCAGACATATAGATGGGGGTATAGGTCAGGTAGAGGGGAATCAGAACAGCGACACAAGACAAGAAACCAAGCCAAACAAAAACAAGAAGTAGAAAAAATCATAACGAACACCCCATCTGCACATTATCCATAACATGCCGATGAACAGCCGGCAGCGCACAAACCTGCAAATCCATCCCCAGCGCCGCGAACAACCTCGCCAGATACAACACGCCCCTCGCAGAAAGATCCCTGCCCCCCACAGCCGCAGAAGGAAAATAAGAGCGTGGCTCCAGATAAAGCAGCACGGACGACCAGCGGGGCAGCTTCTCCGCAAGCATGCGAGCCGCACGGTCATAGTCGCGGAGTCGACGCTTAGGCACGCCCGTCTGGGCATGGACGAAGAAGCAGACCTCGAAGCCGACGCTGCGGATGCGTCGACGGGCGGTGTCGCTCAGGGTATCGAGGAAGGCGCCTAAGCGGTCGAGGTTGAACGAGTTGAGGAAGAAGAGCGTGTGGTCTGAGTAGAGCAGGTCTTCGACCTCGTCGTGGATCTGGCGGTTGACGGAGAGGAGGGCGCGGACTTGGCCTTCTTCGCCGACCCAGCTGGGACACATGGAGAGGGCGCGGTAGCGGCCTCTTGCCGTGAAGGCGTTGGTGCCGCGGTCGTTGACCACTATTAAGGGTTTGTCGATGTTGTAGTCGTTGGGGATGGCGAGGGCGTAGTTGTAGATGATTTGGCGGAGTTCGAGGGGGAGGGCCAGGAGGGGGAATTGGGCCTCTTGCTTTGGCTCTCGCTTTGGCTTTGGAGGGCGTGTTTGAGGGGTTGGTAGGTAGGGGATTGCCCTTGAACGACTACATGATATAGGTGGTAGAGGAGAGATGTTCTTGCGATGTGAATGTGATAGACGACACATGGTCTGCGCCATACTTGTAGAATAAGAACCAGTCTATACACGGATGAAGCAGCCAACTGATAATACAGGATATCTGACAGAGTATCTATCAGAAAATTCAAGAAAGACGAAAGACCTATATAAGAAAATTCTTCTTTCAACCAACATACTATGACTATTAATCAAATGAACAGGGAAAAAAAAAAAAAAAAAAAAAAAAAAAAAAGAAAAAAAAAACCTGAACCACAATCAGACCACTAACAGGATCGGCATCGGCCTCGGCATCGGTATCCCTTTCTTCACGCTATTCTTAGTGTCAGAAATGGATCTCGTCAAGCCGAACCGAACCATTCATTCTTCAATCTCTTCGGCTGGAATCCGTTCTTGTCACCCTATTCCTCAAGGGAACCGAGCATGAATGATTAGAAACTTCGTTTACCTTACTATAATAGATAATACGGTCCGTTCCTGACAACTTCAATCGAACCTCGGCTCGTCAAGCGGACCTATCCAGGACAGACACAACACGCTGGACAGACGTGTCAGGCGCAAATTCATCAGATAACCCAACCCACAGTGGGTCTACATGCCGTTGGTTTGAAAGACCTGGACTTCGTTCGCCACTGGTTAATTGTAGTTAATTGGTTGTTGGTTGATAATAGTAAAAAAAAAATTGAACAAAAAATTGGAAAAAAAAGTGGATTCACTGTAGTATACTACAATCAATTCAACCGATAAATCCCCAACGACCAAGCAGCCCGAAGCACCGCCAGTCCCCACGCCATGCCGATACTGTCACGGAGCACATTCAACTTGCTCCCTCCCACCTCGCGCCACCCGACGGGTACTTCGGCGACGGGAATGCGCGCGAACTCCGCTAGCATGAGCATCTCGACGTCGAAGATCCACCCCTCGGAGTGCATGTATGGGATGATGTAAGGGAGTGATGATCGGGTGAATAGCTTGAATCCGCACTGCGTGTCTTGCACTGTGGCGGTCTTGGGCGGTGTCATGAGCCATAGGATTAGGTGGAAGGAGTGCATTAGGAAATTTCGGATTTTCGAGCGCTGTCATACTGTTAAAAAAGAAGAAAGGGAGAAAACAGGACCGATAAACATACCTTGACAACAGCTTCGCTTCCAACCATATGCGCCCGTGATCCCACCGCCAGCCCACGTCCCGCGGGGTCTTCGATCGCCCGACAGGCCGTCACCAGTTTCCCCAAATCCTCAAAGTTACTAGCCCCGTCCGCATCCGCAAACACCACATACTGGCCGCGAACGTGTCTCATGCCGTGCGTCACCGCGCCGCCCTTCCCGCGGTTCTGCGCCAAGGTCACCACGCGAATCGTCCCCGGCGGGATGTGCACGCCTTCCTGGGTGCCCGGGGTCCAGGGGCCCGCATATCCCTTAGGATGCAACGACAGCTGATGGTCGCGGGCGAACGAAAACGCCATCTCCTCCGTCTTGTCCTTGGATCCGTCCGACACGATGATAATCTCCCACCCCTTATCCGCCCACGCCGACGCCGCCCCATTGACCGCGTGGCCGTTGATCGCGTGTCCATTCTCCGCAGGCTTCCGTTGTCGCGTAGCGCTGCGTGTCGTGCGCTTGGCGCTGCCGTTCGCTGAAGCGGATGCAGCGGCGGTGGCAGCCAGAGTACCGTACATGCGCTCGAGATAGTTCACCGCTTCTTCGAGCATACCGCCCAGCCGGTCCTCTTCGTTGTAGGCCGGGACCACCAAGGACATGAAGACCTCGGCCGGTTCCATGTCTGTGTGGGCGGGTTTCCGGCTCGAGGGCTTACCCTGGGCATCCTGCCAGCAGGGAAGCTGTTCCGGTTTGGTGATGGAACCGTCTTTGGAGAGGGTGCGGTAGGTTTTCTCCTCGGGGAGGGGTTCGCGCGGGATGGGGGCGACGATGTAGAGGGTGACGTAGAACTGTAGTAGACAAGTAGAATGCGGTCAGTAGGTTGTAAATCATTTGGCGAGCGTTGAGAATGGCAATTGGTACCAAAACGAGGAACCCCAGCAGCGTTGCAGCGATCGTCGCGAGGAGAATCTGTGGGGGGACATTCGCCAGGATCTCAGCGCAGTGCACGCAGACCCCCGTCCATGATTCCCCAGCCATCATTGGGACAAGCCCGTAATTGCGTGGGTCACGAAAGAGGTAGGTAATCGAGTAGAAAGTGGTGGTCGTGAAGGCGATGACTGTCTATCGCTGAGGGGGGTTGAGAGCCAGGAAGCTCGATAAGTGGAACCGACGATCCGTACTTGGCCAGCCATGCGATACGGAACGTCTTGCTTCTACAAGCAGTGAGGGAAGAGGAGGAACAATTACACAGCAAGGTGAAAGACAAAAGGAGGTTCAAGAAGGAGATCGAGATCGGACGGACATGATTAATTGATGGTCGGGGTGAATGATGATCGGGAAGAGGACTGGGCGGCGGTGGAGTCCAAGGCGGAGGTTCCATTTCAGGGCAACGCAACGCAACCCTTTCCCTTCTCTGCTAAAAGCGGATGCTCCTCCGCCTGTCGCCAGTTGTCCTTTTCCCCATGTTGCACCTAACCAATATGTATGTGTATGAAACGCCGGATAGAATGGTAGCGCTATCATATAGGTTTATGGATTTCTAGTTTTTTATTATTACTTTGTTGTTCTGTTATCCTGTCTAATCATCCAACTCATTGGTTCTATATATCCCATATGTACATCGTAGCCACCAATAACCATGGTTCGTTCTTTTTTACAAATTTCTGCTCCCCTTATATATAATGACCGTACTGTACATAGAATCCCGGAGGATGCCCAAAGCCTGTACCGGATGGAAAATGACCCTAGCACGATAACCATCGAAGGTACCGCGCAGGTCTCGCTCCAGGCGCAAGGAAGCTAGACTGGTCGTGCAGTGCTCGCATAGATCGAGGACTGAGTACCTCTTCGGTTCAATTGCTTGGCCGAATACCTCATGCTTGCATCAGACGGTAAACAGAGGCTGTCTCCAGGTCGAATGGTCATCGTGCCGCGCGGTGGTAAACCACAGTGATGGACCGGCGCGTTTCCTGTCGGAAATCAATAGCTATGCAAAGTACAATAAGACCAAGCCCTTCCAAGACCCGGTGGGGTTCCTGAGAGATCAGGAAGCATCCAAATGACGCAACACCGCTCCATTGGGCAGCGAACCACGAAACGATACTCAAGCATCGTGTAGGGTGACCTCCGGGCCCTTCGGCGGGCTTGTTATCTGGAGCGGATCATGGGACTCGGCCAGCTTCTCCAGCGCACAGGCAAAAGGCGTTGCGGAGAACACGTGCGCATTCGGGTCGTACGTGAACCAGCGATTGAACTGGACATTCGTTAGTGGGTTAACGTTTGAGCGATGCGTACTGAGGCAAAAGAACTCACCGTGGCAAGGCGTACGCCTAGCCAAAGACATCGATAGGTCCTGGACATCCCCGTAGACGGCCGTTCGACGTTGCGACCGTCATCTTCCGTGGGCGAGCCCACAAAGAACGCAGGTGGGTAGAAAGTCTGGCTCCAGAGCTGGCCGCGCATCAGAAAATCCTCGGGGAGCCATCGGGTGTCCTCTGAGATGGGAAACTCGGGTTGTTCGACCAAGGCCATATCGACCCACGGGCGGACCATCGTGTTGAGGAAAGTAACAATTCGCTCCCAAGGGACCATGGCTTCCACGTGCTTCATGCCGTTCGTGGTGAGAGCCAGGCACCAGAGGAAGGCCAAAGAGCTGTGAACGGCGGGGAAGATGTTCTTGTCGCCAAGCTGATCAAGAAAGACGGACAAGGTCTTGAACGCAAGACAGGAGCCGTAGAATATGAGAGGCAGGGGACTTTGTAAATTCTCAAGTGCTGTCAGATCGGCTTCAATCTGCTGGACATCCTGGACAGGCGTCCAATTTTCGGCAGCGGACATGTACGCCGCCTCAAGCGATCTCGGATGTTGCGCCGCATGGTGGAATTCTGCAGAGAGGAGGCTGTCCGTGCCGGAGTATTGGAGCATGGAGGCGATATTGGCGGAGGTCATGTGGACGCCCTGCATCTTGAACGCGGAGCCAACCCGGCCTAGGTGTTTGTCCAACACTGACAAGAACTCTTTTGCCGAGGCGGCAAATTGGGCGGCGGTGCCTCCAGTAAAGAGACGGCCGTGCGCAGCCACAAAGGAGATGGCCGCCATGTGATGGGGATTTGCTCGGGGTCCCTTGAGGATCGGGTTGAACAGCAGGAGGATGCTCTCCCGGGTGCCCGCGAAGGAACGCACGCTGACCAATGACCGGGTGTAGTAGAAAAGCTGCTGCACGATGTCGGGACGCGCCAGCACGGCAAGGTGATGTTGAATCCGTCCGACGTCGGGATTTCGGTTGGCCGCCTGGTTGTACCAGTTCCGGGCGACCCCCGCCCACACTTCCCGGTCGCGCAGATCGACCTCTTCGACGGCCATGCGGTATCGCGACAGATCTCCGAGGCACTCGATCCACGTCTCCTCGAAGGCGGGGACGGTCTCCATCAGCAGGGTCATCATGGAATAGGCCAGATAAATGAAAGTTAGCATGTGATCAAGTGAACCGGGGAGTCGGTGTCGTAAAAGTTCGAGGAAGGCATGGATGCCGTAGCGCCACATTCGAGCCGGCATGGCGTATTTCTCGGACAGTCGCGTCAGGACGGGGCTCGCGGACGGGTGCTGGGAGGCCATGAAGAAGTCGTGGTGCTCCTGGAGCAGGGTGCGGTGTAACGAGATCAAGGTCTGCCACTGCTGGTGGGAGAGTTCGCTGTTCGATTCGGACTGCTCTTTGTCGATTTCGATGCACTTCTTCTCCACCATGACCAGGCCGGCGTAGATTCCGCGAACCTCATTGATCAATTGCTCTTCTGTTATAGGATGAGTGTCTGGCTGCAGGAAAGTACCATGTGATGCTGTACCTCCGGCTACCGCAGAGAGTCCTCCAGCGGGTTTCTGCTCAAAACTCAATCCTCGCGCCGACTCCTGTCCATAGCTGAGTCTCTCCGTGGTACCACCACGCGACCCTCTCGGCCGCGACGCGGCGTGTCGCTGTTTGGTCGTGGGGGTGGGCGCCGCCACCGGTCCCTCGGTCGACGCGGGGCTAGATTGCACGGGCCGGGGGTGCAGGCGGGAACGCTCGCCGTCACTACCAGTCATTTCGTCGGCGGATTCGGCGGACAGTCGAAATTGACGGGGTTCACTGCCGACGGGACTGGCTCTTCCCGCTCGGTTTTCGGCGGCTAGCCGACTGACCGAATGGGCCAGACGGGGAGTGGAGCGTCTGGGTAGTGGCTCCCATGCTTGGCGCGGCCCGTGGAAGGTGCTGGGGGACACACTGCCGGGGCCGTAGTCGCCAGGAGCATCTAAACTGTGGCTGTCGTGCGCCGGCCCCGCCGACGGGGGCCTCTGGTTCGAAAACGAGGCGCTGGCCGAATGAATGGCCCTGTTGGTGGTTGCGGAGCCCACTAGGGATCCATCGTCTGACACCCACGGGGGGATGGATTTCCTGCGCACGCGTCAGAAGAGTGCATCGAGCCGGAGTGGGCAACCGTTGCCCGAAGATCGATGTTCACGACCGGACAGAGCTCTACACGAGCCGTACAACTTACCTGGAAAGTCCGGGGTGCTCACCACTCTCGGGGGAGCCCATGGACGGCGAATCCACACGATCGGAATCGAGGGCGCGAGTCCTGGAAACCCCCCGGTATGGAATTGGCAGAGATCCCCGATCTTCATAATTTCCGTCACTCATCGTACTGGGTGCCAATGTCCGTAACACGTCATCTGGGTAAGACAATTAGCTCAGGCCCACACCATGAAGATAGATCGGACACGACGGAGAGACAGGCAACGATGGAAAGGAGAGCCAATGCAGAACAGAAAAGAGTGGAAATAGTACAGCGCACAAACTACACACAAGACATTTGAAGTTGGAGGGATGTCAATATACAATTGAACCACGACGTCCAGGAGGCTTAATAAACCGTTGGAGCCAGCAGCATCACCGTCCAACCAGAATCCGGCTATCCCGCAGTGCTTGAACCGAGTAGACTATCAAGACATGAAAACCACAAAATAACGCAGTTATCAACTAGAACTGACATGGACGGTGAGTCACGATGACACAAGACTTACGCGGGATGATGAGGAATTTATAAGACCAGAAGAGAGCCAAGCCAATGCCAATAGCGAGATTAGGCAACTTGCTGCCTAGACGATGAACGAGTCAACCCGAAGCGACCAGGTCAATATCCGCCACCACGGTCAGGCAGGGGATGATACGACAGATTGGATGCCACGGGGTCCACAGGGAGAAGCAAAGGAGAAGAACAGAAGAAGTCAAAGAAGCAATAGCAGGAGTAGTAACCACAGGAGTCTTATTGTTTGGATGGTGAGGCGGAGAAAGATAACGAGGCAGATGAGGGGTGATGTTACCCGTAATGCGGTAATCTTACGTGGATTATGCACACTGAAAGGAGGGAATTCCGGGGGTGCTGGTAATTAATACGAATAATACATCGCCATCTGATTCGATCGGCATGGAAGGAGTTGGCCTGATCCATCAGGTTGCCTTGTCCTTGTCTTCTTTCTTTCTCCACTCTTGATCATTGGAATCTTCCACATGAATCAATTGCATCTTCTGGAGAAAAAAGAAGAAAAGAAAAGGAAAAGAACACATCCCTGGTTCCGATCACGAACGATCAACGCGTCTCATTGGAAGATCGAGCCTGATCGATCAGTCCATACATACACCTCAGCTATATATATTAGACCCCGATGGCTAGATCAAGATTTCAAACATGCCATTGAAAAGCACCCTACTTTACCACACTCATATTCTGATACAGTCTCCTGACCTTGTCATCCACAGGTTGACTTCAACTGACTGGACTAATCGGCCTCTACTCACCTGAATAGGAATATTGACAAGACCGCCCTAGTGGCGTTCAGACCGTCGGATTCCCTCCCATGCTTCAAACTGTACGACCAAGATCTGGCAATCTGTTCTCGAATTTATCTCCTTACAGGTCATGTGGTCCACGAAGTAAAATCGGACATCCCGTTCTGGAAATAGTCTGGCCACGATCCACCTATAAGCCGAGCTGCCTGAACGGTTGAGGGATGTTGCCTGCATCGTTGACCCTTGCTATGGCTATGCGCGTTGGTGTCTTCTTTCTTCTTTCTTTCACCCTTCAACCTTTTGATTTGTTTATGGTCAATCTTTGAGAACGTTGAATCCGCCTCATCACAGATTGACATGCGCCAAGTCAGGCAATCAACGCCTAGGTCATTCACAAGGCGTGCCTCAAGATAGCCGAGAACACATCCGTATCCACAGCTCCCTGCAATGGAAGGGTGGAAGGTGGAAGGGTCCCCGATAGTCTGTTTACCCTTGCGTCGACCCCACCCCTACCCTCAAAGCTTGATCAGGTATTATCACCTCAGGGCTGTATCGAGTCATGTGCAAGATCAACCTATCTCATAGGTTGATCATCAGCAAGGCTGTCTTTTCCTGGCTTGCTTATTCCCTTCAGCCGCGGTGAGGGTGCCTGATGTGATTTGCATAGTATGGATGAATGATCGGATAGGGTAAATCGTATATAGGCGCATTAGAGCAGCAAGGCTTAGATTGTTTTCCAGCCTTATCCTACAATGATACTACGTATAGAACTGATAGTAAAAATTAGCAGTGCTGTCAGTATGCTACTCTTACTCAGTCTATACAATATTGAAGCGAATACCAAAGCTCGGATAATATCCTAGACGACGCATAACAATACACCCTATACGCAATACGAGGTCCATCACCCAGCCGGCCAAACCTAAACACACCCCGCAAGTGCCCAAACTGCGCACTGATATCCATTCCATAGTCAATACGAGAGACTATGATGTTAGCGTGCAGACCAAGTCAGTACTCTGAGCTGTCAGTATCTTCTCACTGTCTATTACCTAGTAGTGTCCAATTGATGCATTATCTTTAATGTTGGGTATATCAGTCAGATTAAGCCCTATACCAATCGTTGGTCAACTGTTGGGCGTAGCAGTCATGACTTAACCCCACATACCTAGATACAATAATGCTGCAAAGTTTACTACCTGACTACAAAAGAGATCAATCATACCACTCTTGGTCTTTGTAAGTAACCCTATATCCAGTACGACAAATACATTCGGTACGCCGTTGGAGACCTGAGGTCTGTATCCAACCGACTACAGTCTACACCGCACCCAGCCTCATCTAGTCTGTCATACGTCATACGTCATGCATGCTCAACATTGGCTACGGATCCTTGGAAGTACCATATTCGAGCATGGGTATGCTTATATGTGTGACAGGGCTCTGACTACTATGCAGACTCAAGGCAGCGCCTGACCGTGGCGTGGCTTTGGCACCAACGACCCAGGAAGACCCGGTGGTATTGTGAGCCTCTTGCCTAGATTTAGTGAAACAATAGGCTACAAGTTGGCACGATAAATGTATGGGTTTTTAGCACAGCAGACTACGCCTCACCCTCGAGCACATCCATCATCAATCACCACTGAAAACCAAGCGTAGCAGCACGAGCAGCACCAACTTGTATCACACCCATGTCCCTACCACCCAAATTCTTCGACGAAGCTATCACCACTCCAAGCCAGCAGCACCACCAGATTGAACCACCTTAGCCCTATCCCTCCCCCCCAAACCCCTCTCCACAGCCATAACCTCAAACAGCCTCTTCCCGAATCTCCGAAAAGCAGAAGCAACACCCCCATGCTCAAACAGCGCTTTCTCCATGCGACTAAGCCGGAACGCGAAGTTGCGTCCACCAACGCTGAAAACATTAGTCACAAAGTCAATGGAAATGTCGCGTCCGTCGAGCGCAACGTCGTAGAATGATTCATCTTGCAGGACGATGCCCAGGAGTCCTAGGTTGGGCATGTTGCGTTGGAAGATGAACGTAAAGGATTTGGCGATTATGCATTGGATGCCGGTGCCTGTTTATATTTGTGAGATAGAGTGATTGTGAGTACTAAATGATGTTTTGTACTGTGTATGGATTGTCTGGGTTTTGTCTGGGGGGTGACATACCCAGTAAAGCCATAACGGCCTGTTCACGCGACGACCCGCACCCAAATGCCTGGCCTGCAACCACGATGTTGAAACCCTGTCTGGCGCGGTGGCGAAAGTCTGGGTGTGTGTATTGGAGACAGTGTTGTCCGCTGGCTTCGTTGGTATTCATGTCCATGAGGAATTCCGCTGGTGCTAGCTGTAGTCATGATTTTCTTAGTAGTTGGCTCGGGGAGACATGTGAGGTACGTACGGCGTCTGTGTCGATGAAGTCGCCCAGTCTTTGGATTCTTCCTGTAAGTGTCTGCGTTGTAAACGTAGCATTGTGTGTTATGCCTCCTGTTGAGACTGTCTGACTGCTTTCCAGAGAAAGAGGTGTCTCCAAGTGCTGGGAGTCAGACCCATTCGGCTCGACGTATACGACGCTGTTTACCGAGCTTGCTGCCCTAAAACGTCTCAAAGATTCCCATCGCTGCGTGTCAATAGCACTAAGTAGATCATGAGGATCACGCAGCTTCATTCCAAAAGACGAAGCAGCAACGGTAGCAGCCGAGCTTAGATGCCCAATTGACCCTCCATGCCCATCAGTCAATCATCCTAAAACATCCAAGAAACACTCACCCCTTCCCATCCTGTTCTCAAAATTCCTATTTTGTGACGACAACCAAACTTCCCCCGGGCCCGCCTGATCAGCCGACATCCCCACGCAGTAACTACATCCCGGAACGCCGATCTCGAATCCGGCATCCTCGTACAGCTCAATAAGGCCCAATTCACGAAGCCGACGCAGGATGGGCATTGACCCTGGAACGACCTTTCTTTTGCCCTTGCGGACTGGTTTGAGACCCTGCAAGAAGCCCTGTTCGAGAACCAAGGCTGCTAGGATGAGATCCTCCTCGGTCGTGGTGCAAGCGCCGATGAAGCACCCGTCTAGTTCCATGTCTTCGTGGTCAGCGACGGGGACGACATCGTCCGGTCGAGGATACCGGGATAGAAAAGAGCGGACTTCGCCAAGGTCGATTTCGCATGTCTCGGCGTAGTGCGCGTCTTCGTCGGGCTTGAGATAGACGCTGTCTTGTTTGTGGCGCGGGAGCCGTCGACCCTGAACGAAAGCGTGGGTTTCTTCATCGGGGACGAACAGTCCTGTGATACCGCCGAATTCCTGGCCTTATGCATTAGCAGAGACAATCCATGACACAGAACCTATGATAGTAATATATACCGCTGTCATATTACAGATAGCAAACCGGGCATCCGACGACAAGTATTTCACTCCAGGGCCGGTGAACTCCACTATTCTCTCCGATGCAACGGTGTTTCTCTTCAGCTGTTGCAGAATGTATAATATCACGTCTTTGCCCCCGATGCCGGGCCTCGGAGACCCCACGAGACGGATACTGACGGATTCAGGAACCTTGAACCAGGTCTCTCCTGTGACAAGGGGCAGCGTGACATCTGCAGCTCCGAGACCAATAGCTAGACAGCCGAGTGCCCCGGACGAACAAGTGTGTGAGTCTGAGCCGACGACGAGCATCCCGGGTTGTGCTCTTTCGCGGTAGAATTCGGTGTGCAGGATTGTATACTGCGCTGATCAACACGACGTAATACATCGCTATATATAGAGAGCGATAGATAGATAGAAGGTAAAAATGATACTCACATTCATCCCCTGATAATCCGTCATCTTAAAAACCCGCCTCGCCCTCTCACTCGCATCAATCAACGCCCGCACCTTAGGAAGTGCATTAAAACGAGGATCCACGACATGGTCCCCCACCAGCCAAAAGCGATCATTGCGAAATATCCCGGGCTGGCCTAAACGCGTGTACGTTGTCTCCATGCCCTAGAGCACAAAAAAAGGTCACTCAACCAGACCATACACGACAGGAAAAGAAAAGAACACAGCTGACGTACCGCCCACGAAGCCTCCGACGCAATAACCCAATCAACATCAACACAGATAAGCTCTCCCGGAGCGACGCACCCCCTGCGCTGGATATCATGCACGGCGAAGATTTTCTCAGAGAGGGTCATTGCGCGCTGACCACGCGGTCGAGACGAGAGGGGGGTAAGAGGGGATTTGGACCTGTCTGCGGAGTTGAGAGATTCCAGCCATGCGGACGCGAGGAATTGGATCTCGGACTGCTGTTCCGGGGTTAACTCATCTGTAGTGGAGAGACCTAAACCACCTAGCTCTGGGGACTGGGTGCAGATGGCGAGGACGTCGGTTAGTGTGGTTGCTTCTCGGGGGTGGCCTTTTGTTTGGAGGCTTTCGCTGGTCTGTTGGAGGTGGTGGAGAAGGTTGTTTTGCGGGTGTGGGTTGCTGAGGGATTCTCCTGTGGAGATCATTGTGTGAGATGTTTATCTGTATCATGCTGTTGTATGGCGAGAAAATCATGCAGACTTACTTTCTACCTGGCTGAACCGCACACCTCTCACCTGGTCGAGGACATCGAGCAACTGCTCAACGCTGGACGTTGGTGCCGGTGACATTTTCCTCACGGCGCGTTGACTCTCTATAACCCTATATTTTCGACTCGTGAGGTATCTCCCCGAGTTATTGTAACGGCGAGAGAAACTTTGCTTGAGTGTGGACAAAAATATATCTAGGTAGTACCTATATAAAATAGATGGAGGGGCAAACCCGGTTACGGCCCGGAAACGGGCTCTCGTTTATCTCCAGTATGAAGAGAGGCTCCCCCATATCAGTCTGAGCCCACGCGATGAAGTTAGACGCATCGTATGGTATAATGTCTGAGGTGTCAGCATATTGAAATGTCGCGCGCTTATATATCGAGCTCTACAGAGAGTCCAATCACCCGCGAGCAGACAGTCTCGCTGTACTTGAACAGGAGAAGCTGTAAACAGCAGTAGTCTTCAGTCGACATCACACGAATCATATTAGAGGTATATGCGCTTCACAATCTAAGTGAAAACAAAACTAAGCTGACATGAATGTACATCGCTGTGTTATTGCCCAACACCACTGATAGATGCAGGTAGCGCGCAGGACGGATATGAGGCTGGTACTGGCAATGATCGCATGTGCAACGAAACACGGATGGAAGGAATAACGCGCAGAATCTAGCCGGTAGATCGTAGTTGGAGATGATAACATAAGACCGGAGCCCGTAACGTCGAAATCGTGAGTCGAAACTGGAAGGGTGAGAGGAAACTGCTTGATGTCTGGTATTATTAGTTACCAGATTCGAAACTACAAATATGTTTAGAAAGATCTGTCAATAAATTGCGAGCCAGATCAACATACCGTGTATTTCACTGGACCCTGGCACCTCTGCAAGGCGGATATGAGGCTGGTACTGGCACTGATCATTATGTGCACGATACCCAGATCAGAAAGCATAAGCGCAAGATCTAGCCAGTAGATCGTAGTTGAAGATAGTAGAAACAGACCGGAACCCGTGGCGTTGAAATCACGAGTGAACCGGAAGGCTGAGAGGAAATACTCGGTTGCTGGAGTATTATTATCAGGAGAGGTAGATTCGAAACTGTAAAGATGGTCAGCAAGATTACTCAATACCTCCAAGCCAGATATATACCTTGTATTTCACCGGTCCCCGGCACACAGGGCACAGGGCCTTGCTCTTAGGACGAGTCCGGTCCGCTCCGGACGGCATATGCTGCTCCGCACACCAACGACACAAGATGGCATGGCCGCAAGGCAGCATCACCGTGTCGACCAGCTGGCTCATACAGATCTTGCATTCCATGTTGACCGTCAGGTCGTCCGTTTCCTTGGGCTCCGGACGACCGTCATTCTTGCTATCCAGACTTTTGGGTAAAGGAGACTGGCCGTTAATGTCGAGGGTCTCGTAGCGGCGTTGGCTCTGTGCGATGGCCTCATGGTAGAGTCGAATCTCGTTGGATTGAACGCGAGCCATGTGCAATTGCCGTGCCAGCTCTAGTCGGTCACGGTCGTCTGGGGGAATCCACGGGTGGGATCGATGTACGGTGGGACCGGGCTGGCGATCGCTGGAAGGCTGAGGAGGAGTGGATTGGTGCGCGTTGTTCGCGGGAGCGGGGCGAGTCTGACGGTGTCCGTTGACGCCATTGCGGCCTGAAGGCTGTCGAGTAGAGCCGACCGGCCCCACGCTAGATGACGATCGGTGATGCCTTCTCATCCCCACACCCCCTCCTACCTGCGGGTAAGGGGCACTGTTGCGATGCCGAAATGGCGGCTGTGAATAGTTTACAGAGGGTCGTACCCGTGATAGATGCTGCTGGAGCACCTGTGGGATCTGTTGCTGGTTGGGAACTGCTTGGACGGGCGGGAACTGTGATCCCGTGGGGTTTACGTTCGGGGTTGGCTGTACTAGTGGAGGGTATACCCAGCCCATGAGATTGTACGGCGGGGGGTTCAGTTGATTCATCGCGTAGGCCGATCTCGGGTTGGGATTCAAAGGTGGTGGTTGCTGGTAGCCTGAGGCTTGTGTTGGATTCCAATTTTCCAGTGCCGCACGTGAATGCATCTGTTGCTGCATGGAGTCGGGAGAAGGCAGTTGGGAAGATTGTTCGTTCTGAACAGGCAAGTCAACTGTGTTGGTGTCAGATGCGAGTTGAAACATGTTGCTTCCCATCGCTTCTGTTCACTGTTAGTGACTCGTTTGGAAATACCCCTACAAGACGAATTCTTACCAGGTTGTCCCATGTTGGGCCCGAAAAGATTGGGCGGCAAGTCGAAAGACATGCCCTGCATCGGTATACCTAGATAGGGATCCGTGACAGGACCTTGCCCAGACCCCGTGTTCATCCTGGTCTGGTTCAGTGCAACGAAGAAAATGGGCAGATGGCGACGGAATGCACTCCCGTTCTGGATAGTTTGCAAATTTCCCCTTATAGTATCAATACTATTAGAATACGCGTGAGTTGGAGGATATGGCGACGTGTGGGATAGAAGAGATGGAGCGAAGCGTGAGGTTTAAAAAGTCTCAAGAGTAGTTAGCACGCGGGTTAGCGAAGTGCTGCGAGCAAATAGATGCGTTGGTGTTGCTAGGGTTGCGGATCCTCTGGTGACCTATGTCACAGACAAAAGAGCTAGTGAGTGTGACTAGTGACAGAGCGAGCAGAATAAGGAACCGGAGGACGAAAACAGGAACACCACTGTCAAACATATAAGGTGTCCGTAATGACCGCAAAGGTCAGCCTAGCGGATAAGGCAGTGACTCAATGATGATGGAAGACAACCAGTATCCAAACACAGAGAACCGCGATAATTTTCTGATATCACGAGGCCACTTGAGACCCCCCCCCCAAAGTTATTCGCGAGGCTCGCGTGCGAGCAGCAGATCGAACTCAGATGGAGACAGCCGATAGCATGGTTATGAATGCGAGTGAAACAGGAAGATGTAGAATCCCAGGCAAGCATGATTTATCGCTGGGGTAGTAGAGCCTCACGGGCTGACATGAAGCGAATCAGCAATATGTCTTATTACAGGCTTTGGGCAACAGATCAGACGGGATGCGGAATCAAGTCGTCACCGAGCATGCGCAGCCGGGCAAAAGCAAGACTGGATCCCAGGGATAGCAGGTAGAGGCGCTGGCTAGAATCCAGAACCCAACACATCAACTGGCGGCTACCAACAGGGGACTGAAGTCATGATGAGGCCTCTCTTTTTGGAGGCCGAGGTTCCCGAGCACTGAGTCAAGTGTATGGCCCTGAGAGAGGTGGGATTCGAGCAAGAGAGCGAGAACCGGATCAGCAGCGGGCACGGGAAGTTAGGGGACGTTCGCGAATCGGCCGTATTTGCGGTGGACCCCGAAAGTTCCAACCAAATTTCCAGCAATGTGGAATAGATGAACGGGACGAGTCAGAGAAATGAGGCGCGATGGTGATATCGAGGGACTCAGTCGGACTGGATGCTGGGACAGCGTTGGTACTAGTAGTAGTGACTGGCGATGGGGCGATGAAATTGGCCCACCACTTCCCTCCTCCAACGACAGCTCGATCGCCGGGAGATGGTGTCGGGAGTGGGATATGAGAAGCAGTCTCTGTTGACCTATGAGAGAGAACAAAGGAAAGAATGGAGTAGGATTGCCCAGAATTTAGTTGGTTGTTAGTTCGTGAGTCCTTGACATGGAGAAGTTGCTTCCAACCAATGACGCCAACGGTCAGCCGTGGTCAAGTCTCAGTCACACGGAGGACTTTTGCCTTGGTTTTTAATTATGATTATGGTTATTATATGATGATGACCATTACTTGTGTTATTTTTCTACTATATCTTTCCTTAGGGAACGCATAAGAACAATTAATGGAAAGGGAGAACGTAGGTATCTCCGACCCATACGGATCGAATTATCACCACAAGACATCGAGAGTGATCGAGTCGTCAATACTTGATAGAGAAAAGAGAGATCAAAGATGTATATAATTCCACAAAATAATCGAAATCAAATAGACATCGAATAGAAACCTCACAAAACCGATAACATCCAAGTCAGCCAACCGCACACCAGGCTGACCCGGTGGTTCAGACCCCTTGGAGCAACAAGAGGAGACAGAATCAGGTCATGATGATAAAGACCAGGGCTAGACCGGGATCAGGTCAGAAAAATATAATTTATCTTTCCTTTATCATCTTGTCACAGGCCAGCTAAACACAGTACTAATTTAGGCAGGTAGCAGCACCTTCTAACCACACTAACTGCGTTCAGTAAAATGCAATTTCATAAGTTCGCATGACTAATCCTACTAATCCTCCGCAAAGAACTATGACGTTATTCAAGTCGAGGTCCTGCTCAAACAACAAAGTCCCATATCTCCTCTACAGCTCTGATCAATCAAATGATCAACCAAGATTGATCTCCTAATTCATGATCCCTCGGAAGTTATTACAGTCCTTCTCGCCCGTCTTCTCCACCCTCCGACCGCGACCCCGCCCCATGTCGAGCTTCACCATCAGCGCCGAAGGAGGCCCAGCACCGATCCCCGTGCGCAGCGTCCTAGATCTCACCAAAGATGACCTCCTGCGCTTTCCCGCGTTCAACATATGGCTGTCCACATTGCGGCGATCTCTGGATCGACAGCGGAATCCCGCCCACGAGTTCCACAAGGATCCGTATGTCTTGCGCGGCATTGATATCCAGGCGGTGGACGTCTTCGGCGGGGGACGGTTGGGGTTCGTTAAGTTGAAGTCGGTGGTTTCGACGGAGGGCGGGGAGACGCTTCCGGGGAGTGTCTTTCTGCGTGGGGGGAGTGTGGGCATGCTGGTATGGTTTAGCCTATCCTTTTCGGAGTTGTCTTTCCCACAATACGCGTGAAAGATCATGCTGACTTTCCTCTTGTAATCAGCTCCTCCTCCAACCAGACGATGTGCCCCCCTCCGCAGAGGACGAAAAACGCGCCATCCTCACAGTCCAACCGCGCATCCCAGCAGGATCGCTCGCATTCTCCGAGATCCCGGCCGGGATGCTCGACGACAGCGGGTCGTTCGCCGGCGGGGCGGCGAAGGAAATTCAAGAAGAGACGGGCCTGACGATACCCCAGAGCGAGCTCATCGACATGACATCGCTTGCGTTGCAGTCGGTACCAGCACACGAAGACGACGAGATGCTCCAGAAAGCCGTGTATCCGTCGGCGGGCGGAAGCGACGAGTTCATTCCGCTGTTCCTGTGCCAGAAGCGGATGCCGCGGGCGGATATAGAGGGGTTGCAGGGGCGGTTGACGGGCCTCAGGCAGCATGGGGAGAAGATCACGTTAAAGGTGGTGCCGTTGAGGGATTTATGGAGGGAGGGGTTGCGGGATGGGAAGACGTTGGCCGCTTGGGCGTTGTACAGGGGTTTGAGGGAGGAGGGGAAATTATGAACTCTCTCTCTCTTTTGTCTCTCTTTCTCTCTCTTTTTCTTTTCCCACGGCCGCTTTGGGTCTGTAATAATAGAACGGTCAAATAGAATAGGGGGTGTCATTGTGTATGGACGCTAATGTGATCTATAGACATGTAATGGAACGGAGGGGCCGGTTTACTAGAGCTTCAGTCTCTTTGCCAGCTCAATGCCCTCGGCTATCGTGCCCACGCGGGCATCGATGGCGTACCCCTCGTCCTCGAGCTTCTTCATCTCGTCAAAAAGCGACGTGAGCGGGACCGTGAAGCACTCGATGAACTCGTTGTCTTCGAGCTGCGGCTTCGGGTCCTGGTTCTCAGGCAGGGACATGTCGACTCGTACGTGGACCATGTTCAGGCTGGTGTTACAGAAGCCGGGGTCTGCAGTAGGACTAGAAGTAAGCAGTTGTTTCGATGATTCGCCCAGGGCTAGGGTAATGGCCAGCCACGATAATCCGGGTGGGAGACACGGGAGATCGATGTGTTGGGAGGGGTTGAACCAAAGGAGGGAATATAGAAGATGAAAGATGAAAGAAAAAAAACCTACCATTGTACATCACACTGCTGGTCTGCTCAGCGACACCCACGTACCCCGTCTCCTCCTTGAGTTCGCGAACTGCGCATTCTTCAACCGTCTCTCCTGCATCGATCAGACCCGCAGGGACCTCAATGACCACCTTATCGATGGGAGGACGGTATTGCTTCTGCAAGAGGAGCTCTGGACCGGTCGAATGATTCAAGATGGTCACGATGCCAACGCCATCGATCTCACAGTTGGCGGGCCGGGTCTACCGAGAGAGAGAGAAGTCGGTCAGTGTGTGGTCATAACCGGATAACGAACAGACTGGAATTCTTTGTTTGCCTATGCCAACAAGAAGGCGGGGGAAGGGGGCTTGGTGTTGCTCTGAGAATTTGGTTCCTCGGGTGGTTGCCTCGTCACATTGGGCTCTTGGGCAGAGAGTCGAGCCTAGACCTTTATCGTCCGTTGTTCTGTATCTTCTTTTCCATTTTCCTTTTTTTCCACCCTCCCCGGGCTTCCGTTTTGATACTACTGTGTTTTGACTCTCTTCCCCCCCCCCCCCCCCCACCCATGGCGTCCAATCACATCATGTGACGGGCGGTAAACCAAAGCAAATATAGAGGAGAAAGAGACACTTTCTTACCTTTCGCTCCGCCGACTCCCACGTCCTCTCCACTCCATTGGGGTCACAGTAAGTGGTCTTGATCAACCTAGCCCATCTAGCTTCGCTGGGGTCCTACCAACATACCACATCGCATTAGTCCGCAAGTAACGATATCGTCGGGCGATAACACCCTGCGAGAGATACGAGCTCCTCGCACACGCAAAACGGACAAAGGAGGGTGCGCCTTAAAGCCAGCTTACCAATGGGCCCCTGGAGATGACCTTTGACTGGGCGTATTTTGGCGTCGACATGGTTAAAATCCCGTTACGATAACGGCTTGATTATCAAGCTGGGGATGAGACGAAGGGAGTTGAGTTGAATTATAAGAACTGGGAATAGGAATGTCAGTCATTGAATAAGTATTAAGCTTGATAGCTTGAATTTGGTAGCAACATACTGGAGTATTAAGGATGCGACGCCCTGTAGCTTAACACCGGTGACGTACAAGGACAGAACCACGTTGGCCAGACGAGGGGCAGCGGAGGGGTGGAGCTTGGCTAGCACCGCAGGGCTAGCCCTAATCAGATTGCAGCACGTACCAGGCTGGCAGGCAGGAAGCCTGGAATCATGTCTATATCTTCCTGTTGCTCGCATTAGAGACCTGCAGACAACAGACAGGTCAAATGAATAAGGCAACGAATAGAGATGAAGGTTCATTACCGAGACCGCAGATAAATACGGTTCCGCTATGTATCGGGTCACAAGGAACTCCACCCCCTGCTAAATGAAGCAGTTGACTTGAAATTATACGATGAAACCGAAACCTTCTTGGAGACAAATAGACAGGACAAAGAAATAGAATCCAGGGAAACAAACATGCAGGCTCCTATGCCACGTAGCACACCTGTGGTCTCTTTTCTGAGACATGGATATGTACTACTATGCCGGCGCATACGGGCGGCTTTCTAACTCTAGTGGGTATGCAAACAAACCATCAGTGCATATTTAACGTCAGTGAATGAAAAAGAGAAAAAGTGAAAAAGTGACAGCTAATTGATTAAATAAATGATCACTGGCATTCATTCTATACAACCCATCTCAATTAGTATGACATGTTAGACCAATGGGCCATAGCGCTACAAGGAACGATGTGGGGCGTCGGGCCGTGCTGGATTAGACACAGCACGGCGGCGGCGTTATCCGTCTACTAGCCGCGAAAAACTGGGGAACAGAGGAATGGATCTCAGAGAGTTTTTGTATTTTCTATGGATTATACTCAGGTTCAGATCTGACCATATCTGTCTTTCTGATAGGTCCTGTCTATGATAGAAAATTGTGTAGTAATGCATGCATGTGTCCCGACCATCGAAGGAAGTGCCTGGGAACAAAGAAATGAAAAGATGTCGAGGGATTATCGTCGCATGACGCCCAGGTCCCCAAACGGACGGGTGGGAATCAGCGCGAAAGGGCTCTCCGTCTGACTTGGGGGTCTGATTCGGGATATTATGCTAGGCTGGAAAAGAAACTCCTTCGTGGTGGATGCGTTCGCTGTCGTGACTTCGTGTGGATCAGAGGGAAGGGAGGGGGCGAGATAGCGTTCAAGCGGCCTCGATCTCGGCGAGGCACTTGGGGAACTCGCTCCAGTCTTTCATGATGACCTTCGCGCCCAGCTGCTCCAAGTATTGTGCCATTTCGATCTTCTTCTGATCGCCGTTGTAGCTGCCGACGTAGCCGATGACGGGGATACCAGCACGGATGGCGCTCAAAGCACCGGACTTGCTATCCTCCACAGCAACCGTCTCCTCGGCCGTCTTATTGCACACCTTGAGGGAGTGGATGTAGATGGCGGGGTCGGGCTTCGAGGTGGGCGTAGGGAGCGAGGTGGCGGCGCTGAAGACACGGTCGGGCTTGAAGAATTTGTCCTGTCCGACCTTCTTGATGGAGGCCTGGACACGACGGAGAGCGGACGAGGACACCACCGCAATATCGTACTTGCCCTCATCATAGATCTTCTGGAGTTCTTCGCTGGCACCGACACAAGGCTGCGCCTTCGCATCGAGCTTGGCGATGACCTTATCCTCCTCTTTCTTCACGTACCCCTCCAGCTCGTCCGCGGCCAGCTCGAACTTGTACTTGGCCTGGAGAGAGATCATCATGCCACGGAAGTTCTGGCCCACGAAATCCTGGATGAGCTGATCGCCGGTGTAGCGGTCGGGAATGTTGTGCTTCTCGAGGATCTCATTGGCAAGATCGGCGCAAGCCTCGAAGGCCAACTCTTCCGAGAGGACCAGAGTGTTGTCGCAATCGAAGAAGATCTCGGTGATCTGCGGGGTGCGTCGTTAGTAAGCTCTGGTGGGGTCTGCGATATTCATGGGATGATCGGAGACTCGTATACTCACTTTAGGCATGATGGCGGAGTTCTGACTTTGAATTGGAGGGATGGAAATAAAAGTTCCCAAGTAAGGCGGGATGAAGTGTGAAGGGAGTGGAAGTGGGGGTTTTGGTGACAAGGGTGGTTGTTGAGGAAAGGGAACAACAAAATCGTATAGACTTGAAAGAAAATCAAAGGATCACACGTTCCTTAAGTAGCTTGAGTGATAGGTAGTTAGGGAAGTGACCAAAATGGGAAAAGGGGACAATGACGCTGCAGGTGGATACCCCGGTGAATCAATGGTAAAGGTATCTTAACTTCCAAGACAATTAGAGGGATTTGACCAGGCGGGGGCCTGAGGTCATTATCGTGACGTTTGCGACTGGGCGTCTAGCGGGAGGAAAGCCAGGCGCAAAACTCCCGGGCGTGTCGGGGGTCTCGGGGGCTTCGGCGGGGGCTCAGGCTGCGGCCACGCTAGGGAGACCGACCATTAGGCCTATCATAATACAACTAGCCCCCCCACTGCCACACTAGACAAGAAATCTACCCACCCCATAGTACATTCTAGTTGGAACTTTCAACTTCGAAAGTCACGTTGTTGACAACAAAAACGGTTATGAATACTGTCTATCATTGCAGATTCATCATTTTCTGGAGTAATCGCTCTTCGACCTACTCCCCTCGGATATAGAGAGTCAGCAGGGAAGTGGGGGTTCTCCTTGGTTTTCTTTTTGTCGCTGGGCTAGCGACATACTCTTACTGTACGGAGTGCAGGGTAGGTTTCTTGGTAGGTATTCAACATAGGGCCGAGCATTCCATATGAGACTGATTGCCTGGGCACGCCGCTAGCCATGACCCCCGTCCAAATTAGTAAACCTGCATCACCAGCAGGTCACCAGGGTTGTTCATGCGGGATTTGCTGCCATTGGATACTGCAGCATCAAACTCTCGGAAGGTTGAAGTAAACAGGCTACAGATTCTGTCTCATAGGAACAGTTCTGGCCACCGGTTGGACATATCCGGAGTACAGTCCTCCTTGTTCCGTTATATATCCGGGTAGGACATTATCTGCTATAATATGGCATTATTGATATCATGTCTTCCCACGAGTTAACTTCAACGGCCGAGGTGGAATGCTACCGTGTCTCTCCGGGTCTCCTCATTGCGCCGGAGTCTCTCTGCCTAACCCAGGCCGGGTGTGCGATGCTTGGGCAGCGGTTGCAATATTACACGCATGGGCTTACTTCCGGGTATGTGACTGGGACATGCATGCGTTTACCGCAAAACAGATAAAACGGATAAATAGAGCATGTCAATAGGATGACTGCACATCACGGCGGAAGTCAGCTCCGACCACGCTGCCAATATAGGTACGAGCCAGGCACATCCATGGCTGGGTCTCATGGGATCTTTAGATTCGAGTATTCTATATTCAGTTAGAAACCGTTCACGATGTTCGCTACTATCTATCGAATTCATGATGACAACTGCCCGTCCTGTATCAGCAATTGTCCTATGTAGGTACCATCTATCCACCAAGCAGTCTCCACTTATTTTCGCCCGTGTTAACCGACCTAAAGGTGGATCTCTCCAGAAAACCCATCATTGGTTGAAGGAAAGACTTGCATTGGACCCCTCTTTTTCTTTAGCACATCAAAGGTTGAGTCTGGTATCAGAAACTGGGATGGTGGATGAACAACCAGTCGATATTACATACATTACATTTTCCTCTCTAGGCTATTCTGCCAGTGCCCGTGACATCCAAGGATTCCCACCTCGGTAATTCCTCAGGCACCCGGAGTGTATCCCGGGTTCCCTCAACCTCTTACAACCCCACTGAGACACCACCATGGATTCCGGCTCCGACGCTTTCCCCGTGTCGGTTTCGTCCCTTCATTTCCCCTCCGCAGAGCAGTCCTTCTCCCAGACGCTCTCCTCTCTCCGCCGATCAGCACTCTCGGTCGCCAACCGACTCCGTTCCATCGAAGCGGACGCTGCCTTTGTCCAACAAGTCGCCGATCATTATGGCCTCCCACTGGTCGCCAACGAACGATGTGGCAGCTGGTATATCCCCCCGCAGTCCAAAACCGGCAGCGCGTACTTCAAGAGCACGGACGGTCATACGGGCCAGTGGGACTTTAGCTTTCGTAGACTCAACCTGCAGCTTTTACCAATAGCCCGGGAGCACGGGGGGTTAGTCCACATCCCACCCTACCTACCTACTATACTTGGGATGTTCAGTCTGAATTGACCACCAATGGTATCATGCAGCGCTATAATAGCGGATTCTACACGTCGCGGTAAATGTAAGTTTTCCTCAGCGGGCGAATCACGCGGTTTGGTTGCAGTCTCTCCCCTACGGCCCGAGCTTATGGCATTACGCAGTGATGCCCGATGCTTTGTCAAAGACCGTTCCAATATGGTGCGCGGTTATGAACCGCGCGCTATTCCCAACAGAGACGACGTACCATGCCGTGCAGCTTCCTCCGGACTACCTAGGTGCTTCGGAGGAGTCGCAGATCGCGCAGCGGATCGACGGGTTCGTCAAGTCGCTGAAGGTATCACATTCTCCAACGTTAAGAGAGGAACTACCATTTTGCCTCGAGACTGACATTCGGCCAGGATCTGAAACTCAACTTGGACGATTTGAGGGAGCAAGTAGGAAAGCCGATTCGAGTCGCATGGGCAAACCGGACCTATTTCCACCCGACGGATCTGCAGAAAGGAGATGACTACAAACTCCTCGTTCTCTGCTCCGCCTCCAGACGGGTCCATGGGGCCGAGATGTCCGAAGGCGGTTACATCCAGGGCGCAGGGGACGACAGCGAGGCGTGGGCGCACGGCTTGACGCCACCGGTTTTCTGGGCCAATAAATCGACCCTGATCGAAACGGCAGAAGAAGAGCTACCGGAACTGATCGGAAGGCTGGTCGAAGAGTATGATAGACGGGATACGAGCCAGCAGGCGATTCGCGTCGCGCCGACTCAGAACCTGTATATCAGTAAGACTGACGGTCGCTTGAGCGACAGCGGTCTTTACGATCTCGTCATCGACTGCAATGGCAGCGTAGACGCCCATGGTGAAGACGCAAAGCGACTCAATCTTGGATGTCAGTCCGGCAAGCTGGGAGGGCGCGACATCCGAAATCGTCTAGATAAGGTTCGAGAATTTGTCGCTTCTCACTTCGCTCAAGATCCGTCTAGATCCTTGCTTGTCATGTGTGAGACGGGGAAGGACCTCTCTGCTGGCGCATTGCTCGCCATACTGTGTATCTTCTACAATGATAATGGTGCGTTGTCCCCCAGCCGGCTGCTCTCCCCAGGCAAGCTGACCAGTACAGGGGAGATCAACTCGACCGGTGCAAAACAGCCCATCAACAAACAGTTTATCCGCCAACGCCTCGCCTGGATCGTGTCTTCCAAGCACGACGTAAACCCATCACGCACGACATTACAATCAGTCAACGCTTTCCTAATGGAACGGCCGGACTACTGACCGCCAAACCTGAGCTCCGTGGCAGAGACATCGCTTTATGCATTAACCATTAAACTACAATCATCGTAAAGTATCTACTCGTTCTGAACCGCCTCGACGACCGCCCCCGCACTTCCCTGGTCGAGGGCATTCAACACAGCCATGTCCTCCTCGGAGATATCAAAGTCGAACACGTTCGCGTTGTCCACGATGCGCTCCGGGTTATCTGACTTGGGCAGCGGCACCCATCCTTTCTGCAGCGCGTAGCGAATCAAGACTTGCTGTGTCGACTTGGAGTATTTGGCGGCCAGGCCGACCAGCGTAGGATCACTGGCTTTGTAGTTGCGCACGATCGGGCAGTACGACTCGACAACGATGCCGTTTTTCTTGCAGTAGGCGTCGGTTACCCGTTGCTGGCACCACGGGTGGAGCTGTATTTCGAGTCATATTGTCAGTCTAGCTGGACCGGTGGGAGGGTAGAGGGCGGGGGAGGGGAGGGGGCAAGCTCACCTCAATCTGGTCCACATGCGGCGGCCACACCTTCGCATAAGACCTCATCTCCTCAATATGCATAACGCCAAAGTTGCTCACGCCAATACTCCTCGTCTTGCCCTCCTCCAACAGCTGCTCCAACGCCTGCCACAGCTCCTTTCGGCCCGCGGAGCCGGAGCTCGAGCTATGAATGAGAAACAAATCGACATATCCACCCTTCCCACCGATCTTCTCAACGCTATCCACCATCTTCTTATACGTAGCGTCGTACGAGCCAGCGGGGCTCAGGATCTTAGTCGTGACGAAGATATCAGAGCGCGGGATCCCAGACGCCCGGATAGCATCGCCGACTTCCTGCTCGTTGGCGTAGAACTGGGCGGTGTCGATGTGGCGGTAGCCTGCTTTCAGGGCGTTGAGGCATGACTGGACGCATTGGTTTGTTGGGGAGCGGTAGACGCCGAAACCGAGACGGGGGATGCGGACGGGGGAGTTGGGGAGGGACACTAGGTCTGTGATGGTGTAATTGGCTGACATGGTTGGTTCTGATTCTGGTGATGGGGTTTAGAGGGGTCGAAATGTGATCTGCGGTAGTAGTAAGGGAGGGTAGAATGTGGCAGGTCAGATAGGTAGAGGAGAGTAATAAAGTAGGTGGTGTGTTGTCGCAGGTTGGTATGCGGCGGGGAGAGAAATTTGGTGTTCCGCCCTTGGAGCCCCGAGAGCCCCGCCTTAGATAGCGGCCAGGATGATATCATATCATTTGCTGGCTCAGTATTATTATTCATCGGATGGGAATTGCGCAATCTTCCTCTGCCTTTTGTACCTGTTGCGCAATCACGCAAGACTCCTCTCATTGCCTGATATGGTGTACATTTACTCCGTAGTCTGCGGTGACGGTGAATTACTGGATCTGGCATAGTGTTCCTAATTAGGGAAAGCGACTCACTGCCGCTTGACATTCGTGGAGCGTGGTTTTCTCCACTCTGCGTGAACTCAGTGTTTTATTACCATATATCTCTCTTACCACTCACCTCTCTCTCTCTCTCCTCTTTCTCCCCCCAAGGTGCCCCATCCCCCTAGGTGCCCCCCCAGGCCACCTCCTCTCCCAGGCTGCCTCTCTTCCCCGCTCCGTTTCCCCTCCCAGCCCCCCGCCAGGCCCTTCCCTGGGCCCCTCCTGGTTCTCTCTAGGTCTTTCTTAGGTCTCTCTTTCTACTTTCTTACCTATTTCCCTGCCTGTGTTTTTCTCTATTTCTCTTTATATTCAAATAAACTGGATATCAACTAGTTTTTAAAATAGTTTCAAGCTAGATCTTAAAAATTATAAATTTAAGGAAATTCTATAACAACATGTATCTAAAGACCTACTCGATGTGAACTCAAGAAATATCACATGATCTCTAGATTAGGCCTAGACAGTTCAACCTGGACTTTTGACCCACTTTCACCTTTGGTGTACACACTTTTTTCCCCCAACCCCATGAATCTGCCACTTGGGGAAGGTAGGCACGTGGAGGCGGTGAGCTCGATTCTGTCACTTGAGAATGGTGACAACTTCATTTAACCTCTTCGTCGAAGCCATTCATTATATCTTGACTTTTGTCCTTTCTTATATCAAGTGGGCGAAATGTAAAGTGTCATATCTCTGATGCTTCGTATCAGAGCTGTCTGTCATATCTTCTGGTTTGATTGCAATGTCTTTTGATCCCAGTCAGCTCTCACATCAACTTCTGCCATCCTATGACTCCCAAACTTTCAAAGGATGATTTCTCACTCATCTTTACAACCTTTCTCTGTCCCTTTGACTCCCCCCAGAGAAATCGACTATGCTTCGAAGGAAAATACCCTTCCAGCCTCCTACGCAATGAACTCGGGCCCATGTACAGTCATCGAGAACGGGACTCGATGTACATGTTCACGAGGTCTTTTTTTACTGGAACATGGAGCAAATTTTGAACTGTTGATATGCAAGACAAAGACGTGTAATCATTTACTTAAAGAACACCGGGCTGCTGATAATGAATTCCCTCCGACTGAATCTTCTCCGACTGAATTATTAGCATCTGCCGGCAACCCTAATCACACGCAACAGCACTCCTTGGGATGTAAGTGCATATACCCAGATACTGTCCCCTCAGAGTCCATAGTCAAGAGCTGACAATCTGTAAAAACGGATAGCTACTAGGTATCAAACAAGATGTTTACGCCAGGATACAGTGTCAAAACTTGCAGCCGCCGTTGATTCTCAAAATGTTATTCACATACGCGGGACACCAGCCAGCGGGAAAACGGTCCTATCCCAACTGCTACTGGACTACTACCTCACGAATAAGAGAAAGGTGTTTTTACTCGAGACGTGGGAACCACTGGAAGCTTCCCAAAGCGGAGACCCCTGGACTCGATTCGGCTTGCACCTGCAACAGAAATATCCTGAATTTGATGAAACGTGGAGATCTGTTCCTGCAAACACTGTAATTCTTATTGATGAAGCTCAGGGTTCATACCAGGACACGTACTTCTGGAACACGGTCATCAAGAACCGAAGGTCTGGGGAAGATAAAGACATAAAGATTTGTCTTTTCTGTTCCTACGGAAGCCCTTCGACTGGTGTGGAGGAAGATGATAACCAAAATGGGTTTACTCCAGTTACCTTCGGTCCCGCGCAGCGCATTACACTGACCCCTCAAACTGGCAAAGGTTCGCCAAATATTGGCTTGTTTTACACGGAAGATGAATTTCGTGAAGTTGTATCACTTCTGACAACAAACAAATTCGATGAACCATTCACAATTGATAAGGTGGCTATGGACTACATGTATGAACTGACAAATGGGCATCCAGGAGGGGTAACAGCCATAGTCGATTTTCTTCAGAATGTATGTACTGTTCTTAATTCTAACCCAGAAAGTGTTAAGCTTTCTTATGCAACTAACTCGAGCTCAGCGGTATCGCAATCTCCTCAAACACAAAAAGATCCGTATAATCACGATGGATCATGTTCTTAAATCTTTGAAGGATGAGAATGATTTCTTCGAGTTTCTCGCGAACCATGCTGTTTATCGCTCATTTCCTAGAGGACAGCACCTTACATCTGAAGTTGCTGGTGCATTGGGCAAGATTTTAGTCAATGGAAGCATACCGTTTAATATTGATGATGCGACCATGCAGAAATGCTACAAGAAAGGCTGGGTTCACCGCATATCTGAAGGACAGATACCACAAACACATGACATTGCTGTCCTGCCGTCGCGCTTGCATGAAGTGTGAGTTCTTATTTAGTATTTCTTGTCTTAATCTGACCTTGTCTTAGATGGCTTGAATGGTTCATGGGCAACAAGCCGAAGCATTTACCCGACAGATTTGACCAGTTACGTACACTATGCCGGGAGGTTCTCGAAAAATTTTCAAAGATTAGCCTGAGACATGCTGTTGAAGCCAAGAAAATCTCGACTGCAGCAAAACCCAGGCCCATGGAGGCGCAATACCAGGATGAATTTTATAGGGCATTTTACAATGTGGCAGGCATCGGCGTACCTCTCTGTAGTGAACGGTCAAGGAGTGGTATTGGTCGAGTTGACTTTTACATTCCACAGAAGCAGTGGGCCATCGAGTTTCTTCGAGATTATGATCGCGTTGATGAACATATTTCCCGATTCTATCCTGGAGGGAAGTACTTTCCCTGGCTGCAGGAGAAGAAGGTTATAGATTGGATTATTATCAACTGTGCCTCCTCTCCCCCTACACGTGGTATGTTTCTATCTCATATTGTTGTTATTCCCACTCATCCTGCTAACATCATAATAGCATATTCCGAGCAGAACCTCTGGACTGCCGTTTTCACCAATTGTTATTCTGATTTGAACGTGTATGATTATCAAATGCGTCTTTTGTTTTCTGTTCCTCTCCACAATTAGGAATAGCTCCATTATTGTAAGGCAACATATGTGGTGGCTATTAGCAAATCCTATACAGAAAGGGAGTTTTCGGATCTGTCAATTATAGTAACATACGTATCCCACTAATTATGGCTCTGGATTGAACGATATTCTCTGCACCTCGAACTCCAACATACTAGTGAATCACGGGCCTAGATAATCATGAGCCCCGCGTAGGGAGCTCACAAGCGGGCCTTCCCGAACTGCGAGCTCAAGTATCTCTCAAAGAAAAATTTGCGGGATCCTGGTCCTGTCCAAAATTTTTCTGGTACTTCTGATGTATGCACGGAGTATATCCGAGTAATAATCTCTTTATCAAATCGGGTATGAACTAAGATTTATTACAGTAGGCATATTCAAATCTGACTGCGTAAGGCAACGGATGCGCAGCGTGGAAAGGCCATGCTTCTAGAATCAAAAGCCACGTACAAACATGGTCTCTTCGCCGTCACCCACAGTCACTCCGTATATTCGCAGCATATATTGTACTGCTCTTGTGACTTCTCTTCTTCTGTATCTTTTATCTGTAGGATAGCTGATCGGCACGTACAAGATCTAAGTGTCTTTATCGATCGACTGTCTTGGTCCTGCGTAATGACGACGGTTATACCATCCGTACCGAGCGTGGCGGTGTTATCTGTACGAGATCTCTCATGGAGTCACTAAAGGATGGATATTCTCTGTGACTTGTACTCTTGGATAGGCTAAAGAATAGTTTCCAAGGTTCTGGAAGTCCAGTAGATTCGAGTTGCTTTGTCCTTGACCTTGTTTTTTTCTTCTTTGTTTCCACATGGCGCATGTCGGGTGCTTGCATCGAATGATCCAGGACATCAGATGAGATCTCTTCTCGAAGTACGGAGTAGTTGTCATTGTGTTCGAGTTCTCTCTTATCTTCCATGCATGATGCTTTATAGGTGGTCAATACACAGATCAATGGTTGATTCTCGCCCATGCGTTGTTCTATTTTTAACCACTGTGTAGTTAGTTCGATCGGTCAAATAACAACTTCATGATGATCCACCATGAAGAATGGACAAATCCAACCTGAAACCAAGGACCGATCAATTTCCAGAGAATGTGTGGCTCGAACGGTGGGCAACCGGGGGGAACCGAAGCAGTTCAACCATGGAGAAGACGGCGGTGGTTGCTGTGGGGGCGGGTTTGTTGACATGCCGGGATGTAGATAGGGGTTCTTACTTCTTACTTCTTACTTCTTACTCTTGCTTCTTACTTCCTACAAGGTACGGAGTAGTATTCTGGTTATATCCAGTTCAAGGATATCCCCTGTCTCAATCTCAGTTGTGTTCATCTATCTTCATTGTATTGGTCTCCACTCAACAGCGATCAACACTAATGGACTAGTCGGGCGAATCGCGTCTTGCTCTCCTTGCAATAATTAATTCCGCCGTTAGCTGTGAAGATCACTCTTTCTTTCCAATCTCCAGTCTCTCTCTGGCTTAATTTAACCCAGCCAACCAACCAATCCCTTTCCCCTCCTCTCGTCTCCTCACCCCCGCCACTGCTTTTCGGTCGTGGTGTTTGTGCTGTTGCTATTCTTGGGATCGCTGGAACAACAGAGAAAAAAAGTTTCTCCAAATTTTCGAACCCTGAATGTCCTCACCCATACTCGTTGCCCACCATGTTGCAGGTTGACGAGAAGCAATGGATTAACGTACAGCAGAAGACCTTTACCAAATGGTCCGTTCAATCTTAGTGTTTATTTACCCCCCCCCTCTTCCTCTCCTATCATCCCCTCGTGGGAACCGCTTCCGTTTCCCCTCGTTTCGCGCCCCTTGCTCTGTCGCCTTCGGTTTTGCTCATTGCTATCAACGATTGGAGATCGTTAGACTGATCATGGTGTATGTGGACTTGACAGGCTCAATGATAAGCTGAAGGTTCGAAATGTCTTCATTGACGATCTGGTGGTGGACCTGTCGACCGGGGTGAGTCCGTCCCTTTGTTGCCGCACCAGAAGACAGAAACAAACCAAGAAACCAAAACCAAAAAGGACTAGCTACTAATGTGCGATGCTAGGTAATCCTCATCCACCTCCTCGAAATCCTCGGCGCCGAATCCCTCGGTCGATATGCCTCGAATCCCCGGTTACGGGTCCAGAAGTTCGAAAATGTCAACATCTCTCTCGATTTCATTAGGGGCCGGAGAATCCAGATGACCAACATTGGTGCGGAGGACATCGTCGACGGCAATCGGAAGATCATCCTGGGTTTGATCTGGACCCTGATTTTGCGATTTACTATCAGCGAGATCAACTCGGAGGGTTTGAGCGCTAAGGAGGGTCTTCTGCTGTGGTGTCAGAGAAAGACGGCGTGCTACGATGGGGTGGAGGTCCGCGACTTCTCCTCGAGCTGGAACGACGGTCTGGCATTCTGTGCGCTGCTGGATATCCACCGACCCGACTTGATCGACTACGATTCCCTCGACAAGAAAGACCACCGCGGCAATATGAAGTTGGCCTTCGATATCGCAGCCAACGAGATCGGGATCCCAGACCTCCTCGATGTGGACGACGTCTGCGATGTCCCCAGACCCGATGAGCGCTCCCTCATGACCTACATCGCTTACTGGTTCCATGCGTTTTCCCAGCTGGAGAGAGTCGAAAACGCCGGTCGCCGGGTTGAAAAGTTCATCAACAACATGCACGGCGCATGGGAGATGCAGAACTCCTACGAGCAGCGCATGAGACAGCTCTTGCGCACGATCAAAGACCAGCGCGATCATTGGCAAGATTCTTCGTTTGAAGGCACCTACAAGGACGCCAAGGACCAGGCCTACCAGTTTTCCCTGTACAAGCGGAACCAGAAGCGGCAGTGGGTGGCCGAAAAGTCCGACCTCGCGGCCCTCTTGGGCAACATCAAGACCAAACTGAGCACCTATCGCCTTCGCCCTTACGACCCGCCGGCGGAGTTGACTCCGGATGCCTGTGACCAGGCGTGGGAGGGCCTGACGCGGGATGAGCACGAGCGGAGCCAATTGATCAACGAAACGATTCGCGATATCAAAAATGCCCTGCGCCGCTCCTTTGCCGACAAGGCCAACGACTTTGCATTGACCCTCAAGACCTTGTCCCTGGCAATCTCAGGCCTCGACGGTGATGTCGAAGACCAACTGGCCCATGTGAAGCGCCTCAACGACAACCTGCCCCCGCTCGATGCGTTCTTGGATACGATCGCCGCGCTGGACGAACAGTGTGCCGAAGCGAACATTGAAGAGAACGATTACACCACCTACACCCTCGACGAACTCTCCTACGAGCTGAGCTTGGTCAAATCGAGCATCTCCAAGAAGCTTGCCTTCCTGGACAACCAGCTGGTTGCGCGCAATATGACGAACTTGACCCCCATCCAGCTGGAAGAGTTCGAATCCGTCTTCCGCCACTTCGACCGTGATGCATCCAACACCCTTCACGAACTTGAATTCTCGGCTGCGCTTGCGAGTCTCGGCCTGGTGTATGATGAGGACGAGATGCACGATGTGTTTGTGGAGACCTGCGGTCCGCTGCGTCTCCAGCAAAACGCCGGTGTCAGTTTCGAGCAATTCATCCGCTTCATGGTCAGCGTGACCGAGGACCAAAATACCGCGGAACAGGTCTACCAAAGTTTCCGCGAAGTCGCAGACGGCAAGGTATGTGGAGCTCTCCCTCCTCTCTCCAGAATCATGTGTGATTACTGACGCCCTACAGCCATATGTCACGGAACTGGACCTGCGCCACTCGCTCATCCCCGACGAACTGATCGAACATCTCGTCCAGACGATGCCGCAACACCAAGGACCAGACCTCCTCGAGGACCGAGAACTCCAGAAGTACGACTATATCAGCTTCATGGAGAAGATGATGGAGAACAACGAGAATTCAAGTCAGGCGTCCGCCAACGGGGGAGATTAAAGCGTGTGTGAATTTCCACCTAGCACTTATCGGTGTTTGTGTCTTTGCTGCTTTCTTTCTGGTCTTTCTGGATCCTGCAACTGGTGTTTTCTGGCGCTGAGGGGCGGTGGTTCTCCTGACTGGCGACCATATCGGCATGCTCTTTCTCTTATTTGCATTGCATTGTTATTCCACCAGCCGCGTTCGCCTGTACTTGTTAGCTTTTCTCTCTGGGGCTGTTAGTTTCTGATAGGTACGGTGATATGGGTTAGGATGGATAGAAACATTGCGCTATCGACGACAAATCCATGAATTGAATTGAAGTTACCATTTCTGTAGAATTAGCGACACATTGACCATCAGTCTTATGGTTTCTATAGAAGTACCGACACATAAACCACCAGGATGCGTGGTGTATCAACGGACGGGCGATGACATATCACGTGACGCGGCGGATCCCCGTCTCGGCCTCCGCCCCCAAACCAATCTTCCCCAGCTCATCTCAACCAACTTGCATTCCAGCGCTTCATCTTGTACGCATTTGCTTATACCAACGCACCCACATAACTACCATCCTACGCCTTTGTCTATATCATACTTCCGGCCGCACATTCTATCGGACGTGTCCAAAATGGACCGCAGCTTGGATGAGATCATCGCCGAACGCCCTGTAAGGCTTTCCCAGCACACCGTGACCTTTGCGTCTCATACGGAGGCGATCTAAACCCAGCGACATCGCTAACCGACGCCAATTAGCAAACCCAGAGTCAGCCCCAGAACCAGAACCGTGGTCGCCGCCCTCAAGGCCGTCGCCGTGATGGCGTAAAAAAGGTAACCTCAACCCCTAAGACGGTCGTCCCGCCCAGATTTATCGGATCTTCAACCTAACTCAATCTTCCTCAACGTCCAGGTCCTCCCTCCTGTCCTCCCTTCGACCCATCCCAGCGCATCGTGACGGGCCAAATTCGCAGGCCTCGCAGTGTTTGACCCGCCTCTTCTTGTCTTCAGTTTTCCTCTGGTCGGACAGAAAGGCCGCGAAGAAAAGAATTTAGCCGCAGATGAAGCAGTTTCCACGATAACCTGTTTTGACCTCCAGCTGACCTTGTCTCTCTATGCGATTTGAATAGCCCTACAGAGATGACCGTGTCGACCTTGATCTGTAATTGCACCTATACCGTTTTCTTCTTGTTGTTCTCTTTGATGCGTGCTTCCCCGCGCAGTGCGGATGTGGTTTACATGGTATACTGATGCTGTGGATGGTAGTGATTGGGTCCATGACAAATTCGAAGACGACAGAGATGGTACATTTGCCCCTTTCTTTCATTAAGCTCAGCCATTGGGATCGCTTGCTGACTCGCCGTTTGTAGCGCGACCTTCCCGTGGCGGCCGACGTGCTCGCAACGACCGCTACTCGCAGTCCCCGGAACGGTACGTGCGATTGATTCTTCTCGTCTTGATTCCCATCTGACAATGACAGGGGCACTGGCGGCCCGTCAGGAGCCAAGCTCCGCGTTGAGAACATCCATTACGACATCACAGAGAGCGATCTCGAGGTATGATCCCCCACTTTTAGAGATTATGGCTCGTCTGACATATATTCGTCCGCAGGATCTCTTCTCCCGCATCGGACCCCTTCAAAACGTAAGCCTCGTATACGACCGAGCCGGCCGCTCCGAAGGCCTCGCCTTCGTGACCTATACACGCATGAGCGACGCGAGAACAGCGATCAACGAGTTTGATGGCGCCAACGCCAAGGGCCAACCAATCCGACTGGCACTGATCGCGACCGGCGACCGCGGCCGCCGCGACCGCAACCCCTTCGATTCCGTCCAGCGCCCCAAAGGCAGCCTCCTCGATCGCGTCGAGCGGCCCCGCAACGCCCGCAGTCTCAGCCCTGACACCCGAAGCGAAAGCCCGGACGGCGGTTCCCACCGTCGTCGTGGGCGTCGCGGTGGCGCAGCCCGCGTCCGTCGCAGTGACGTCTCCAAGCCGGCCCCCGAACACATCGATCGCTACGTTCCCGGCCAGAGCTCATCCTCTCCGCGACGAGCAGCCCCCAACGGCGGCCGCCGACAGGGCGGTGGAGCCCCCAGGGAAAACAGAGGATCAGACAGCCGTCGCGCGGCCAACGGCCGGCCGCGAAAGACACAGGAAGAGCTGGACCAGGAAATGGACGACTACTGGGGCGGAGGAAACCCCGGCGAGACTGCCAACCAACCTGCCGCACCCGAGGCTCCTGCTGCTGCCGCTGCGGCTGCCCCTGCCGCCCCGGCACCCGCGGGAGACGACGACATTGACATGATTGAGTGAGGGGAGGTCAACAAATTGTGACGATGATAGTGATATCCGTGTAACAAATAGGTGCATGTTATTGTTGCTGTTACTGTTGCTTGCTCGCTTGCTCGCTTGCTGCTCAGGAGGATTTGTGGACTATGCTCGATCAGACTGGAACGGAAAGGATAGATTTTTATTATTACTTGCTTACGGCTTGTCACTCATTTCTGATGGGATATGAAATGAATCCGCATTACTATCCTGCCATGTGTATGACAATAAACTAGTTATCTGGCTTAGTAAGTACCACCTCTTGAGGTAGGGATAGTAGTAGCATTACCTAGACCTAGAGAGTAATACTCACTGCAGGTACCTGTGCTTACCTAGGTACCTACCTAGGTACCCAGTAATAGAGGGAGATAGATGGCAGGTATCCATAATCTCGTCCAACTGACAATTACCCAACCGGGTAACCACTCCACAAGACGATTGTCTAACGTAGCCAAGAAAAGAGAACACGAGGGAAAAAAGATCAGGATATGATATGTATATACATTGCGGACGGAAATAGAGATAGACAGATAGGTAGGTAGCAGGTATGTGAGTTGATAACCTTACAGTTATTGAGAGAAAAGAAAACGGAAGCAAAGAGGTATAATGTGGAGATGTGGTTTCTATATATACATGTATATATACGGAGTACATGTATATATATGTAGGAATATCACCGCCACAAACCGTATGTCTCGCGACAGGCTTTCCATAACTTGATGGTTCCGTCTTCGCTGCCGGTGCCGTAGAGTTTCCCGTCTGGGGAGAAGCTGACGGACCAGATGGGGCCGTGGTGGCCTTTTTGGACCTCTGTTGATTGGGTATTGTTAGTTGGTTGGACTAATATTGGTGGGAGGGAGAGTAAGGATGGAATAAGGTGTTAGCATACCCAGCTCTTCGTCTGTTCGGAGATCGTAGACTCGTGCCCACGTGTCGTCTGCACTGCCCGTCACTAATCGGCCGGTTTCGTTGTTGACGGCTGCGCTGGCGACTTCGTAGTTGAAGGTCGACTTCTTGAGGAGACGGCCTGGGTTCATGCCGTCGAAGAGGTAGACGGATTTGCCCGCCGCGACGGTCAGGATGCCGGGGTCGTTGGGCCGCGTGGCGAGGGTGTTGAGCTCGCAGCTGCCGATGTTGCCCTGGACGGTGTGCTCGACGATCGGGTGGCGAGAGCGGAGATCCCACCAGCGGATCTTGCGGTCTTCGGCGGCGGTCGTGAGGATGTTGTAATCCTGGTTCCAGATGATGGACTTGATGGTGCCGCCGTGGACGCCGGGGCCGATCTCGTAGCTGGTGAGGGCCGCGGCGCCGTTGTCGCCGTTGGTGGGGGACGGGAAGGTGGGCGACGAGCTGTTGCTGTTGCTGCCGCTGCCGCTGCTGCGCGAGAGGTCGAAGATGCGCAGCTTCTTTTCATATCCACCGGTGGCGAGGACTCGCGGGGACGGCTGGATGGGGAAGGCAATGGCGCGGCAGATATGCGCGTGTTGCAGCGTGTGCAAACACTCTCCGGAGTGAGTGTCCCAGACTTTACTATTGGGTGTTAGATTGAGTAGGTAGAGGGTGGTGTTGGTAGAACTCACGCGGAGAAGTCCGCCGCTGCCGTTGCTGCTATGTTGGCATCTGTGGAGAGACGGGCTTGCCATACTGCTCCCTTGTGACCGAGGAAAGTTCCAATCCTGTAAAATATTAGAAAGACCTGGGTAGAAAGGTAGCTGAGGAAGAAGGGCGGGGTGCAAGCATACCAGTCGCCAGTGATGCCATCTCGGAGCATGGGGTTGTTGTCTGAATCAAGCATTCATCGGTCAACCACGATACTGAGTATAGACTAGGGAGAGACATACCCTTGCATGCAGAGATGAGATAGTACTGGTCATCCTCCACGGTCGAGGAGAAGCTAAGATGCGGCACGGGGCGCGAGTGTCCGTGGCACGTCAAAGGTACAATTTTAGGAATATCTAGACGGGTTAGTCGTGGATGGCGGTCACGCACAACGCTATAGGGGTATACGACATACCGGACGGCATGATGGAATTGAAATAAAGAGACTCCCAAGATAAATCGGTTTGCGCGGTCTAGCAGACGGAAGATAGTTTCGGTGCGGCCGTTAAATGCAAAGATCCGCAATAGGTCGACACGGGTCCAAACAACGCCCAGGATACAGGGAGATGAAATTCGACAAGCTCAGCGCACAAAAGTATAGACGTAGATGATAGTACAGAATGAAATTCGTCGTCTCGTCAAGTCGTCACCCCGAATCGCGGGGATGTATTTCGAATGGAATGCAGAATTCGGAGAAAGTTGGAGGGGTGGGAGAGAAAAAGAAGCGGGGAGAGACCACAATCGGAAGACAGCGAGTCCGGCGGTGGGCCTAGAAGATACCTAGCCGGGTACAAGAAGTCCAGAGGGAGAGGTGGATGAGAAAGGAAAAAGGGGGACCTTCGTAAAATCGTGAGGAAAGAAAGAAAGAAAGAAAGGAATGGATGTTATTCCCAACTTGCACCGCGATCGATTCCGCTTTCTTGACATCCCACGCTAGTCCGTTTGGGGTTAGCGTGAGCCCTGCACGTGAGGCTCCGTCCTTATCGATAAGAGATAGCACGCGTGAGATTGTGAGCATAATCCTATTACTAACCTATGCATCTCTACATGTACAAGACCAATATCCTCACTTGATATCATCGCCAAAACGCCTGGACTCCAACTCCAAACTCCTTCCCCTCAATACGTGCTCAGACACGCCTAACCTTGTCCTGAGAACCCTGCGAACCATCCTCAGAGTGCTTCCTTTTCCTTCTCCCAGCCTCGTTTGCCTCGCTGATCAACCGATTGCGCTGCTGATGGGCCCATTCCCGACAGTTCTTGAACGCAGTGAGAGCTGTCAGGAAGGGTTTGTAGCCGCGTTCCATGTTGACCTCACGAAACAACCACATCTTGTAGTCCGTCTGTCGATTTGGGTTTGTCGGGGGACAAGGGGCGATGCAATAAAAGCACAAATGATAACCTACCATCACGACCGCGATCGTGTATGCGTTCTCATCGTAGATAGGGGCCGCTTCCTCACCCTGGAGAAAGCACTGCAGACGATGGAACGCCCGTGCACCATAGACACCAGAGTGTAGCGCCTGGAGCTTCCCGACGGACTGTCTCCCCTCCGCCTCGGTGCAGTCGAAGAAGAAATTCGGAAGGATCGGGCCCCCGTCTTTTTCGGTCTGGAGGACCGGCCGCAGCTTGTGGAGGATCTCGGAGTTGAGCGTGCTCTCCTTGGCTCCGTCGTACATGTCGGGACTTGCACGGATGAGACCCTCGTTGAGCCGCTCCAGGTCTTCCAGCTGCTCATGGCATCGGGTTTCCATGTCCGGTTCGCGCATCATGTTGTTTTTGTGGCGGTAGATGGCCAGCAAGACGTCGTCGAATCTTTCGATTTCATGCTCCTCGCGGGCCTTTGCTATGAAGGTCATGTAGTCCTGGGTTGTACTTTGCGCGACGGAGTCTCGTCGCTTGTTGACCATGGCGGTCAGCTCGTCGATGTTCTTGGGCCGGGGATCTTCTATTTCGGCCACAGCGCAGCCGTGGTCTTCCATGAAGACTTCGAAGTTTGCGTCGTAAGCGGTGACTCGAGTGATTGGGGGGCCGATGTTCTGTGCGCCCTTGTTTTCATTTGCCTCTCTCTAGAAACGGACACTGTTAGTTCTCTATACGGAAATGGACAGGGGAAATGGCTCACAGCTCACATACCCGGAGAGTCAACCCTCGAAAGCTGCTTAGATCAGGACCGCCGCGTCTGGCGAATACTTTCACGTCTGTCGCCGTACGCCCCTCCACCGTCGGCACCTCTATCTCGGGTAGTTCTTCGCCGGCGAGCTCTTTAAGCTGCCGGAGGGTCTCCGCTCGGATTTTGAACTCGAGAACCGCGCGGGGGGTGAGGTGGATCTTGTCCAAGCTGTCCCAGTATGTGCGTCCGAGATCCACGTAGTCGGGGAGTACGGACAGGGCGAGCATTCCACTATTTTCGGCTGGGCCCATTTGGCCCCAGCCAGTGGCGGGGTTATTTGCTTGTTCGTCCATCCTGAGATGGAGACAGGGTAGGTATACTCGCAGTGGTATAAAGGATCGCGATCAGGGGTAACTGAGTTTGAACGTTGACACACGTATGCGGTATGCTCCGGAATTTCGAGGCTCTCTTCAGGGTCGATATCGTTCTTCTTAAATGTTTTCGAAGACGGTACTTTCATGCTGCTTTGTTTGCCTCATCTTCTTTATTGCCTCTTCGCTGGTGTGCAGGGTTGATACAAAGCCCACGTGTCGAGGCTCACAACCCTTTGTGATGACTCTTTGTTAGAACCACGGACATGCTACCTCGACCGATCAATGAGTCCGAAACTAACAAGGGCTGCTAATAATAGACTCAAACCGGGAAACGGTCATGCTGCGGAATGCCAGCATTGAGCAGCTAAGCTGAAAGTGTGACATGGGCCAAGATTGATAGAATCGATCAGATTGATGATTTGAAGCCATCCAAGAAGAGGATATACAGTGGCGATAATCTGATAAATCAAAATTGTAGAATATGAAGCAAGAGAAGAATGAACTCTGCGTTTGGAAGGACTGCATACAATCACTGCTTCACAATGTACACCTTACTATATGTGTGTACCATAAACATAACGTGGTTGCAGACAATTCTTTGATATTACTCAAAATCAGTCAATCCATAAGTCTATATCTATACAAATTCCACCATCCGGCAAACACCCAATAACAGATCTAAACAAAGAAACGCTCAATTCAAGCCCCAAATGCACAAGTCCACGCACGAACGCTGAAAGAACCATGGATACATCATTTGCTTCACACTTTGCACCCAATACTCACGCAGCTGGAATAGACATGCCATCCCCACTATTATCGTCCGTAGCAGTAATAGTGGTATCATCATTCTCCTCCGGCCCCTTCTCTCGAACGATCTCAAACAAGTGAGCCGTCCAATCATAGACATGATCGTACTCATATCTATAATCGGCAAATAACTCTCGGAAGATTCTCCGCAGATAGGAGTAGTTCGGCCGGTCGTTGTACTGTAGCGATCGGACATGTTGGAAAAACAAGTTGAAGGCATACGGGAGACCTTCACAGAGTCTCTCAATCGTGGTGTCGCTCTTGATTTGGCCTAGGTCCCTCCATATCAGGTCCTGGTTCATGGGGAATCTGGGGACGTAGTCATCCCACGGGAACTTTCTTCCCAGGAGATAGAGCAGAAGGAACCCGAGGCTTTCCAGGTCGTCTCGAGGACACTGGGCTATTTACATGGTCAGTCTGCATGGTCAACCAGGCGTTTGAAAGAAAAGAAAGAAAGGCGACTTACCACGTCCAGCGTGCGCACTTATGCTGGCAAAGGTGTCTGTCCCAATCCTGTCAAATGGGTCTGCCTGGCTCGGGTCCACAAAGTACTGAGCAGCACAGCCAAAGTCCGTGAGGTAGATGCAGTTGCCTTTCCGGCCGGTGCCCAGGATTACGTTCCCCGCGGTGACGTCTTGATGGAGGACCTTCCTCGAGTGCATGAAGCGAAGGCGACAGATCAGCTGGTCTGCAATCATGAGAACCGTCTTCAGGCTGAACCGATTGCCGACGTAGATGAAAAGGTCCTGGAGGGTGGGACCGAGGAGCTCAACTGCCATCACTCGATAGTCGCCCTCTTCGCCATACCAGTACATCTTTGGCATGCCCAAGCCTCCCGAGAGTCTCCGGTAGATGTCTAGTTCTAGCGCGAGGGGAGAGGGTTCGAGACCGTCTATTTTCGGCTCTAGTTTGACCGCGACGGTATTGGACGTCTGGAGGTCGGTCGCTACAGCGTCGGGCGGTTAGCAGGTTTTAACCGAATGGACCAGAAAGTTATGTATACCCATGAAGACTTCTCCGAAAGAACCACCGGCCACATATTCAAGTAGACGAAATCTACCACCAACGACGAGTTCCTAAGGGGCTATATTAGCAAGGGAGGTCAAACAGCGTGCCAGAGATCAACGTACAATCTGGTTCAAGTCTGCGGCCATGATGAAAGCTTCAAAGTGTTTCAGTACGGGTCGAATTGTACGATGTTATGATGAAGATGCAAGCTAAACATATTCCCACCGTGCATACGGATGTCTTATATACAGACTTTACGAATATGGGTACTCTACAGCATGTATAATACGAACAATGGGAACCAGAGTTTTGGGGCTTAAAAGGGCTTTGAAGGTGATGGTTTCATGTCAACAATTGACTTCGTTCTGACAATCAATTCATTGATCATTTTGTTCAGTCAAAGACATCAAACGGCTTTGTTGACCCGGTTCAAAGCATGCGTGAAAGCAGACGAGCCTGTCTTTATTGGCGATTGTGCTGATCAAAGGCTTGGATCGATCATTGCCCCATAGCACGAGAGAAATCTCGCCTTCAAAAGACATATCTCTGTCGACTTAATTCTTTTCTTTCGGACAAACAATCGAATGCTTCATGCAGTGAGAGGTGCCTGGGACTGTTGGCGGTCCCAAGGTTGATCAATCTGGCAGGGTTGATATTTGTTGGACAAGAAAAGCCTCTCATATGAGCTGTCATCAAGTACAGTACTCCATTCTCTCCAATCTCTCCATCTTTCCTGAATCCAGACTGAACAATGTATTGATATTGAAGTTATCGAGTGGATGGACGGAGCGGTTCTAGTACCTTCTTCCCCGCGCACGTGACGGTACCTGATCCTGCTGACTCACCGTCGTTACGCCATCCCGTTAACTATGGGCGTTCTTACTATGGGTTGAGACAACCAAGTTCCCTCCCTACTACAACTCAATGGGCAAAGCGATCCTGAAAGACCTGTGTTTCTGATTATCATCCCTCCATTTGGTCCTTTTACTCCTTGCTTAACCTACCTCGAATTGCTCCTGTTTACCTCCTCTCTCCGAACAAACTGTATGCATGCCTGACTTCAAGATCTCCGCTTCTTTAGAAGGCCACGGCGATGATGTAAGAGTTCCCCGTCTGTTGACATTGACCGCCACAACACCACCATGGCCTTTCTGAACCCCTGATCTCTAACCGTCTGCCATCTCGAATGATAGGTCCGTGCCGTGGCCTACTTGAATCCCAATGTGGTGTGCTCAGCCTCTCGAGATGCGACCGTGCGTTTGTGGAAAGTTGTCTCTACCCCGCCTCCGACATACGACTACAACATCACCTCCCACGGCTCGGGCTTCGTCAACACCGTGGCATATTACCCACCCACATCCGACTTTCCAGAGGGCCTCGTGATCTCCGGGGGACAGGATACGATTATCGAAGCGAAACAACCGGGCAAGACGGCGGGCGATAATGCGGACGCAATGCTGCTGGGCCACGCGGGCAACGTCTGCGCCTTAGATGTGTCACCGGAGGGTGGGTGGATCGTAAGTGGGAGCTGGGATTCTTCCGCGAGATTGTGGGAGGTAGGCAAATGGGAATGCAGGACCGTCTTGGAAGGCCACGAAGGGAGTGTCTGGGCGGTCCTCGCCTATGACAAAGATACCATCATCACCGGTAGGTCGGCCTGACGGACACGGTGTAACCATGATGCTGACTACGTTTAGGCTGCGCGGATAAGATTATTCGGATATTCAATACGTCGGGGAAACTGTTGGGGAGTATCAAGGACTCGAAGGATGTGGTCCGAGCCCTGTGCAAGCTGCCCGAGTCTCATCCCTCGGGAGCACAATTCGCCTCTGCCAGCAACGACGGGATAATTCGACTCTTTACCCTCAAGGGAGACCTCGTTGCCGAGTTACATGGTCACGAAAGCTTCGTGTACTCCATTGCCGTTCTGCCGTCGGGCGAGTTGGTGAGCTCAGGAGAAGACCGGACAGTGAGAGTCTGGAATGGCACACAGTGTGTGCAGACGATCACGCACCCAGCTATTTCAGTCTGGAGCGTCGACGCGTGCAAAGACAATGGCGATATTGTGACCGGAGCAAGCGACCGTATTACTCGAATTTTCACCAGAAGCGAGGAGCGAGTTGCCAGCCCAGAGGTCGTTCAGCAGTTTGAGCAGACGGTGAGAGAATCGGCAATACCCGAGCAGCAGGTCGGGAAGGTGAATAAAGAACAGCTTCCCGGCCCAGATTTCCTCAAGCAAAAGTCAGGCACCAAGGACGGACAAGTGCAGATGATACGCGAGGACAACGGTAGCATCACCGCTCACACGTGGTCGGCAGCATCGCAAGAGTGGATCCCAGTGGGCACCGTGGTTGACTCCGCGGCCAGCAGCGGGAAGAAGACCGAGTATCACGGACAGGACTACGACTATGTATTCGACGTCGACGTGGAGGACGGAAAGCCACCTCTCAAACTCCCCTTCAACGTCTCGCAGAACCCGTACGAAGCGGCGACGAAATTCATCCAGGACAACGAGCTCCCGATGAGTTACCTCGACCAGGTCGCACAATTCATCGTCCAAAACACACAGGGGGCCACTCTGGGCCAACCCACTCAAGAAACCGCGCCGGGTGCGGACCCTTGGGGCCAGGAGAGACGCTACCGCCCAGGCGAGGCATCCGAGCCACCATCGGTCCCCGAATCCCGCCCCACGGTCCTCCCGCAGAAGACATACCTATCCATCAAGGGCGCCAACCTCAAGGTGATCGCTAAGAAGATCCAAGAAATCAACGACCATCTTGCCTCGTCCGGATCGAAGGATGTGTCCTTGAGTCCCCCCGAAGTTGAGACGGTGGTCGCTCTGTGCGGGCAACTAGAGAAACCAGAGAGTCTCACCAAGTCGCCCGCGGTGGAAAGCGGGCTTGAATTACTTTTCAAGATTGCGACGACATGGCCACCCGCAAACAAGCTACCCGGCTTAGACCTGCTGCGTCTCCTCGCGGCAGCGACTCCGGTGACCGCAACAGCAGATTACGACGGCAAGGATCTCATCTCCGGGATCCAAGCCAGCGGCGTGTTCGAGTCGCCGCTGAACGTGAACAACGCCATGCTGTCGGTGCGAATGCTCGCCAATCTATTCGAGACGGATGCAGGCCGTCGTCTCGCGGTCAGCAAGCTCGAGCAGATCATGCCAGCAGTGAAGTCCGCACTAGCCGACAGCGGAGCGACGCCCAACCGCAACCTGACCATCGCCGTCGCAACCCTCTACATCAACTACGCCGTCTACTTCACCACCGAGGGCCGAGCCTCAGACCCAGAGTCCTCAGAAATGGGCCTCCATCTCCTCGCCGAGCTAGTCCAGATGATCGCCGGCGAGAAGGACTCGGAAGCAGTCTACCGCAGTCTCGTGGCGCTGGGGACCCTGATCACAGCGCTAGGCGAAGAAATCAAGAGCGCGGCGCGGCAGGTGTACGACGTGCGGAACGTCCTGGACAGTGTTGCTACGTCTGGGATTGGCAAGGAGCCGCGGGTGAAGGGCATTATCAACGAGATCAGAGAGTCAATGTAGGGAAGATGTTTTCACGATAGAATCACATATCACATTAGTCATGCCTGATGAATCAATCGAACAATGATATAAGTTACTTTCAATTCTATTTAAGTAGACATCAGCTCTAAATTCAAAACGACGATTATCATTGTCAGTAACGTACGCCACGCTTACGATGAGATTAAATATCTATATATATATTGAACTAATATAGGCATCACGGACCTACCGCTCAGGTTGGTTAGAAACTCCATCTACCACCGCACATAGTTCGTAGCGAGCGGTTGAAGGCTGAGGATCCTTGACGCATATGAAACTCGCATTGCTTTCAAGGCATGTAAGCTAGATCTACGGCGGACTGCTGCTGCTCCACCGGCCATCCTATCCAGGTCAAATCCTGCAACATCTGCTGCCATACAGCAGCATCGCAATCTTCAGTCACTGCTGCAGCAGGCTCTCTGTCACCAAGGGGACCCTCGATTATTGATTGCGGCAGCGTATTCGCGTTCTCAGTGTCCTGGGTGTCTGATGTGTCTCCTCGAACTCGTACTGAATGGGCCTGTACCCGACTGCTCTCCAATTACGAAAGCATAGACCCAATCACCGCACGGCAATTATCCCAAACATCATTTCCACGCGACATTGCCTCCATTTTCTGCATGGCCGCAAGACCGAGGTTGTGGATATCTTTGTTGTGGACTTCGACTGCCTTGGCTTGTGTCGTGGTGTCTGAGAGCAAGCTCAGCTTTGATAATACTAGAAGGCCGTACCAGATGGATGTGTAGCTGGACATGGGAAAATTGGGTGCGATTGAAGATGGCGATGCGAGTAATACCGTTACGATGTTGAACGCGGAACGGGCGATGGTGGGGAGGTGCTGTTTCTCATGTTCATGTTGGCCGTGGGCATCCCTTTGGCGCCGGAGGGTATGGCCAAGAACAAGAGCGGGGATTGCGTTGAGCTCCAGACGTAGGGACCCTGGTCAGGTCAGTATGTATCGGAACTTGGCAGGCCCAGATGGGCATACAGGTGTTGCACTGGGATTCCTGTGCGAGAAGGTGTTCGATTCGGTTCTCTAGTAGGTCTATAGACTGGGACAGGTCGTCCTTGCTCACCCCATGGAGAGGGTCTTCGACCTCTAGCTCCGATTACCGAGCAAGCGATTGTATCTCAATTAGTGCCTTTAGAGACTGGTCAGTGGGATACTCGGCCCTTTGCCCTAAGCTATCGGCACAATACTCGACCCAGTCTGTATGTTTCATGGTCAGTTGTCGGCGGAATATTGAGGCCCTATTCTGTTAGTCAATAGTACTGTACCGCATCTTAGAAGCCCTCACTTGGAACATAGATAATAGCACCCTAAGAAGGCACGCTGTCCGTCGGGAGTCAGATATAGCGCTTGTCCCTTATGAGGCTCCTCCGTCCCTCTCCCAGAATGAGAGATACGCTGCATGCTGAAGTTGTCGCATCTGTCAAGTCCCAAATCAACAACGATAGCCATAGCCATCTGAAGAAGCAAGTACACCTGGGTATGATAGGTCCGCCAATGATAGTGATGCCAAGCGATATGAACCAGTAACCCCCGAAGTAAATCCACGTCCCTCTCCATGTTCATTACTATGCGGGTGGAGATCACAGTTCGGGCTTCGAGTTCCAATTTCTGCTGCAGGGCGGGCTTGCGCTCGAGACAAGCGGTCATTATGCACAAGAGGAGGAATGGAGATTCATTGCGCAGTCCAATAAAGCTCACTTCGGGTATAATGACGAATGGAAACAGGGGAATTAGGTCTGTACGGAACTTTAGGAGAAGTTCTTCACCTTCTGTGATATTGAGAAGTCCTCGGGTGATAAAGTCGTTGGGCGGTTCGGGGACAGGGCTTGGCTGTAACGAATCATTGCTGATTGTAGAAGGGGATGGTGTTCCTGTTGTAAGTGAAGGAGACAACTCCAGTCGGAGTAGCGACTGTTCTCTTCACGCAATATTTTGGAAGTGCAGTCATGCAAAGCATAGGAGGCGCTATCTTCCAGAATGAACTGAAAGCCCAGCTGAAAGATCAGGCCTCGTTGGAGTACAAGCAGATCGAGATGCTTCTTGATGCTGGAGCCCTAAAGGTGCGGGAAGTCGCGCTGCATGCGTTTCCGGACCGCTTGGCCGATATTATTGTTGCATACAATAACGCCATCCGAACTATTTTTGTATGTTCATCTTTTGGTCTTGAATCTTCCGTTTTGATGCTGACGATATTGAATCTACTAGTATCTTCCTATAGCTGGTAGCGCTCTGGCGTTTATCCTATCCGGTGGAGTCCCATGGGTCGATACTCGCCGAAAGAAAGAAGATAATGAAATGGGTTGTACAGAGGAAATCGATAAGCTTCAGTCAGACAAGCAGGCAACTGTGTGAGGAATCAACGCTATGTCTATGGTCATTGGGGACATGACTCCAAGCAGAAACATACTTTGTATATTGGACCGTCTGGAGCCTGGATTGGCGCCTGAGCTAGGTCATGGGTTGCATGGTTGCAGAAAGTCGCTTGAAGAGAGCCCAAAAGAGCAAGATATACAATAAAACAAGCTATAGTTATAAGTATAGATATGACTAGATATTAATATAGATATAGATAGAGAAATAATCATCAACCACTAAAGCCTTCCCCCATCAGCTTCAACAGGCATCTCAACAACCTGATCAACCCCCGGATAAGCAGGAACATCCAACCCATATTTCCGCGCCACAGCATCAGTCAAAAAGCGCCCACCCAGAAAATGGCGACCCCGGTAAAAACGCACGCAAGGCTTAGGAGCCGTGAGACTGATAAGCGCGTCAGGCATGAACTTCGAGCCGGGGCCGGACTCGGGCGGCCCGGACTCGACGTCCCAGGAGCTGGGGGCGTCGACGCTCAGGACGGGGATGGAGGCGGTTTCGATCTGCGAGATGATGGTTGGGAAGGGGTCGCGCAGGGGTCCGCCAAAGGAGAAGCCAAAGATGGCGTCTATGAGGAAGTCGGAGGTGCGGATTGCGGGGGGGAGGTCTGTGATGAAGGGGACGGAGAGGTTGTGGAGTTGGGTTTTGAGGCGCTGGTTGGTTAGCTTATCTTTCTTCTTTCTTCTTTGTTTACTCCTCAAGACTCGAATGAATACCTGGTAGAGAGGATTCTTGCCCTCCTTGGGATAGTAGATGGATGGGGTGTAGCCGTATTGAGCCAGGTGGCGAGCTGCCACGAGACCGTCACCTCCTGTTTGTCACGTTAGCCATAGATCTACTTAATTCATCTCTTTCTGTTTTCCTTCTTGATCGTGTTGGTCAAAAGGCAATGGAGGACTGCTACGACATACCGTTATTTCCAGGCCCGCAAACCACAAGGACATTCTTTCCCGCACTGGGAGGATGAACTCGATAGACTATACAAGTAGCATACTGTCAGTCCAGTCATGTCTACCTTGACAGAAGGTGCCAATATACCAGCCTGCGAAACAGACAGCCCCGCCAGCTCCATCAGCTGGTCCAGGGACCAACCGCCGATGTCCGCGTCCATGAGGTCCTTGTCAAGCGACGCAGCATCTTTCGACGAGATGGCCTACACATCATTAGCCATAGTCTAGCAAATATTATCCTCGAGGCGAGAGCGCACCTTCAACGACATCCTTGCGGTTCGGGAGTAGTATCTGTACCGGAGTGCAGCAGGACGAAGGCAGCGAGAGAACAACGCAGGCCGGAACATACAGTACGGCACGATTTACAGAATTGACTGACCAGAAAGTATCTATCTGGATGTGAGAGTAGCAGGCAATGATTGCAAGACCAATTGAACAACTCCAAAGCAGAAAAGGCCGAACTAAATAAGTGAAATGCATTCATTGCATCATAGTTAGCATAGCATCATCATATCACGCTTATGTAAGTAGCCCCACGCTGCTTTACGCTAATCCTGATATGGTTATCCCGGAATAACTGAATCCCCGACGAGCAGCGCCGATGGGAATCGCATCAGAATCAATTAATTGTCTCCGGAAGTTCGTCTCGCAGCGCCAGCAGTCTTCCCCGTCCAGCGTCAATTCATACCCGCCAAGATGGTCCTTCGCATTCGTCTCGCCCGCTTCGGCAACAAGCACCAGCCGTTCTACAATATCGTCGTTGCGCAGGCTCGGTATGTTTTCTTTTTTCTCGCTCTACTTTTCTCTTCCCCGACGAGAAGTCGCTATTCAGCAACTCAGCACGGAACCAATCGCTGTTTTCTCCACGTTCCACCTAGCTAATGGGAATAGATCCGCCCGCGGCAACAAACCCCTCGAAGTCATCGGCACGTACGACCCCGTCCCCAAGACGAACAACAATGTCCACGACGAGAGCGCCTCGGCTCGCCCGGTCAAAGACGTGACGCTCGATCAGTCGCGGACGAAATACTGGCTTGGTGTGGGGGCACAGCCCAGCGACAGTGTGTGGAAGTTATTGAGTCTGGTGGGTTATATCCTGAGGGAGAATGATTGAGGCGTTCGTGTTTAAGGGACATGGCTAACTGGCAATATTGCGACTATAGGGCGGGTTGATGAAACCCAAGCAGAAGAACTGAATCTTGTGATATCCATCTACTTTGGTGGTTTTCGTCGTGGTGCGTTAGCTACGGGGTTCAACAAGAGAGCATACCCTCTCAAGTGACCCTCTGAGCGGGTTTGATTCTGGCATTTGTCGTGGCGTTCACAGTGGGCTGTTATACTATTGCTCTATTTTCTTATTCGGGATCGCAGTACAGAAGAGCTAGCTACTTCTGACCCATCCACCTATCTACCTACCTGTACATTACAAGGGTCTGTTATATTACATTATGACATGAGAGATTCCCCATTTCCACTGGCCTAGCCCTGCATTAACGGTCTTGACGTTGTGGCATGTCATGAATATGTCATCAGGCTCATAGCCTTTACCGGCTGGTATATCCTAGCTAATATCTACGTAGTCTCGCCGGCTTTCAGTTCCGGAAGTATCACGACGAGAACCCCTCGTAGTATTCCGCGGATCACTTACAACCGATGTGAACTTACAGTCGGCATTCGGCGCAGGGGGAACTCTAGCTCGAGCGGAATGGAGTTGCGATCCAGTCGGCTGTCGCGGATAGCCTACGCGTTGACTGGTTAGGATTTCAAGAGGCGCGTTGGGGCATGTTGGTTGTGCGGTACTCGCATTCGTACTCGTACGTAGACATGTGGCGTATCACGACGGTCCTTCATTGGATTTAACTTTAGGGCGCAGCCTCTAAGTTTCTCTTTGATATGTATCAAGTTTTTGATACACTCAATAAAAATCAACAAAATGAAGATTTCTCAAGGAATAACTAACTAGTGGTCATGAACTCTAACCTGACAAACTGACAATCACTTTGGGTGCCTGGCAGTCTTATGTGATATAACACATAGATGGATGAACCTCCGAGAGAAGGTTCTGTGACAGAAAGGTTCTGGGTTCCTGTCTCCGTAACGAGACTGATCCCTTTGATTCCCCTGAGCTTGGAATAAACTGAATATGCGCCTTGGATGACGAGACAGGTCGAGGTCGTCGTCTGGTACACGGCATCAAGAGTAAGGGAAAGACCCGACGGGAGTGTTTTCATCCAGGAGACAAGACCATCTAACTGTTCTGTTGACACAGTCTCTAACACCGAAACGCTGAAGACAGCTCGTAAAGAAGGGTATTCGGGGGCGGCGTTCGTATCAACCGCTTCCGAACCCAATAGAGGGAGACAAACAGAGGAAGCGCCCATTGTAAGGCCATGGACGGGCGTCACCACGACAGTATCTCTCCCACGCAGGGCTTGAACAAGGTCCGCAAATTCCACAGAGCGGTGTCCTTCGCGCTGTCGGCGCATCATCTCTACAGCTAGAATTCCCGTCACCGTGTTTCTCGCCGGAGGTAAGCCAAGTGCACTGCGAGGGGTCTTCCCAGTTGCCGCAAGGATTTCCACAATCCGGTCGCCGCTGTTCGGCGGAGCCCTCGACGCCTCAAAACCGTAGTAGCAGTCAAGGAAGAAGACAACATCGACATGGTCGATATCAGCGAGGTAGTAGCTACGGTCCAGGGCAAGATCCAGGCAAAACACACCCAAATTCATGGGCCGTTCATCAGCCTGGGCAGTAGCCATGAAGGCACCTTTGTCATGATATGCACGACCAGCGTAATGGCAAAGGATTATTGCTTTTCCTTGGGATATTCTAGCCGCCTCGAGCATTTCCACCATAGAGCTTTGCACTGTCCAGCCTGGGGTGCGATCTGTGGGCTGGAGGACCAATTCGTCGGCCTTGGGAAGGCCTAGCATCTTTAGTATGCATTGGAAGTGTGCCGTGTCTTCGTGAGCGCGAGTATCGTCATCTTCCCAGCGGATTGAAAGTGCGTATGCATTGCTGTATGCGCTGTTTCTCTGGTGGACTGCTGAATCGATTGCAGTGCGGAATTCGTCATAAGTGATGTGGTCGGTTTGGGCGTTTGTAAACATGATTATGGGCATGAAGTAGAGCTTGAAACACGATATGCGCTGATTAGCAGTCGGGTATAAAAGATATTATGACGCTTTTGGCTTTCGTAAGTAACCCTATATTCAGTGCGACGACATGGAAGGTTGATTCAAAGTGGTAGTTCAACGCAGGATTCTCGGAGATGGGGTTTTGTAGACGTAGGAACAAAGGGAGGCAAAGAGTTTACCTTCATCTCTTATGATAGTGCAGTGATGGCAGAATGACTGCAAATGATGATAGAGTGACCGCAAAGTAACTTGGACAAGTGACTCCCTTTTTAGGGTTGATGGCCTCATTACTAGGTACTCAGGAGTAGGCCCTGGGCGCTGACAGTGATTAGTGCTGTATTACTGAGTACCCTACTAAAGCGGTGGGTAGAAGAGGAGCCTAGAGTCATGCGAGAAATTGGTGTGTATATCTATAGCTATAGATGTATAGATATTGATATACCTATGTAGTATATAATACATGGAGTATAGTAGTATAGAGATCATCGTAGTAGCTGACAAGAACCATAACCAGTCCAGCCAAGTAAGCTGATTGGCCACGGACACAATTCCAGGCCGCAGATCGGGGGCGTCGACGGTGCCGTTTAACCTTTGGATTTCGTCCAGCTGTCAGGGGCCATCCTAGCATTGTGCAGGAGGCAGTTGGGGGACGTCATTCTCTTGAGGAGAATGAATTATAAGATAAATTAATAGAATATAATAGGTAATATAAAACTGTATATATAAAGTCTAATCACATGATGATCCACGCATCGATGTACACAAGCGTACTCAATAGGTAGAAACCCGGAAAGTCACGGTCCTGACGTCTTCTCCCGGCTCATCCAGGAACGCGTCGCAAACTATACTTGCAATGAGAGAGATCACACTGTCGGCATTTGTCCACGGGTTCGGCGACGGTCGTACAAAAGGTGGCACCGCCTCATGATCACCTCGGCAGCGTGACTAATGAGAGATACCAGCGGCACTGGTCGAAAAAGTGGCTGATTTGGTTGATGGTTGAGGGCTTGAATGAAGGTGACCCGAGTCTTCAGGGGAGAATATCAGAAAAGTGGACACCTTGGGCGTGCCTGATGGCTGGAAGTGGAGCAGAGAGATCCATTCTTCACCATTCCTCGGCTGTCATGATCAACTTTATATATATTTCTTTATTATTCTTATTAAGAATTTTCTTTATTAACCAACCAACGGATGTCATGACCACATGATGAATAGTGTACCTAATAGAGAAGGTTTGTATGAAGACAGAAGGGGATGTATGGATGGTCTAAGGTACGCTCGGCACACGCACCATCGCATGCGGCAGATGCGCCGCACTCGGCAAGTGACAGTCGCGCATCTCTCCACCGAACCGGAAAGTCTCCATTGTTCTTGTCTTGTTCCTTTCCAATGTTATAATAGGCTGGATGGAGAATGTCAACATGGGTGGATAGATCAGGCTGGATGTTCTATGAACAACCTAGACTCGAGGATTGAAGGTGGAAAAACCAATACGGTAAAATACAGGAGGATGATCCAGACACAGGGTCAGGGACGATCACCAGCCAGACCCAGGAAGAAGCGCGTCGTGTCCGAAGTCGACCGTCGCGCCTCTGACGGGAGCTACGGGCTTTCGTTGGATAGGGATGGATCGTTAGCGTGGAGGTTAGTTCGTTGGGATTGTGTTCAGCTGTGGAAATGAACTAGTCATATCAACATCATGATGACAATGGAATGGAACGTACGGAGTACGGAGGGAAGGAAATAAAAAAGGATCAGATGAAGTAATAGAATGAAATCCAATAGAGGAGAGTAGCATCGTGAGCGATCAAATAAGGGGAAGAATGGAAGAATGGATAGATCCATGGGACCGAAACTCCCCCAGACCCAGGGTTGACTGTTCCGGACTCGACTCGACTCGATTTCGGGGGGGTTCCAAAAGAACGAAAGGAGCCGTCATCGAATTACAGAACGGGTATGTTTAATTACCACTGGCTCCTGGGCCAGTTGGTGGTCTGTGGAGGATGGATATCCGCTAATCGGGCCCCCGTGGTGGTGTGTATTTCCCGGTAATTACAGGGTCATACCATACGTGACCCCATAGTACGGAGCCTGGCCATACCAACGGACAAGCCATCCAAAGCCATTCATTCATCCCCCCCTCTTGCGTCCTCGTTCTCTCTTCTCTTCTTCTCTTTCACATCACTCTCTCTCTCCCTCTCTCTCTCTCTACTGCGTACATCCGCTTTCTTCCTTCCTTCTCCCCCTCTTTGTATCCGCGGGAAATTTACACCTCGACCATCATCCTCTGCTGTTCTGACCTGCGTATTACTTCTACTATTCCTGCTAATCAAACCTTCCCATCCTCTCTACTCTCTTCCCCCCCCAAAATTCAAACCCCCCCAATACTCACGTCCCTATTTCTATTCTGTCGCACCTCTTTATCCTTCCCTCCTTTTTACTTCCTTCTCTACCTTTTTCTTTCTTTCGCATATCCCCTTACCCTTCCCCCTCTTCTCTTGCTTCTCTTCTCTTCATTTCCTCCTTCCTCTTTCACGTTTTCGCTGCTTCTCCTATTCCCGACCCCAACCCTGTTCTTTGCTTCACATCGTGTTATGACTATTCCCCGGTCCATCTCATCCATATTTTATTATCTCGAGGACTAGTCAAGTCTCATTTCTTGCCTGTCGCATCGGATACCTCCGTTCATTCCTGTCTGGTGATCCCATCATTACTCATCCCATCACTGCCTATCCCGTCGTCTTTTCCCCCCTCCCTCCATCTGGTCCCTCCGGCTGTCGCAATTTCGTTCCCGCCGCGACCTTTGCGTGCGCGTTCCTCTGTTGCCAATCATCCATTTCGAAAGACCTCTCGGCGTATCTGCATCTCGCATCCAGAGTTCTAGACTTCCTGCGATCATCATCGTCGGCGTTGATCATCCGTTTCGCCTCCCCCCCTCTCCATCGCACACACACCGGGCGCATTCAGATCGTCGACGTCCGTCTGCTCCCATCGACCAACGCGTGGAGTTCTCTCCTCGACCTCCCTACGAATACCCCCCCTTCGTGTGATCGGAAAAGTGTGTGGTTTCGCGAGGCATGAGTGGCAGTTCGAATCAGTCCGCCCGTACCAGTCCTGGGTCGTTCAACACCAACCAACTCACCCCGTCCGTCTCGTCGGGCGCATCGCCGCCACATCCGTCATTCCCCTTGTCGCAGCCGCCTTCGACGGCTCAGAATGCGATGTCGACCGACGTGTATCCCCCCGCCATGTCGCATCCGACTTCGTCGCTAACCTCCTCCTTCCCCGACCCCTTCTCCCCCCACGCCGCCTCGGCCGCTTCCTTGGACGCCGTCACCCCGACCGCCATGCGCCACCCCGACTCCGACCGGTCCTCCCGCCGCCTCAACGGCTTCGCGCGATCCCCCGTCTCCGGCTCCAACGCCATCATCATGCGCAAACTCCCCCAGAACACGGGCCACGACGCCCTGCGCAGCATGTTGCTCTTCTCCAAGGGCCTGGTCGATGTCGAGTTCGTCACGGTTGACCTCGCGGAGGACGCGGGATACAAGAGTGCGATCGCGCGGTTCGCCTCGCCCGATGCCGCCGAGGAAGCGCAGCAGCTGCTCCACGGCAAGCGCAACTCCACCGACAATGCCAACATGATCGTGGAGCTGTACAACGGTCCGGGCCCCCGGCGCAACACCATCGACCACTCCGCCACGTCGCGCGGGTTCCTGGGCAACGGCATCCCCACCACCGGTCCCGTCTCGCGCCAGTCCTCGCGCTTCAACGGCACCTTTCAGAGTCTCGCCGCCAATGGCCCCGCGTCGGCCGCCAGCGATTCCTTCCCCCCTCCACCGCCGCCCCCGCCCCCGCCGATGCCGGGAACCGCATCCACACCCTCTTCTCTCCACAGTCGCCCATCGGCAACGGCATCGCCCACGACCTCCCCCGCGTCAGCGGCAAGGCGATGATCGACGGGGAACCGGAGGATGACACGTCCGTGATCCTCGATAATCCGCTGGCCTACGCGGAGAAAGGACACGCCGGTTCCATCTCCTTCCGCCGGGCGACCAACCCGCCGATCCCCACCGGCCAGTTCGCCAATCTTTCGCTGGCGACCAACATCTCCTCGTCCCCCGTGCCGAACTACCCCGCCGGCGGGTCCGCCGCTCACATGGGCCTCTCCACCCCCTCCACGGCCTATCCCCCGTCCATGACCCCCACCACCACCACCATGGGCGCCGGCCACGGTGTCCCATACGGCAAACCGCACAGCAACAACCCTCACAGCAACCCCCACGGCAACCCCTCCAGGAACTCCCATCCCTCCCGTCACAGCCACAGCCTCCCCGCGGCCAACCCGAACGACCAGAACCCGCCCTGTAACACCCTCTACGTCGGCAACCTGCCGCCGGACACGTCGGAGGAGGAGCTGAAGGCGCTCTTCTCGAAGCAGCGCGGCTACAAGCGACTCTGCTTCCGAAACAAACAGAACGGCCCCATGTGTTTCGTCGAGTTCGAGGATGTCGGCACGGCCGGCAAGTCCCTGAACGAGTTGTATGGCTTCAGGCTGTCCAACAGCATGAAGACGGGCATCCGCCTGAGCTTCTCCAAGAACCCACTGGGGGTGCGGTCCGGCCAGTCCTCCCAGCAGGCCGCCGCCGCCGCTGCTGCTGCCGCCGCTGCGGCCATGGCGTCGTCGGGAGTTGGACCCGGGGGCGGCGGCGGCAGCGGCGCCAACCTCGCCGGCCTGTCGGGCCACGGGTTCGCGGGCGTCACCCGACCACCCCCGGGACTGGAGTCGCAGGGTCCGCCCGGGTTGCCCCAGCCGATCGGCATGAGGGGTAACGGCACCCTGCACGGCCCGGGGCCCCATGGGCCAATTCCCAATCCCGCCGCCGCCTACAATTCCAATGCGGGACTGGGGATCCGCAGCCCCCTGCACCCGATGATGACCCCGACACCGCCCCCCTCGGGTGGGGCGGCCAACGGCACCAACGGCACCACCGGTCCCAACCCGGGGGGGTTCAACCCGCCCTACCCCGACTACATGCTTGGTCGGTAGGAGGGCTAGGGCAGTCGCCGAGACGGATCCGGGTGACGCTAATGTCCGGCATGTTTTCATGAATCATTTCAGGTAGTTGGCGCAATCTGGGAATTTGTTGCTTTTTCTTTCTTTCTTTACGAGCTAGAACAAGCATTCGGAGGCACCCCTTCCTCCTTGGAGTAAGGTTGGACTCGTGCTTTATGCTTCTGCTATTCGTTTATCTTCTTCTTGATCTTTGACCTATTTACCCCTTCTTCTCTTATTCTTCTTCATCATCTTTTTCTTCTAATTCTCCCCTTTCTTGTTCTTTTTGATGATCGTGTTCCTTGTGTCGCTCAGCAGCATGGATTAATGGGCGCCCTGTTATACTGTCGCTTTCTTTTGGGGGGTTGCATTTTGATCATCCGTGTGTTAATGATTCGTCCTGCGGGAGCTTCGGAATTTTCCTGGTCGGCTTTTGTGTTCTGATATTTCTTTGTGTTCTATCCCTTCTTGCCCTGTCTTTTCATACCCTGTATTGTGTTTTCTTGCGTTCTGCCATCATGGGTCGGATAGATCTCTATTGGTGTCGAGCGCTCGGTTTCGCTTCGCATTCCACTTCCATCTGTCTGTCTCCGGATCCGTTTCGCAGTCGCAGATGCATTCCTTGGCAGGCGGAACGTGGTATCTGGATGGATGGATGTCGTCGATCCCGACCCCGGAGCAGAAATGGACGGACCGCCGGGTCAAAGGACGACGACGAAGAAAAGCCAAAACGACAAAAAAAGTGAAAAGCAAAAAGGAAAAAAGAAAAGAGGGAAATCGCATCCGGCCGGGGTGCGCGTGGTATAATCAACTCATGTCATGATAAAGCATCTGGGATTTCCGGGAGAGCACCCATCGTGGGAGGCGTTTACACGGTTATAGTTTGGGATTTTTTGATCTGACGAACGCTTTTCCACGGGGTAAACGGCATCTGGTATTTGCTCGCCTGTCCATTTTCTAGCGCCTTCTTTATGTTCTTTACTCTTCCCCCTTCTTTCCTGATTTATTATTTCATGGTGTTCTGTCTCTTCATTACTTCTCGTTCGACTTGCATCCTGTTCGCAGCGCGTGTTCCTTGGGTGTTGTTGGGAGGCCGTTGATTTTACTTTGGATGAACGCGTTATTATTACTCTGATTCTTACGCCGCATCTTGGACCAGGAGGAAAGAGGCGCATTACTTATTATTATGTGATTTTATTCCCTAGTTTGACAGCGAGATTGTTCGTTCTTTGATCCAACTGCATCTGTAGGCGTACTGGTGAGGTAGTAGTGGCTGCGTAGGTCATGTGATGTAGGTCAGGTGATATATATCAGGTGATCCGGTGGATCCGGTGTGCCTGAGGCCACGGATCCTCCCGGCACACACGTGACCCGGACCGACGCAGAGAAAAGTTTCTTCGACCTCGCGTTCCCTCTCGGTTGTCTTTCTCAACCATCTTCCCTCCATCCCCTCCCCCTCCCACCACTCCTCCATTGGCCGTATATCGGTCAATTGTATACTATTAACTATAATAATCCTCCTACCTCTCTCCCTTCTTCCCTTTCTTCTCGAGTATCCCCCTTCACACACCTCCACAATGCCCCCCCGGATACATAACCAACGGGTCACAAACACCCTCCTCCCCTACCTCTCCTCCACCTCCACCACAGCCTCATCCCCCTCCATCTCCCGTCTCCCTTCCACAAGCACTGCCCCCAATGGCAGCAGCCGTCCCTTCAGCACAACACCAGCCCCCCAGAGCCGGAAATGGCGGACAGACATGTTTCAATGGCTGGCCAAAGAAGGCTCCGAGCTGAAGTCTCACGTGCCGGGGCGGACCAACTACCTGACGCGGCTGAAGGAGCGTCGGGCTCGCGGCGAAGAAGGTGCCAACAGCAAGGCGGCCCTGACGCATCCGTTCCCGCTGAACCCCTATTTCTCTGCTGAGAATATCCTCAGTGAGGAGCTGCGGAATGAGATCCATGCCAGGGTGACGGGCAGGAACAAGAAGAGTGTTCGTGCTGTTAGTGTCGAGTTGGGTGTTGATATGAGGAGGGTTGCAGCTGTTGTGCGGTTGGTTGAGTTGGAGAAGAGGATGAAGAGTCAGGTATTTATTCTCTTTCCCTTTCTTTTTTTACTTTTTCCCTACCACCTCCACCTCCACCTCCACCAAGGTACCTACTTGCATGATGAGAAAAAAGGAAAATTCGATTAGTCTTTATGACCGGTCAATGACCGGGATGCTTAGAACGCCATATAATCTGATGCACAACCCCAAATTTTACACTTCCCACAAGCAAACACATTCGCAGTCGCTGACCAGCATTTGATGCAAAGAACAAGCAGCTGGCTCTCCCATATGCCCGGGCCGTCCACGAGATGGTGCCCACCACACCCCTCCACAAAGAGAATAGAAGGGCACACGAGTCCATCAACGACCTGCCCGTGCACAAGCTCACCAACGCACAAATCTTCCACCCGATCCCGGAATCGCGTCACTTCACGCGTGCCGACGCTGGCCGCGTCTTCTCCGCCGCGCCGGCCCAGGATCTCGCCACGGCTGCGGCCACTGCAGCCGACCCCACGGCGGCCGTCGACCGCGCGACGCAGCAGCCCGGCCGCATTGAGCGCGTCGGCAAGGGCGAGTTCGAGACGCAAGTCCTGCAGCCGGCGGAGGCACGTATCCCGCACCCGCACCTCGTGGCGCTGGAGCGCTACCGCCTCGCCCACTCGGAGGAGCCGCGCGAGTCCAACAAGTACTACAGGACGCGGCTGCTCGAACAGGAGCGCCTCGAGGGCGAGCAGCGCGCACAGGCAGCCGCGCGCGAAGAGCAGAGCACGAACAAGGTGGCGCCGGCCGCGTCTCGATTCGAGTTCCGCTTCCGGGACGTCGAGTTCAGCGAGGAGACGGTGGGACACGATGGACGTGGCTCGATTGCTCCGGGCCGACGATATGGTGTGCCGTCGGAAGACCGCAAGAAGGGACAAGTCAAGATTCCTACTAGTGTGGTTGTCTAATTTCCTACTATCGGTTGATCAGATACTGTCTTGTCTCTACTCAGCGAGACGAACGGGACGGATTGGATATGATCGATGTTTGTATTTGTATTTCTAGGATTGAGCGTTGTGGGTGGAGTGTTCTGTATCTCTGTATTATTTATTATCTATCTCCTAGGTATCACCAACTAGCTCTACGGAGTACATGTGACATGATTTATAATGTGGTAAATCGACTATGTATGTATCGTATCCATTGAAGACAACAAGACTCAGCTTGATCTATTCATCACATCTACCAACATCCCAACCTAATCAGTTGCACATAGCTAGGTCATGCTAGGTCAGGCCAACAGGCCAGGTTCCACCCACCCAACCAACCAGTCTACAATAATGTACTCCGTACCTTAGGTATGTAGAAAGAACAGGCCCAATCAAGCAAACCCAAACCCATACCTCCCAGGATCCAGCGAGGGCGGCGCAAGCAGGCTCGAAACCGGCGATATCTGTATCTGGCCCTTAGGCAGAAGACCCGAAAAGGTGGTAGCGGCGATTGAGCATAGATTGGGTATGTTGCCCAGTAGCCCGGAGGCGAGGTGCATGCTGCTTGTTCTGTTGTGGGTGTGGGTGTGGGTGGGAGATAGGATTTGCTGTTGTGGTTGGTGGTTAGTGGGAAGATGCTGTTTGTTTCTACTCCGCGCCTCGGGTCTCTTTTTTAATGCTGTTGTTGTTGTTTTGCTTTAGATTGATGGGGGATCGAACATACCTGTCTCCATGTGTCGAGCTCTAGGGCGATGCCAGTGCAAGGTGAACCCTCGGCCGTAGTCACATTTACCGCGTTCAGAATTGTATTAAGAACCAGCTTTTCCAATACGCAGCATAGGTCTAATAAAGCCTGTACTTCAAGGTTTCCATCACGCTGCAGGGCTCTCAGAAACGCCACGAGCTCACCGATACGTTCGGCGCAGAAACGCGCCTGGGGGTCTCTAGGCCTGTCAAGTACAACAGTGACGAGCGTGATGCATGCGGCCGTGGGATAGAATAGGATATGCCTGACTGATGATTAGTGAGGAGAATGAGTCTGATGTGACTAAACGTACCAGAGATATCCGGGTTGTTCACGGCGAGATAGGCATTGTAGGAGGTGGATTGTCTCCGAGGCTGCGGATATTTGAGTGGTTCTTGCGGAGTTGGCTTGCTGTATGGTACTGGGGACGTCGTGGGGATCGAGGTGCGCGGAAAAGGAGTGGAGTTCGCAGAGTGTGCTGTAGTACGCGAGGTGTAGCTGGATGATAGGCTCCCTGGCTATTGTTGTTGTTGGTGAGGACCGGTCGAGATGATCAGCTCGGAGATGTACCGGGAGGCTCGCTTTCCAGGTCATCAGTTGGTGGTCAAGCTCAGCTGCGATGTTCAAGAGCTGGTGAGCGCTCTTTTCGTTAGAAGAGGTGGAAAAGAGCCGTTTCTCAACAGTGGAATCAATCATTGCTAGTTGAACCTGGAACTGGATAAGAGTGGACGCCGACATGTCCATTCCCAAGCCGTGGCTACCTATCTCAGATCCAGGCACAGCGATATTAAAATGATGAAGGCTGATTGCCTCCTGATCAAAGTTGGAAGGCAATCCAGTCCGTACAGATATGTCCTTGTCGAGAAGATAAGAGGCCCAGAAGGCCCTCCTACTGCGGTTGGCAGCAGCAGAGTCAAGCCCAGAGTAATACGTCGGTCGATGCAATCCAAGTGTTGACGACAGGCGCGCGGCCGCACAGACCAGGACCGACGTGGTTCGCAGATCAGTGGAGCCCTGCATGTATACAGCCATAGCGAGCAGCGCGTCGACAGCTAGTATGTCTGCGCCGCGTAAGGTAATGGCGGGGTATACGCTGAACGCATTCTTAAAGAAAGCCCATGATAGCTCCATCATGGCACGTTCCGAGCCCTTGGCGGTCCGGAGTTGGATCGCGACGGCTACTGCTGTATTGAGCATGGCCCAGCGCTGGGGGTTTTCTCCTCGGGGAGCAGTCGGGTGTGCGAAGTGTTCGTCCAACAGAGTGAGCAACAGGGGGGTGTCGAAGAAGGGCACCTGGTGATTGAGTTCAACGAGGGCCACTTCGAACAGAGACTGGAGATGGGCCTTTGGGGGAAGTTGGATGAAGATGGGGCTGGTGAAAGCGCCGTGGTTCGCCTCTGACCTGAGCGTTTCCGCCGTTGGTTGCTCTGGGAGGATCGTGAAGAATCGGTCTCTCTGCGCTTTCTGCGTTTGCTCGGGGTCATCTGAGCGACACGTTGGCGCACTTGCTTCAGACTCCGATGCATTCAGTCTGTCTGATAGAGTAGACTGAGCGCTGTTCTGATCGGTTCCCACTTTGGAAACTTCATTGTCGGCAGACCCCACCGAAGCACTCGTCGAATGCCGTAAAGAAGTCTCCAGTTCACTGACCCGAGCCTCCAGCTTCTCGATATGTGGTTTCCTGGAGTAGGATAAGCCGATGACACCATCCATATCCAACTGATCTACTGACGCTTTCCCCCGGCCTCGACGTCTGACTCCGCGGTAAGTACACGCCAATTGGCGCTCTGTGCACGAAGTACATTTTGGAATGCCGCCGTCGCAGCGTTTTTTGTTTCGCTGACACTGTACACATGCCTAGTATAGATTGTTGGAGTAATCCGCTGGGTTGGCGGGCATGGAGATCATACATTGGAGGTTCTTCTGCGTTTGTCCTGGGGTGGTGCATCGACCTCTTCCGAGCCCTCCATGTTTGACAAAGCGTTTTCAACAGGCAGCAGAAATCGCAGGTCGTAAATCGGCTACCACGGTCGAAGCAGACACGCAGATACAATTATCTCGATCGATACAGACCGACTACCCCAACTCTGGTCGGAAGCAAATTGGATCCGACTGACAAATTCCCATGCGGGATTTCCTCAACTGTGGAGACCAACAGCTCCGGATCGGCTTATACAGCCAATCAACAGTATCCAAGTGAGGATCGATATCATCATCCTTGGATCTGGCGCTGTCATTGCTAAGCACCTCTAACAGATGGATGTCTTTGCCCGTCGCAACGGGGTCTATTCACTCCGATGCCCACGACTCGAACCGCATAAATACTTCCATAGACCCTCGCTTTCTCTGCAAGAACCAACAGTCAGAAAAACTTCAAACAATTACTACCGTCTCCAACCATGGCCATCATTGCTGTCGCCGGTGGAACCGGCAATGTGGGACGCGCTATCGTCGAGATATTGAGAGACACCACGAACCACCCCGTCTATGTTTTGACAAGACAGGTAGACATCGCATCAACGGCCACCGTATTCTCTCGGTTCCTAATGCTGACCATGTAAATGACCCAGGCCGACGACGATCTAGCAAAAGAGCTAGGCGTCGCACTGCTTTCTGCGGACTATTCCAATGTCGCATCCCTCACCAACCTGCTAGAAAGCAACAAGATCGACACCGTCATATCGACCGTATCCATCATGGACGACACCACCAGCAACGCCCAACTAAACCTCATCGAAGCCGCCGAGAACTCATCAAGCACAAACCGATTCATCCCGAGCGAATTCGGCCTACGCTACACCCAAGAGTGAGCGCATCCTGCATCCTCTGCACCACATTCTCCCCACATATCACACACTAACTAAAACCCCCGCGCCTATCCAGACACGCAGCGCTCTTCCCCCCCATCACAGGCAAACTGGCCGCCGCGCAAAAGCTGCAATCATCCCCAAGCCTCGAGTACAGCCTGATCGCGACCGGGTTCTTCCTCGATTACTACGGGATGCCGAAAGTCAAAAGCTACCTCAAGCCATTCGTCTGTGCCGTCGACGTGGCGCACAACACGGCTGCGATCCCGGGATCGGGCGACGTGCCCGTCGCGTTCACGCACACCTTCGACGTGGCCCGGTTTATCGCTGCCCTCGTTGGCGCGCCGGACTGGCCCGAGCGGAGCACTATCATCGGCGACAAGAAGACGTGGAATGAAATGGTTGCTATCGCGGAAGAGGTCAAAGGTTTGTTTTACCTACTCATCCACCCACCTATATATGTTATAGTTCGAGGTCAGTGCTTACGCAGTACGCTCTACCGCAGGAGTCAGATTCAACGTCACGCACGACAGCGAAGAGAAGTTGAAAACCTTCCAGGCGACAGAGCTCCCATCGCATCCGTCCATGTACGCATTCATGCCCAAGGAACAGCTCCAGTACATTCTTGCTACATTTGGCCGCTGGTCAAATGCCGGCGGCTTGGATCTGCCCGAGGACGAGTCGCTCAACCGCCGGTTCCCGGAGATCCAGCCGCGGAGTGTCCGCGATGTTCTAGAGGAGGGGTGGAAGGCTTGAGAGGCGTTATCCTTTGGACGCCCGTTATCTGGTTCAGATTTTTGATCTTTATATATATGTTCATACATTTCGGACCTGGTGATCTGGTGGTCGATGGTTAGTCGTTGGGGATGGTGAGGGTTTGTGTCGTGGATCGAGAAACTCTGAACTGCCGCTTGTCAAGGTACCTGGATGGTTTGAAACAAGATGAACAACTTGCGTGATATGTATCTAAATCTACTTACTGATACTGCTAATAGCCGAAATATCAGGTGAAACGAACATAATCACCGTTCAGTAGTATGGTTTGACTTCACCATCTCTAGCATGATATACCCGATAATAACCCGCGTGACAAGAACAATAGCTAGGATCGTGTAGGTCTTTTCTTCTACTCAACGATACTCTCAACTCCCATAGAATTCCTAAATAGTCCTCCCTCACTGTGGGCCTATTATACTTCCTGCCCGGAGTGAATAAATACATAAGTGAATACAGAGAAAGAGATAGACACAGTCCGCAGTCCACCTCTCTCGTAGACCCTTTTAGTGATACTATACTGCCTGTGGAAACAGCCATGGATCTTCCTTCCAAGTAAATCCAAGCTGATGCAGACTGTGTTTTTTTACTTCAGTGTGAGGTAAAGTCTAGTAATGATGTACACATTTGATCCTGCTTCCACTACATCACATTAGGTTAGTCTGATCTATTGTATATCCTTGTATCATCCACTGTAATGGGTATATGTCGCAAAGACTGCCACTCTGGCTCGGCTACAAAAGATATCTAGATCTAGACACTTCTGGGCTCTGTGGGTGCCCTTTTGTGCGCTCGCTATCTGATATTGCGACAGTGTTGTCACAGTGCCGAACCCCCTAGGGGGTATATATAGTGTGATTCGGGCGGACCAGACCATGGGGTCTGGTCATAGTGGTCTTTTGGCCCAGTGGGTAGTGCGTAGCCCGAACGCGTGTTATTACAAGTGTACTATTTCATATTCATTCACATACTTATAAACCCACTTCAGCACATCCTATATCAATCCTATCCAGATCCATCCACATCCATGTACGGAGTATAATACTATACTATATTGAATATACTATATATAACTACATATATCATAATATACCACCACCTACACCCCAACAATCCCAGTATAAAGCAAAGAGAAAAGAAAAATTGAATAAATGCATAAATAAAATGCACAACGCATAAATGCGCGATGCTGGGTATCCGTTAGTAGACACAAGCATCTACCCTGAAGAGAACAAAACAACATAATAAAAAACATAGACAACGACAGTGTCAACATAAGAGAGGTAAAAGATAAAAGGGATCTACGCGGTATCACCCACACGCGTCATCGGACTTGTTGGCATATCCATGGCCTCCCCATTGGTACTGCCGGAATCTTCCCGACTGAGGTCCGACAACACGGGCCCTGCGACCAACGAGCTGGACACCCCGTTGCTGGCCGGTGGCTTCGGCTTTTGCAATGAATCCCGCTCCCGGCGGCCATGGGAGGATGAGGTTGACGGGTCGTTGCCGATTCGCATTGGACTGGCGTCGCCATCGATGATGGCCGGTGGCTTGTCATCGGCATACCCGCGCCATTTGCGCCAGCCTTCGAAATCGATCAGTGCCTGCATGCAGCCCCATTCCGTCACTTTCTGCTGTAACCACTCGAATCGGACAGGCTGATTCAACGTTAGTAAATTTGTTCATATTCCCCCTGACATCCCCCCGGAAGGCATACCTTGGTCAAGAAATCATTGCAACCCGCCGCCAAAGCCTCGTGACGATCACTCTGCAAACTGCTCGCCGTCAGGGCCACGATGATGACAGGACTCTTGAAAAGGGAGAGGTCATGGAGGTTGTCCTCCTGCTTGAGAGACAGGTAGGACCCCCCATCCAGCTCCTGCGGCGACTTGGTGGTCGCACTAGCCGCGCTGGAGCGTCCCGACGCTGTCTTGGGGAACACTCCGATTCCGTTCAGACGTTCGAGTCGGCGAATTTCCTTGGTGGCATCCAACCCGTTCATCACGGGCAGCTGGATGTCCATCAGGACGAGATGGAACCCTCCCTGGCGCCACTTGGTCACCGCCTCCTCTCCATTGGCGGCACACTTCCACCGCACACTCAGTCGCTTCATGAAGGCTTCCAGCAACCGCTGGTTGATGATGTTGTCTTCCACGATCAACACGTTGATGGGCGGGACGGTGCCCTCGATCAGCCCGCCAAACGCGCCGCCCGTAGACTCCCGGTGGGTGCTCTTCTTCGTCTTCGTCGGGGGACGGGGGCGGGGCGAGGATCCGCGGGTCGGTGGGGTCATGGCCTGGTTCTGCGGCGACTCCACCACCGGCGGCGGTCCCGGCGGGACTGGAACAGGCGGCGTAGACTGGGCCGGGACGGTACCGGTTGGGGTATCTATTGACGGTCAGGGGTGATTCTTGAGGAAAGAAACAAAGGTGGGGGGGGAAGAAACCTTTCGCACTGGTGGGTTGGCCGATAATAGTAGGTGAGTTCGTCGCATGTCGCGTGAGCGGCGGTCGACGACTATGCCGGTTGCCGCGGCTGCCCGGGGACGGCAGCGGAGGCGGCATCCCTGTGGTGAGGATAGAGATGGAGGGGGCCGCGTGGGGGTTAGGGGCCGAGGACGGATGGGCGGGCGGGGTGGCAACGTTGGGGTTGGCGGGCATGATGGGAAAGTACTCGCCATGGTCTCCCGGTTCGTGGTTATAGTAGACCGTGTGGCGCGGGGAGGGTTTGGGGGTGTTGCGTTGAAGGATGTCGATGACGAGGGCCTCCTCGACCATCTGGCCACCGGGGTAGTAGTTGTCCAGGAGGGTGGTGAGCGGCTCCTCGGGGCTCAAGATGCGCTCGGGGGTGACACCATCGCGCGGGGTGATGCGGATGACGACGTCCGGGGCGTCAAAGGCCTTGCCCAGCGAATTGGCATACTTGAGGATGACTTGGTCCCGCAGCTCATCGACGACGGCGTCCGGGGCGAAGGGAACCAAGGTGGCCGAGCCCCCGGGGCGCTTGACCCAGACCTTGCGGGGCATCGTCGACTCCGGCGCCGCGACGGTCTCGAAACTCTCGGTACTGTCGGTGTCGAGGGCGATGCCGGGGCCCAGCAGGTTCGTGATCAGCTGCGGGTTGGGCAGCGCCAGGAGAGACTGCCGACGTACACCGAGGCTGGGGCGGGGCGAACGCGCGGCGACGGGGCGGATGCGAGATTGGGGGAGTCGGGGGGGAGACGACGCCGCGACTTTTTTCTTCGGGGAGGTCCGTTGCTGGGGCGCAGGACTGATCGAGTCCGATGGTTTCCGGTGCGGGCGGGCCGGAGGATCGACAGAGGAGGACGGTGGCGGCGGCGGGGGTGGGGTGACGGCGACCGACGGGGTCAGGCCCTTGGCAGGGAAAGACTTCGGGCGTCGAGACGAGTCGTCCTCGGGTAGACGATCGCTTAGGGGGTCGTGAAGGGAGGAGGAGCCTCCGTAGTAGCGGAGACGGCGGGGGTCGGAGGAGGAGGGCGAGGAGGGATGATCGGCCTCGACGGAACCAGGGGCGGTCTGAAGGGAGGCGGCGGAAGACGAGAGACGGGAGAGAAGTGAGGCGGAGTCAAGATCACGAGGGGAGGCGGACTGTGGTCGAGGACATGAGGCGATGGAGGGAGGAGAGGGGTGGAGGGGGAGGAGGAGTGGAAGAGGAAGAAGTTGTTGGAGGAAGAAGACGGCGGATGATTGTGGTGATGCGGATTCTTGGCGGTGTCGGCCTCGGGCGGCAGATGATCCTGAACGGCCGATCGTCGACGCCTCAACAGCAACCATTTGGCCTTCCATGCCGTCCAATTAAGGGCCATGGTGGGATTATATTATGATAGACAGTCCACAGGGGCATTAGGGTTGAAATGATCGAAAAAAAAAAATTCAAGAAAGAAAGGGAAAACTAAGTAGGAACGAAGGGAAGATAGAGGGTGCTCCACCGGGTACGATGGTGCGGATGATAGGAGATATAGTAGTTCTCCGCCCCCAAAACCACAGACTCGATCATTGCGGAGACGAGGGAGATGGCATGACGCGATGGGAAGGAAGGAAGGAGGATAGAGTCAAGAGGTGTGGAGAAGTAGAGAAGGAACGAGGGGAGGAAACAGCGGATGAACGAGCGGAGATGGAGACCCGAGGAGTGGAGGACCGAAAAGATAGGAAGGGAGAGACAGAGATAAAAAGACAAGACAGAGAGAAAGAGAAAGACAGCACAGATAAAAAGGTTGAGGGGAAGAAGGAGTTAGTATCAATCCAGTTTAGTCTCGCATTGGTTCGCACGAGCTGCAGGATGATCAGATGCTCCTGAATCTATTTATATTCTCTTCTTCTTCTATATCATGCGTTGAGGACCAGGAATGACCCAGATAGTGCAACCACCCATCGATCATACTCGATCAATACCTAGGTAGATTGATCGATCCATCTATCAATCGGTCGATCCATGACTTGTCCCGCAGCTGCATATCCAATCCGACAACGCCCTCCGCACGTGGCGTCCAACTGCTTCATCCCTCGCAAATATTACAAAAATCTGGACCAGTCATACAGACACTACATTGAATTTCACAGATTCATTCCTCGACCCTCCAGACCATCTACTCCGACAGATCGACCGGGCCAAGTGCCCGTCGAGAAAATAAAGGAGAGTAATGCCACGAATCACGTACAGATCAATCCGAAAATAGAACACTCCACCGGCTCTATTCATGACACACGGAAAGGCTTCGGACAATAAAGTCACACAAAAATAAAAAGAAATAAAACAGAGGGAAATATGAAAAGATAAGCAGAAAAAAAAAAAAAAGAAAAAAAAACCAAATTAGTGCAAACATAGCCATCAAGACGTAACGTGATTTGCAAACCAGACTCGCGCCGAGTGAGATCTTACTCGAAGGGTATCAAGACAATTTTTTTCTCCCGCGACCAAACCGCGACGACCGTAACAGGTCGGAACCAGATAAGAAATGCAATAAAACAAGGATCAAATAGAAAAAAGAAAGGGTGCAAGACAGATACACATCACAGCAAGATCAAATAGTTCGACGGGGCAATTCCCGTGTCCCCTGTTGATTTCCGCGCCTGCCACCATCGCCCGCTGACGTCCGACACCTCCAGGATCTCATGCTTGCTGAAGCTGATCTCGTTGGCGTCTTCGGGATTGGCGTCATACGAGTAGATGGCCTTGGCTCGGTACGGGTACTCGGTCGGTTGCGGCACCTCGCCCACCACGTCGGGCGTGCTGCCCGTGCCCAGGTTCGTCGTCGACGGGTTGCCGAACCGGGCTTGCGAGCTCCGGTTGTCGCCCGGGGCACCGCCCGGGTAGCCGGAGACGGGGGACGAGGTCTCGAATCCGTTCAGCTGGGCGGATGTGTACATCTGCGGTTGCGTGGAGGTGGTCTCGGGGCGGGTCGCGAATGCGGTCGACATCGGGCGGACGCCGCCGAACGGCGTGGGCGGCTGTTCCTTGTGCAGGGCGAACGAGTCGATGAACCCACGGTGCGAGGCATGCGGGGTGGATCCGAAGTAGAAGATCCAGGCGATGATGACCATGGACAGGAGAATAAAGCCGGCGCCGGCAGCCTGCGAGGCGGGATTCTCGGAGTAGACCAGCGAGTTCACCGAGAGGGTCGTGAACACGAGCCCGGCAGCCAGGTAACCGACAATCTGTATCCATTAGCATCACTACCCCCTGCCATCGTGGGACCAGGTGAATTGGAATCACATACCGCCACGCCGTAGACCAGACCAGTGTCAGTGCCAAAGACCACGACCAAGCCACCGATGCAGCAAAGCATGTAGGCAATGGCCCACCACGAGTAGGTTGGGTAACCGCCAATGACGTCGGCAACGATGGATGAGATGAAGGCGATCATCCAGGCCATCTAGGGAACAGTCAGCACCGGCCGAGCATCAAGAGGCGTCCTCAGACACGTACCATGGCGATGGCGGTGGTGACGAGAGCGAACGGGTCGCCGAGGATATTACTCGGTTGGAATCGGACCATTTTGGCGGAGGAATTCAGGTACGGGGCTGGTTTTTGGAAGGACGGAGCAGACGAGGAATACGTCACCATGAATGGGACGGCGGACGAATAAATAGGTCGAGTCGATGTGCGGCGACGAGAGAACAAGACCCGTTCCTTGTTTGATGAATCCGGCCGGCTCTTTATCCACGGGCGAGTGCGAGTGTCGTCACGATGAAGTCGAGGGAAACCCACAGGTCAGGGTGGGTGGACAAGGGATACGATTGACGAGATGAAAAGGATCGAGCTACGGAGGGGTCAGTGGAGGTGAACAGGCAGCAGGCCGGAGAGGCCCACGATGGTCTGATCGGTGAGGATGAAGGAGCGGTACCGACAACAACGCGACGCACGGTCTGCAGGGATGGAAAAACAACAAACTAGGGGGAATGAGTAAAGAAAAACAGAAGAAGAAACAAGCAAGAACGGCAAACAGAAGGACAGAAAAGGAAAGGGAAGAGAAAAATGGAAAAGGAAAAATAAAAATAAAAATAAAATAAGCGGATCGGCGACGTGGACGAGCGTCACGTACCTTGAGAGAGCGACAATGGGGGCGGAGTCAGATGACGAGGCTGGAGCCGAGCGGGCACGACGTCGAGAACCAGGCAGCGTGGGTGTAATAACCTTAAACAAACACGGTGCAATATAAAAGGAGGATCATATAAGGTGATAATCAACTTGAGACAGGGCGAGAGTTCCTGGATGGCGTCGACAATAACAAAAGGACCCCTTGCAGAGATGTAAGAAAGGTAAGAAAGGCACGGGGAAGAAGCAGAGGCAGCACCAGGCTGAGGAAGGAATGGAGGATGCGGGAGAGAATTGAGGATTGGAGAAGAGAAATGACGCAGAAAGAAAAGAGGATAAACGAGTGAACGAGTCGATGGACTTGAGACCGATCGCGAGTGGGTTGATGGAGAGAAAGGAAAGAAGAAAGAGAAGAAAGAAGAGAGAGAGAGAGAGAGAGAGAGAGAGAGAGAGAAAAGGAGAGGGGAATGAAGAGAGAAAGTTGGAGACTTGGCGGGTTTCACTTCCATTCCAATGCGTATGGCTCGTACGGTATGGTTACCGCTGCCAGGAACGGGGCCATGCAGGAGGGCAGGATTATTGGGGATTGATTGGGGGATTGATTGGGGGATTGATTGGGGGATTGATTGGGGGAATGATGAGAGGGACGGGTCAGGAACGGTGGTTGTTATGATTTGATGGTATCGGTATGGTATTGTCGTCAATCTCGCTGAAATAATGAAATGATCTAAATTAATCTCACATTATCATGAACTTCTTTATTCCATCATTTATTCGATTACTACATTACAATATCCTTGATATAAACACAGTATTCTACCTGTATGTACATCCACATATGTACCCCTATATCTATATCCAAGATCATATAGACAAAATCAATCATCTCAATAGAATCAAAGATAATAATAAATAACCCACAGGATCTGTCGGACTCCGCTGGACGGAGACCAACACGCAACTTCGCCTTGGACAGGAGTGGGGCGCCTGAGGCACGGGGCAGCCTCTAACCCAGCTCAGCAATTCCACTGTCGATACTCTTGTCCAAAGTGGCCAGACTGCCACCAGACTCTGTGACTAGGCTACGGTCAGACTGATAGCCCGTCTGTCTGTGCGCCTGTCCACGGTTGACTGTCTGTGCCACTGTGCCACTGTGGCTGTACTCTCGTCCTGGATTTATGGGAGATGAACACATGGTTTTTGATTACGGAGTAGACATACAATATGATTAATTACGGAGTAGACATACACTATAATTAATAATTATGTATATATTTGATTAAGAAAAGAATATATAATGGCCGGGAATACCCGAATACCCATAATTATACACTACAGGCACCTTAATATAAGAGAGTTATACACTACCACCCCAATCCCACCCCATGCATAACCCAGACACAACTAGACATGGGTTAACCCTCTAGCCCTATAATGCTTGGTGAACTCTCTACCACTCGAGGCCCAACTCTGGACTACCCCGAGGTATCACACTATAACACTGCATTATTGATACCCATGATATACCCATGTATATATTCGCAAATTAAATGAACCAAGTACATGCAAGGGCCGGAACGCGGAACCACTGGTTCTCAACCACTGTTAATTACAGAGTACTTAGTTACTCCATACTTTGCTTACCCTGCAGTGAAATTAGAGGAATGTTCTCTGCAAGGTCATGTTGATACTGCAGTTGGCATGAAACGAGTCTCATAGTTACTTACATCAGTCAGATATCGGTCCTTTCTGGTATTTGCATTGATACACCTACATGTACGGAGTACAAGAGGCGTGGTAAATATAGAAAATAAACAGATAAATAAACAAACAAACAAACAAACAAGTCTGACGCCAGACGGGGTGAAGTATATGTCTTCCAACACCGATAACAAATCTAATAAAAAATAATATAGCAAAAGAGGTATCATAAACAAGCACCGTCCCACCACCCTCCCCTCCCCTCTCTCCCAAAATCAAGCCAAACCAAACCAAACCAATTCATATCCAAATCAGGGGGGATAAAGTTAGACCTCCCTCTCCCTCCTCCCCCTCAAAACCTCCACCCTCCTAACCTCCCTCTCCACATCCCCCAATCTTCCCTCCCACTCCGCCCAACACTCCCCGCTCCCAACAACCCCCACCTCATACCACCGCTGCAGCGCCCTCGCCGACCGCACCCTCAACTCCGCCACCTCACCCGCCTGGTCCTCCTGGATCTGCGCCAGCGCATCGAGCCGACCCTGTAGCGCGACCAGCGCTGCCGAGGCCTCCGCGTCGGGGACGGGCAGGTCGTTGAGCGAGGAGAGTCGCGAGGCGGTTTCGGGGAAGGCGGAGACGTAGGCGAGGACGATTGAGGCGAGGTTTTGCGTGGTGAGTGTTTCGGGGGTCGTGCGGGGGGGTGTTGGGCGGATTAGGTCGGGGAAGGTGTCGTCTATCATTCTCTTCTTAGCTTCTGTTTGTTTCTCTTGGGGGTACCGCTACTGGTACTGCTTTTGATAAAATGGAGGGGAGGGTGAGGGGAGGACATACGTAATTGAATCATATCCCGCACAGCAGGAACCTCCCTACTAAGTTTACTAAGATCCCGCTCGAGCTGCTGCAGTCTCCGCGAGACAGTCTCGTCCAGCGAGGCCGGCTTGGGCGGCGGCGTGGGAATGCCGGACCAGGTTGCGTCGCCGGTGAGGAGGTAGGTTAGGCGGTGGAGGCGGGCCTCGAGGAGTTCGAGCGTGGCGCCTGCGACGGCGTCGTCTTCGATTGTCATTGTAATTATTTATTAGTGGAAATGAGGGGGTGGAAGTGAGAATTGTGTATGTTGTGGTGTAGGGGGTGGTGGTGGTTTGGTCGGAGTCGGAGAGAGGTGCGGTGCAAACAGGACATACACACGGACCACTTGATAACGTGTAGTCCGTTCACTTGGTTTCTGACTCTACCGAGGATACACCAGGGGAATTGAGAGTGTCATTGAAGAGGATATTTTACTGATAATTAAACTAGTGATGTATCCGGAACCAGTTCATGTGTTCGGGCTCTTCCACGTCTGGCTATCTCCCATCTTGCTGTCTCCCGGATGACTCCCGCTCAACAAGGGTCGTCCTCGTTCCTGCATCTCCTGTCCCGACTGATCGTCCTCGAATGACTGCACCTGGTAGTCGAAGACATTCACTTTCTGGATATTCTCCGCAGTAGGAACCGCTGATGATGTCTGATGCTTCTCGTCTTCCCGACCGAGCTGATCATCAGTGGTTATCGCGGTCGGCTCACCCGTGCCTACGGGCTGGTCCGAGAATTCGGCTTCAAACGCCCGATTGTCCGCATCGACGAATTGCTACAGATATTAGCTAGTTTCGCGCCAATCGTGTGCAAAACTTACCTGAAGCTGGGGTGGAGCCGGCCCGCCCTGAAAGTTCACCGCATTACAGTTCGCATACACCAGGAGAACGTTCTTGGACTCTTCGCGCGCTGCCCGGAGCACCTCGATTTCCCGCACCTTGCGGGCGGTATATCCGATCACGTCAGTGTTCCTCGAGGCCCCGTGGCATCCCTCGCCCATCTCGGCTTGGCGGGCTTTGGCGTCCTCGGTGGAAAAGCTGATCCGCCACCACTGCCACTCGTGCGTCGGGTCATCCGTCGCCTCGGTGTCCGTCCGCGGCCGCAAAACGTAGGTGATGTGTGGCTCCGTGCACACACCACGCAACGTGTACTTGTGGTGGGGTGGTTCGGACGAAGAGGATGTAGGCTCGGTGAGGGTTTTCGTATAGCCTCGAAGAGCCTCAAGGGCGCTCTGCTTTCTCGACTCGAGTTCTATCTGATCAGTATCGACCGTCGACTAGTAGATATGTGGGCATACCTTTGAGCTTGTGTTCAACCTTCTCGGAGACGGATCGGAGGTCATTAGCCAGACGTTGGGCATCCGCTTGGGCGGCCTCAGGCGTCATCGGACTGGCCTGGCCGGCCATGCTCTTGGGGAGGAACATCGTCGCCGCCGCTGCAGCCTTCTCCAGCGTTTCCTTGGTGGTCATCCCTCGGTGAACGATGGAATTGGTGACCGACAGGCGGTGAGTCAGGGTTTCCAGGTTGAAGAGATCCTTCTTGACCTGGAGTTGCCGCGTGCGGAACTCGCGGGCAATCTCTCGGCAGCTGGACAGGTAGCGATCCGGGTAGAAGACCGCGGGGATCTTGACGGAGACGGGCTTGTCACTGTCCGAGCTCTCCAACTTCATGGTGAGGACCTCGGCCACATGTTCCAGCCACGTGTCATCCAGCTCCTCCCCGGGTCGATCTTGCCACACGGTGCGGTCCAGGACGTCGTAGAGGGTCTGGTCGTGATCGGGTTCGGTATACGACTCCAGCCGCAGGAAGTCCTTCTCGTCAGGCGTGTCGTACATCGACAGGGGCCGCTTGTGAGCCGTAGATGAGAACACCGTCGCCAACTGGTTGCCCGGGTCGGCGCGAAGAGCGGCAGCTTGCCAGGTCTCCAGAAACTTGCTAGTGCTGGACTCGGGTTCGTAGATAGACATGCTCTTCAAACTGGCCAGCGCATCGACGCTCCCAAAGGCGCGCGTCGTCGAGTCCAGAAATGCGACCACTCGCTGCGTCTCGTAGATGATATCGTCCCAGTCGGTGTCGCCATCGGGCGCATCCTGCAGGGCCACGATCTTGGGGAGGCTGATCGGCTGTCCGTTCCACCACTGGGGATCATGACCGTAGTTGGAAAGCAGACGATTGCGATACAGGAGCGCCTCTCGGGCCAGTGGAATCGAATGGAAGATGGTCAGGAGCCCACCCAGATGGAGGCCATCTTGCGATGGACGGAGAAATGCCGGCTCGTCCGCGGCGCGCTTGCGATCCGTGGGGTCGGGACTGATGATAATCTCCTGGGCGCTGGAATTGAAGAGGGTCATGGCCCATTCGCCTTCATCGTAATGGTCGCGGGTTGCGCGGTTGAAGTTCTGATTACTGGACGTGACGCCGGTTTCCTGCTGCCCGAGGTTCTGGTTCAACGACATCGCGACCGCCTGCTGCAGTTCCCGTTCCTCCTGCTCCGCGAGCGTCATGCGTTTGTTTGGATCTGTTTGTGGATATTAATTGATTGCGCGTGAGGTCATGATATGCTCAGTGTGACCTCACCGGGGGTATTCTGCGGGGTTGCCGGTTTTGACGGTTGGTAATCGGACTGGGCTTGCTCGTTGAGGTTGACGGTGGACGGCGGGCGGGTCGGGGCGGTTGAGGGTGGGATAGGATCCGAGTGTTCGATCTGAAAGGCTGCAGAGAAATGAGCAATGTTATTCGATATCATGACGAAAGGAACTTACACGGGACATCGGGATGGTTGTGATAGGAGGGGGCCTGGCGGAAAGGTCAGTCTTGATTCCGGACCCCGCATTCTCGAAAGTTACCTGTATCTGGGGCCCGGTGGGATCTTCAAAGTATGCATTGACGGCTCTCTGGGGATCACAGCCATGGGCCTGAAGATTATCAAGGTCAGCGGCGGAACAGATTGAGTGGATGTGCAGCGGACTTTTAAGAAGTTGACGGCCTGTTGACGGGAGGTGCTGGTGAAGTTGACAAAGTCGGAGATGGCTTCCTCGGAGGGATCGGAAGCCATGTCGGGGAGAGATAAGATGACCCAAATTAAATCAACAGAGTGTGTAGAAAGTGAGGAAAAACACAGGAGAAGAAGAGAGGGGTAGAAAGAAGGAGATGGCAGGATGGAAGGAGGAGAGTTGGTGATGCCGCGGAGTAAGTCGAGTCGAGCTCAGTTCCCCACCGCCAAGACTATTCCACACATATCTGGATCTGGATCTGCATCAACACTGGGAATCTTCATACTCCGGAATAAAAAAGTGGGTATATTAAGATCCTCATTCATGTATATTATGCATTGTCTTGAATGACTGGTTGGTACAGCAATTCGTAGATCAATCTGGCCAAATCCACTGTCAATCTAGGATGCCCACGGCATAGCTCCTCCTCATACTAAGAGATAGATCACCATTAATGGTCAGAACACCAAACAAAATCATATCGTATTAATAGTAAGACATCTGAGAGACTAATCACATTAGCTTAATCTACCATGCACCGAGTCAGCACTCGAGTCAGTTCCATCGTCAAGAAGGATCCGTCTATACGCACAGCCACTGCCAAGTGACACCACGAACCCTAACCGGATGGGGATCATCAGTCCAACAATATCCATCCATTCCAGATATAAGAACCACCCCACTCGTCTCCAACGTCCTCTCTACAATCCAACATCTTCAACCTCAACTCACAATGGATCCACCCCCCTACACCCCAAGCGACGAGAATGAGACCCTCCCCGCAGCGATCCTCACCCTCTCCGGCGCATCCATCACCGCCGAAACAGACGGACAAGAAGAACAGCATAAACCCGCCTACCAACTAAGCAGAGACATTCTCACCCCAACCCAAACCTCAAACAACCAAAGCTCAAGCTCAAACTCCTCAGTATCCTTCAACCGAATAGACCCCATCTCCCAGTACATCGCGAAAGACCAAAAAGACACCTTAGAAACCGTCCCCAAAACACAAATCTTCTACCTCGCGCACCCGCCCTGCTCACCCATCAAGACCAAAACCCACCAACCAGCCTACTACGCAACCTGTCTCCCCACGTCGAAACCCGTGGGAAACATCCAGCTCACACCGGCCAAAGCGCCCCTCCATCTCCCGCAGAAACCAGAGTTCAAGGCCCTTCTCAGCCGGGGCCGGACCTACGCCGATCAGCCGCTCTTCCACGAGGACCCAGCACAAAGGGAGGTGCTCTTCCACGCGAAACCCAAGTTGAAGGGTATGCGCGCGCAGTACCGCTGGGTGGGACGTGACGGGGCGGTCGTCGCGCTGGAGGAGAGCAGCAGCAGCGCGGGCGGAAGGGGAGAGAAGCGGAGGCTGCACGTTCTTGTTCCTTTGAGTCGGGCGTTGAGGGATGCGCTGGCTGCGACGTGGATGCTGCGGATCTGGTATGAAAGGATGGAGAGTTCTGAGGCGAGGAGAGAGGGTATGTCTTTCTATTCTTTTACTGTCGCTTTCTCTGGCTTACAGACCCACCTCTGTTGGTGGTTCTTTGGCTTTATTGAATAAGTCACTAACTGACCTGCACAGCACTGGAAAATATGATACCCCCAGAGGCATATCTGAATTCATTCGCGGACTCGAAACTAGGAAAGAGAGCAGGCGCATTGGGTGGATTCGCAGCGGGGGGAGGTGCTTAACTTGTGTTTCTGATACTGTCTATTTCCACATACCTTAGATGATAGAATAGTAGAAGCCATGCCGCATCAAGCAATACCCTTCACAATACGACCACAGTAAACCAAATATACACGACGTACAACAATTATCAAAGCATCCACTAATATAGTATACAGCGCACGTGGCGCGGCAACCGCCATCAATTAGGGCTAGCATAGCATAGCATACTTTCACCTCCATTTGCCACCAACCGACTACCAGAAATAACCTCTTCCAATGAATAACCTATATATAAAACACACAGAAACGATGTAGTACAACCCAGTCATCACCAGCCTATCAATCCCCAGCATCCAATCCGACGGCCCCTATCACTACACACAACTGACACAAGAAAGCTGCGCAGGTATGCACGTCTAACCATTCTTCAGCGTAGGTAACACATCCACATCCACAACTAGATACTCAAAGTAACACAATCTACATCATGGCCCTTTTAACAATGACTATCTACCCACCTGCCCACCCACCTACCTGTCCTACATCGACATACTAGATAAACCAGGTAGTAGGTAGTAGGTAACCACCTCGGCATCACCGAACGACCCCCCACACACCACCATAACCACCACCACCCCTGCCCACCATGCAACCACAAGATCCTGCCACCGATACCAGCACAGCGGATACAAAAACACACCGCAATGTCAGAGCCGGGTTCGGCATAATCGCCTCGGCATAAGACGGTCTCTACACTGCTTTGCGGTGCGGTGCGGCGCGGCACTTGTCTTGTTGTTACACGGTTTCAGGTAGGTTGGTTGTAGGTAGGTAGCCTTTTGCTTACCATGTGCTGGGTTACCTACTGGGGGGATGCAGGGTGTGGTGGTGGTTGTTGCTGCTGTTGTTTGATGGGATGATGGAAGGATCATGGGGGAGGGTGTTGGAGAGGGTGGTGAGTTTGGGACTGGTTTGACGAGACCTCATGTGTAGTTGTGTATTTGCTGTGCTGGGGACTTGTGGTAGGTAGGTAGATATGGATACGCTTCTAGGTCTATTGAATCGCACGGGTCGACCTCTGTGGACATTGATGGTTAGTAAAGTAGGTAACTAAGAAAGTGAACACGAATACAGAAGAATAAAAGCAAGAGATACCAGGTATCTCACCAAACAAATATTAGAGCAGAGTCAGACAGACAACTAGAGTATATAGAGAGGTCTGGGATATCTGAACCGGCTCCATCCTCTCTAGTTCCGTTTACTCTGGTCTCATTATCAAACTTGGAATATTGAAAAGAAAGTCGAGGCGGATCAACCACCCCAATCTGAATTTGAATATCAAAATGCATCAAATGCATACCCCTCAAAACTAAAAGACAGTCAGGAACGCCGGGTTTCTGCGTCCAAACCTCGCCAGCTTTGGTTCGCGACGATTGTCAGAATGAAATATAAACCAGATAGAAACAAAAGAATGAAATATAATAACGATGACCAAACAAAAAAGGAGAGAAGAAAGAAGAAGAGAACAGAACCATGCTGTCCAGCAAAACATGAAGTGACTCAACAAACCATAGAAGCCCCCAGAAAACAACGATATAGACAAAGAAGATGGCAATTCGCCATAAGAAATCGAAATCATCAAAAACGATCAGCGGAGATCGACAGATCGGGAACGATCATCAACAACGACCATATCACCACATCACACATCAACCCTTAACAGACATCAAAGTCATAAAACAAACCCATAATATCAGCATCAATAGAAAGAAAAAAAGAAGGAAATCAAGGTTTAGAACCCCCTCGGCGTATTCGCATTAGCACCAATCCTCCCCCCACCAGGCCCATCATCACCGTCCCCAAACCGCCTCCAAGGCTGCGTCTGCCGCAGGTCATTCTGCGACGACACAGACGTCGACGAGCTCCTGCTGAGCGAAGCCGGCGAGGTAGGCGTCGACGACTCGGGGGTCGACGTCTGGAACGGTCCTCCCACGGTGCGGACTGCCGCGGCGGCTGCTCCGGCGGGGTTGCAGTGCGCGCAGATGAAGATGTTGAAGCCTCGTCCGCTGCAGCTGTTGCAGATGGCGCCTCTGTTGTTTATCGTCAGTATGGTTTTCTCCTATGGGAAAGGGAAAGGGAAAGGCTGCAGAGGTGGATATATACCTCGGTGCGTTGCCCGCGCAGTGGCGGCATGTGAGGACTGTTCGGCCGCCGATGCAAGATGTGTGGCCTGGGTCGAGTTGGATAGGTGCCATGGAGCAGGACATGCTTGTGGTTTGGTTGGTGAAGAGACAAAGGTTCTTCAGTGATGTGTATGTAAGATATGAGAAACCGTATAGAGAACAAAGGTATCAATGTTTATGAGACACCGTACGTCAGAACTTGACTCATGGTCCGATCAGGATGGTTGATGAGAGACATTCCGTTCCTTATCAATCTTTTGCCCGTTACGAGGCACAACAATAAGAAAGACGATCTGATTATGGATAGTGGATAAGCGACAGGGAAAGAGAAAAAGAAAAGCATCGGAAAAAGACAAGGAAGATCAGAAATGAATATTAGAATCATAAAAGTAAAAATAAAGAAGGCAACCAGGTAGGTCCCTGCTCGGTGCAGAATTGTGAATTCCGTGGGTGGAAAAAAAAAACATTAAATAGATTGAAATAAATAAAACTGTACGAGCCGATTGTACGAGTACGCTTCGAGACTTGAACTTGACTCCACTTCGAATCCCTATCCACGATACACCGAATCATTGTTCACACTTCTACATCGGATTCAGCGGAAGCAATGACAAGACAGCAACGCAACGCTTACAGTACTGGGCGATGCCGGGGGCAATCACCCCTCCCCGCCCTCATTAATCGATTTTTTTTCAAGGAGCCGCACCAATGACGAGTGCGTCCGGCGCGGGCGTGCATCGTTACTGGAATAATTGAGAAGCCTATTTGCCTCAACATGCATCAGGGGTCGAGGCCGGTAAGTCATGTCATACTGGCCGCGGGTCAAGGCTAGCTGTCAGCAGCATCGTATCCCGCCCGATGCGGGCGTACAGGCCAACTTAACACCCCTCCCCTCCCCAAGAGGGAAGGAAGCCTGTCGGCCCATGAGACCGCATCCAACTGCGGACGCTCCACCGATCATTGTCAATCAGACCGAGGTGTTCAGCTGCGCAGCCTCCTGGGAAGGCGTATATCGCGAGAACAGGATTTCCAAATTCCGGTCATAGTCCTCGGTGACAGGGCACCCGGGAAGCATGGGACCGACATGGTAGCATGAGGGAGGAGGGCTGGGGGCGGAAAATAAAAACTAACCACCGCATGGCCGCCACTGCGAGTTGTGCGACTCGAGACACGAACAATCGGCGAGATCATCAAGAGATGTATACAGCTTTGACCGCCCAACCTGGACCCATATCGTTCCTAGACTTCAGTAGAGTTCCGGGCCACGGATACGCGCAGCTCGGAATATGAGCGTGGCGTCATTCCAACGAGCGTAGAGGTCCAGGCATAAGTACCACACCACCGGCACTTCTAGATGGGTTCTAGGCGAACTGGCCGAGGAATCAATCAGTGTGAGCCTCTTTTCGCAGTTTGGACCGAAAGCAACCAGGTTCATATTCCTTCCATTCCTTTTTTCCCTGCCCTTTTTCCTTCCTTTCATCTCTTTTTCTTTTTTTTTCTTTTTCCTATTTTTCTTTTCTTTTTTGAAGGCCCAAAGGTATCGCACTACCCATGCGCTGCGACACCGTCGATTAACCGGCAGACTGACCGAGTTTCGCAAAAGCAAGTAACGGCATGATTTCGGACATGACTACCAGATTGGCTCATAGCACTCATCAATCCTTCCCTCGGGATTCCTCAAGCCGCGTATAGAATACGACGGTAGCCGTCCGGCTTTGTAGTGACGATCCTGTCATAGCGAAAGATCAACGCTACTGCAGCTGCAACGGCCGTGACCGCACGGAGCGATTTCCTATCCGGTACGGAATAGACTGTGGAGCCAAAAGTCAAAAGTCAAAAGAGAAAAAGAAAGAAGAAACCAGGAGGAAACGCCAGGATGATCAGGCGTTCGAGGCGACATATTGGCTGCCCGAGCTAAAACCAAAGCTGAAGACGAACAATGGCATCAAGGCTGAAAAAAGATTTCGAAAATCCTGATCCCATGCTCGGTAGCTGCCGACTCGCATAGGTGACACCTTTTTTTCTTCTCCTCTCTGTTTTGTTTTTCTTTTCTTCCCCTTTTTTGTATGGATCTCCATGTGAATGCCTCATCTGCAGGCATCCGCGCTAGCTGGCATCGCAACAGCAGCATGATGATGACTCCACACGCACTAAAAATAAAAAAAAGAGACCCAAAGATCGGCTGCAGAGCGAAGCCGCTAGCACGACAGGAGAGAATTCTCTCAAGCGGACCAATCAAGCTCACAAGCAATTGTGCCGAGATGATCTGGTTCTGCGGATTGGTCACATGTCCGATGGGCAGCGAGGCAGAATATGGAATTGAACCACCGATGAGGGGGGTGTGGTTTTCAAAGGAACTGTCGTACGCATCGTGAGAAACGTCCCTCACTGATTGGATATACCTCCTGCAGTAGGACCCTGTTCCTAGCTCTCTCTCTCCTCTCCTCTCCTCTCCTCCCCTCCTCCCCCTCCTCAGCCTCGAGTGCATCTACACCCCTGCTCACGCAGCCCATGCCACTTCACCCAAGACAGCATAAAAGCCGAGCAGATCGAGAGAAAGAGAGAGAGGTACGTCACAGCCGTAATCTCAGGAAAGAGGAGAGGAGAGGGGGAAAAGGTAAATCCAAGACCGTTACAACCAGCGCGGGACTTAACCCTCGACCTGCGTTCTCCAGCCCCAATCAGCAAGCTCCGCTTCAAATATGGCTTGCGGACTAGACGCGGGGTGGAGATTACGCGCGATTGTCACTGGCGGCCGTGGGCCGGTGGGTGCTGCAAGTATCCGTTGGAAATCACGCGCTGGGCTTGGGACTGGGGAGGGGGGGTGGTCCCGGCCGTGGGTATTGTCAACTCGGCTGGTCTGGTCTGGGTGAATTTAAGAAACTAGTTAGTTGAGTTGGGTTGGGTTGGGTTGAGTGTCTAGTTAATGAACTAATTAGTTCAGCTGAGGATGACCTAGGTCATCATCATCGCTGATAGATGGGTAAGTAAGCTTGCACTTATGCAAAGGCTGTTAGTTCCAAGAATCGGATATTCGGAAAGTCAAAGAATGTATGTAATGCGATGCTACCTTGCCTCTAGGAAGAAATGAGAAATGTCAGCGGCATAGAAATTGGCAGGGCAGGAAGAACGGTGTGAGAAGGAGGTTGCACAGAACGCGATGCACCGCAGCGGGAGATATCTTGAAGGGTAATAGTCGTCCGATCAGCTGACTGGCTCACTATCACTGTCTGTCCATGCTCATCCATCATGATAATTGGGATTAGAATGACAATGGGGGGAATTTAAATCGGACGAAGATACATAATTCGTGGACGGTTCCCTGCTCCCAGCTGTCGTCTACCCTCTTGATCCCTGCATGTAGCAGCAGGGTCTTCCTAGGTTTTTGATGCCGGGATACTATCGGGCCCGGATTTACATTTCATTGATTCATTGATTCATTTCATTCATCCATACTGTCATTACCTGCCTCATAAAAGAAATACATCCAGAGGAAACTAGTGCATGCATGCGCCGGCACATATTCCCACCCAAGCATCATAACACCCCCTCCGAATACATTAAGGAAAAAACTGCGAGAATAAGCAATAGCTTCGAAAAAAAAAAAACGAAAAGTCTTCATCCTGGAAAAATTCTGTTGTAATAAGCTGCAGGTCCAAAAGGCGAACCAACTCCGACCTATGGACTCATTGGAAATAATCGGCGGGCAGTGCGGCCAGAGCCGCAACCATGCCCACAGCACCCACAATGGCGCCAACAGCGGCAGAGGCTGCATGGCTCCGGATAGTTTGAGGCGAGGTTCTCGGTCGTTTGGATGGCCGTTCGCGATCAGGGCCAGACACAGGGGCTGGGATCGGTGAGCTGACGCTATTGGTTGTCTGAGTTCCGTTCAAAGATGCCAAGCCGTCGATGATTTCAGAGCGCGTCTCCAAGTGCGGCACTCCTTCTTGGGGTTGGGCGTCAGGCAGATAGGAATCGTCGTTGGTCGATGTCCCCGGACGTTCCGCACATAGAGAAGGTCCGGTCGAGGAAGCGCGATGCTTGCCTGTGGCCATATCGCACACCAGCGAATCGATCTCCATATCCAGGGCCTTTCTCTTCCGGGGCGGATTCTGAGTGGTGTCCTGGGCAGCAGATGATGCTTCAATGATATCGGAGATTGACACTCGGGTGTTGTTTGTTGCCCGGGCAGAACTGTTTTTCTCGCGCACGTCCGTCATATCAACATTGGTTTCCCCATGTGGTGGCGCGTCATCGTTTCGATTGAGGGCACTCTCTCGGGCATCCGAACCAGTAACGTCCTCTAAGTTGGGCACGTGGGCGTTGACAAAAGGACCATCATGATAAAGCGGGAGGTTCCTGACAGGGCTCAACGAAGTGACCCCGTGGGCGGGCGGCTGCCTGGGGTCCTCCTGAGATGACCAGTCCTCTGGTGCGGACGAGACGGCAAAGTTGGTGAAGCAGTGACCGAGTCTGGGCTGGAACGGTGCTAGTTTGCATCCAGACGGCACCCCTGTAGTGTTAGACGATTCAAACCCGCCAATTATGGGATTGAGCTTGACGGCCGGCATAGTCTGACCGTGGTTGTCGATGGACGCAGGGTTGACACCGTGCGCTTTGCCTTCATAGCGCCACGGGTTGCCCACAAGCGGCGGGTACCACACTCGTGGCTGAGGGCTGCTCGCCTTTGCTGGTTCGTGGTCCATCTTTGATTCTTCGGCTTCAGACCCAGAGGATGATTCCGAAATAGAGTCGTCGTCTGAGTAGTCTTCGACCTCCTCGCCGAGATCGGACCTGCTTTCCGAGCTTTCGGCATCAGAGTCGAACACAACAGACCCCTGATCCATAAAATCGCCGAATTGGTGGGTCAAAAGGCCGACTGGCTCCCCATCCTTGATCACTACAGACGGTGGGGTCATCCTGGGGGTTGCAAGCGGTCGGTCGCCGTCCAGGTCAATAGGGCTAAGCTCCGAGTTGCCGATGCCAGCACCGTCCATATGAGGGGGTTGGCCATTGGTGGGGGCATCGCCTTTCGTGGCCTCGTCATTATCTCCAATCACGATCGACGATGAATCGTTCTTCCACGGCGACGTAACCAGCGACTCAAGCTCGTGGGGCGAGAGGCCACCGGAGCCCGAGGATTCCGAGTCACCAGCTTCAGAATTGGCATCTATCGGGGAGAAAGCTGAACCGTTCGGGTGGGTAGTTTGGAATTCATTATCATCGTCATCATCGGGGACGACGAAAGTGTTATCCGACTGTCTTCTTTGGAAGGTAGAGTCCCTGCTCATCATGTCAGAGGCTTCAAGGCCACTCAAATTGCAGGACACTAACCCAGGTCCTAGCCAGTCGCATTCACACCGAATCTTCAGCGGCGAGAATGTCTCTGTTGATCACCTGTAAATAACGCTGTAGACTATGGGCCTTACATGTTGGGACATACCAGTTCCACGGATCACCTGGGCCCCAAAGGTCACCAAGTCGCCGTCGTGAATGGCAGTGTCCTTGTCCCCGGGGACCTTTTCACCATTCAACCATGTTCCGTGCATGGAGCCGCCGTCACGGATGTAGATTTTCTAAGCCAGGGGAGGTTGTCATTAGTATCATCCCGCATCTATCAAGCTGCCAGACTAGTGTACCTTCTCGTCTAAGCCCGCCCAGAGGGTCGCATGATTCCGGGACATCACTCGAGATTCGTAGAACGCATTGTCGAGAGCGGGGGTCAGGTTCTTTGTCTGACGATTCGAAGCCCGGCCCACGACAAATTCGGGGGAGAAGGCCGTGAAGGTCAAATAACGACAAGGATAGGTATCGTTGATTCCAGAGGAATACAACTTCATCACCGCTAGCATGCGAGATATCTATCAGCGAGGTGGACTCTGCAAGGCCACGCATGGGTTGAAAATGGCATGACATACCCTTGTTCGTCGGTATCTCCATGGTATCGATTGCGGTGGTTTGTAGAGTCGAGACACAAATCGGACGCTGTCTGGATAAAAGGTGTCAGTGGGTGCCAAACACAAGAGTCATCGAGCGATGACCCACCTAAAACATGAAACTCGTACAAGTACACATCAGTGGAACAGCCTCTCGAATGTGAAACAGAACAAATCGGGGAGACAGCAAACACAGCCAGAACCGATAAAAGTTGATAACAGCAGACAGAAACCAGACGAAGTCCAGAGACAAAGAAGAACGGGGAGGGGGGGCGGTGGGATGATGGGTGATGCATACCCTATAGACTCAGCCTGAGGTCAACGGGGCGACGTCAGGCAGACAAGTGCGGTGGACACTGGACAACCACGTCCTTGTTACGTGGAACGTAGCAGGCGTGGACGTCCCAGCGCGTGGAAATCTCAAGGCTCCGAAACGATAGATCTCTTGCAACGATGAAACCCACAATCAGGCTTCTGTATGATCTGCTGTCGATGGAAGTAGCGACGATAGTATGGGGGTATGTGGAGGGACCGGAGAGCGATAAGAGTGGAGCCAGGCTAAGTATCCAGAGGGAAGGAGTGGTTCCAGGCGGGGCAGCAGAAGAACCCAAGATAAGTAGATCTCCAGGAACCGAACAAGAATCCAGGGGAGACTTAGTATTTGACCAACAATTCAGTGGGTTGTAGGATAGAACCGGTTGAGAGAAAAGGAGAAGAGATTCACAGAGAAGGAGAAGGTTGATGGAGAAGAGGAGAGAGTTTGATGAATGAATGAATGAAAGAATGATGATGATGATGACGCCGATGGTCCCGATAGGCGGAAGAGTGGGGTTACCCGTCAGGTGGACAACGGATGACTGTACTGGTACTTAACTGTATAGTACTGTACTTGGGTAACTTGTATCCTCGACTGTAGGAGATTAGAACTTCGTCTGATAGAATATACAGATATACAGATATCTCAATCTCAATCACTTCATCTGTTTCAACCCTGTGGATTCTCTCCTTCCTAATGCTACAGCTAGAAAACAAGAGGAAAGATCTAGACGTAACAACGAAATTGATGAAGATCCCATGCCCAAATACGTAGATTCAGTCCACGCATAATCCCCCCATTGGCTATGATACAGTACATGATACCCAATCCCCCCGTCCCTTCTTACTCATACATGTCAACCGCACTATTGAACCTTGTCCATTTTTCTTTCGACCCCAAAAGATGTCCGGAACCATCGTCCATGAGTATAATAGGAGATGATAAACAAAACTCAGAAGAGAAGATCACACTTCTTTTGACAATCACCATGGACGAGGAAAAAAGGGATAAGGAAAGAAAGAGAGAGAGAGAGAGATGACAATCCTATATCGGTAAAAGATGAAAAAAGAAAAGGGGAAAAATTCCTAGTAAATACACACATGCAGAAACGGCCCCCGGCGCCCCGAACAAGTTGAGAAGAGACCAGAAAGAAATATAACGGACAAGAGTTAGGCGTGACCACGTTGCCTAGGAACTTCAACAAGGCATGAGCCGAGGAAGGGAGAGGGGGGAAGATAAACAGAAAATCGCGTAACAAAAGAGAAGGAATCTTCCCGATATGGCATTCATACTCCCTTCACACCCGGTTGAGGTGGAAAGGCATGGCATATGGGGTCATGGTATTTTACATGGGAGGGGCACCGCCCAGACCGGCACCCATCTGTTGCAGGCGGGCCGCCAGTCGGGGGTACTTCTCTTGCACCTCCAACTGGGTGCGGGTAGCCTCCGCATAAGAGATGGCGTTGGTGATCTCCGCCTCGGTGCGGGCCAGTTCGGCGGCACGCTCGAAGTACTTGAGCGCCTCGGAAACCTTGCCCTGCTGCAGGAGAAGCTGGGCCAGGGTGCCGACGGCGATGTCGCATTCGGGATCGACTGGGAGAGATGTTAGCATTGGCACGGCGGAAATTATCACGACAGCTGAGGTGAAAACTTACTGATCAGAGCCTTCTGGCAGAGGTTCTCGGCCTCCTGGAAGTCGTGCTTCCACTGGAACAAGGCGAGAGCCTTGTTGATGAGGGGAAGCACGTTGATGCCCAGCGGCTTGCTCTGCTTCTCCATCTCCACGGCCTTGTCGAACTTCTCGATGGCCTCGGCGAAGTTCTGCTGGTCGAGGAGGAGCTCGCCGTAGTAGTTGTACACGTCCGGGATGTCCTCGAAGTTCTTGACCGATCTCCGGAAAGTGGCCATGGCGGAGGCCACAGAGCCCATCTTGTACTGCGTCACACCCAGCTGGATGTGAGAGTAGATGAAGGTACGGTCCAGGTCGATCGACTTCTGGTAATCCTTGGCGGCCTCGGCGAACTCGCCGAGGATGAAGTGGAGCTGAGCACGGTGGTAGTAGATATCGGGGTCATCCTTGTTCTGAGCGATGGCGAGCTCGAAATCATCGCCAGCAGCATCCTTGTTTCCTTTGATTTTGTTAGAACATTCGATCTATGATATGAGTATGAGGGAGTGTGAACCTACCAAGCTCCAGATGCAAGCTAGCGCGCTTGATGTAGCTCTGTACCAAGGCAGGCTGCAGTTCAATGCTCTTGTTCAGGTCGGTCAGGGCAGCCAGGGCGTTGCCGGACAGATAAGTGAAGGTGGCTCGCATGTTCAGAGCCAAGGCCTCGAATTCGCCCAAGTCACCAACTTCCAACGCCTTCTCGAAAGAGGAGGCAGCAGTCTCGTATCCGTCGCCCGTCTTCTTGGCCATAGCCACCAGACCCTTACGCAGCTGGCCCTTGCCAGAGTCTTCGCTCAGGTCGGCAGCCTCGTCGAGACCCTCGGGGAGCGACTGAGGACGGAAGCTCTGCAGGTAGTTGGACACGAAAGTCGGGCTAGGAAGCTTCCGGCCCTTGGCCTCGAGGATGGCCTTACCCTTCTTGTCCGCCACCTTCTTCAGAAGTCTCTCCAGCGCGACACGGCTCACTTCGTTGGAGAAGCTATCGATGATGCAGCTGGCGGTGAAATCGAGAAGGGCTTCGCTGTACTTCTCCTGGTGCTCGTAGGCGATGGCTCTCCTGTTCAGGGCCTTGACATACTCGCTGTCCATGGCAATGGCGGCGGAGGTGTCTTCGACGACCTTGTCCCACTCGGACAGAACATTGTAGCAGGCGGCACGGTTGGAGTAGAACACGGGGTCCGGCTTGCAGATGATGGCCTTTCCGTACAGCTCGATCGCGTTGTTGTAGTCCTTGGAGCCGTAGGCCTTGTTTCCGGCAGCCTTGAGCTTGTTGGCGTAAGCGTTTCGGGTCTGCAGTCGAAAGACAAATAAATCAGCATCCACCAATGACGCGACAAGAACGGTCAGAGCAGGGTACTACAACGCACCTCCTCCGACAACTGGCCAACAGTTTCCTCATCAACTTCGGGAAGCTCCTCCGAAGGCTCTTCCGCCTTCTTGGCTGACTCTGAAAGGACTGTCAGCCGGGCATGTTCTTTTTTCTTTTTCCTTTTCTTTTTCTTCCTTTCTTTCTTTCTCTGATCGGCGGAAGACGCCAAATGTTAAGGGGCGATAATAACCTACCGTTCTGGGACGAGGCGGCCTTGGCCTTCTGATCCTCCGCCTTCTTCTTCTCTTTCCGCCTCTGGTTCTTGCTCTTCTTCTTCTCCCCGGACGGGGGGGTCTGGCTCGTCTTGGAGTCGGACAGGTAGTACACGACACCGGCGCTGGTTACGACGACGGCAACACCGGCGACGGTGTAGACCAGGGCCTTATTCTCGGACACCCATTTCGAAACACGGTCCCACACCGACGAAGAGGAGGCCGGCGGAAGAGAGGCAGTGTCAATGACCACGTTCTGAGGTGGTTGAGGTAACGGCGATTGGCTTGACATGATGACCCAGCGAAAGGAACCCGTATCCTTCGGTTTCTCCTATTAAATCTACGCGACCGGTCAGCGACGGCGGAGGCGTTAAAAAAAAATTGAACCGATAGGGATGAAAGGGAATTTGAAGATTATCGGATCAAAAGAGTGGAAGAAAGACTTACCGGTCGTGGGTGCGCGGCGCGAACTTGTCGGCAGAAAGGCACAGCTTTTCCTAGAAATAGAGGATTGCGAGGAGTGAGGATGCGGCTTGAAAAGTTATGCGTTGCCTTGTTCATCCATGTTCCGAGCTCTCCCAGTCCGGTCTCGGGCCAATCACACCCGACGTAACAGCTCCGAGTCCTGAGGTGTTTCCCCACACTCTCCGGAGCACGATGACGATGACAAAAAAAAGAGGGAGGAAAGGTACTGAGGACTTACCTTGAATAATCACTTATAAGGTACAAAACAAATTCAATCTTCAGTCTTAGTTCGACAGCTTTTCTTTCCATCTAATGACCTAGGAGAAACATGGCCTAATGACACGTCTACTGAGGCGAACAACACAGGATGAGTAATCTGATGTAATCCTCAGGCATCGAACGCTATGGTTCTCTACTTTTCCACGCGCCATTCAAGCGATTGACCCCTGTTTAATGTTTTGTTATCCGGTTGGCAATATACCCGTTGATGGCAGTATACGGTCTAGCACTATTGAGATCCTACTATCTAAAGCGAGGGGTAGCTGCGAGAAGGACATGTTCGCCAGTTTGGCGTCATCAAAATGCCCAGACACTAATCAGCATCGTACGATACATGTCAAGACAATAACCCAGCAATGATCTTCATTCAGGACTGAAGAATTCAAGGGGCGGTTGCACTATGAAGAATTGGAGCATGGGCTCGGACGTTATCAACCACAGTGGCACCACGATTGGGTGCAGCTCACTGAAGCATGATATGCTCCCACTGGTTCGTGCAGTGCCGGTTGGGATTATAAGCTGCTCAGAACTATATGCACGCTAACCTCTCTCTTCTATAAAGTTTGATATAAATATCACTACATATTATAATAGCCAATTTCCTGCTCCTCTTAGAGTATAGATGAGAACATACATTATCGGTTTGTCCTTCTTTCGGTCGTGCGGAACCTGCTTAGATATGTACACAAGGATCGATTGGAGTCTCCACATACCCACATACCCAGATAACTAAAATATTCAAACGAGTCTGCTAGACTAAGCATCGTCTGCTTTAAGAAAGATACACAAATATCACAAGCAAAGAAACCGGAAAAAGGACACAAGAGAGAGAGAGAGAGAGAAGGAAAGGAAAATGAAAATTCTAAATATCAGAAGCAGCTTTAGTTCTTAGCAGTAACAGGATAACACTCTGATGCTATAGTTGTCAAAAAAAATTGTTGTCGTGAAATTTTCCATTCATGTGGTCGCAAGCAGCCGTTGCCTTTTTGGTGACCGTCTCTGGCAATTCCTTACCGATACATAAGACATGGGCACAGCGAGGCGAATCAATAGTGGTAGGATCGCAGACCATCCGCGCATCGCCAGACTCTAGTATCACGACGTACTATTTGCCTTCTATACAATTTGCATCACATCCTTTGTTGTGCGGCAGTCTTGGCCAGGGGCGTAATTTGCAGCAGCAGACACACCGATAAGTGTGGTCATGGGGAGGAGAAGTTTCATGTTGCTTTTTGTTTGCGCCAAGATAGGGTCAGTGGCTTAGTATAGTTAATAAGAGGCATTGGCCCAGTCAATGGGGCGTCAAAGCTTATTAGAGGTTGAGGTGTAGTTCAATTTTCACAAGTCAGGAAACGAGGTAGAGATGTTTGGGTTAGAAAGAAGCTATTAGACGAGGGAGCGAGACCTCCTCATCTACAATGGAAAACAGTATCTACAATGGAAAACAGTACTCAATGATGATGAAAGCATGTTAGTTGCTTGCTCCTATGTGTGCCTTTTTGGATGCCTCATGTAACTCATCAAGCTGGAATATGTGGAAAAACTGATGAAAACAGTCATAATGTTGATAAATCAACGATCTTGAAGATATGAAGATTTCAAACAGTTGCAAGATCGCAAGAAAAGTTGAACATAGATAGTATGGGAAAAGCTCTGCAAGCTAGCTGACGTGCTGACCGGTTGCAATTCCACACGCCCCCTCAGTCAGCCAAACATGAAGCTATACGAGACATAAAATCTATGAAAACATCATAGACGTGGTGTTTGAAGCCACCACCAGTAGCGCACTGGCCTGTAGGGACGTACAACCTGCAAAACACCGGTCTGTGAGGGTATTATGGCAAATAAAATGATGTTCTTCCCGCACCTTACGGCAAAAGCATTTTGTCTTCCAGGTAAGATTCTCCACCTTGGAGATGTGTTTCTCTTTGTACGACCCATCTGAACATGATAAGCGCATATAAACTGCTCAAGAGGAGTTGGCGGTTTGGATAGACATGGCTTCGATGACCAGGCTGAAGTTAGACATCTTTACAAGAGCCATCTTGGTGAGAAAATGAGTTAAGTCAATGATAGAGTAAGAATAGCTTCAAAAGAGATGTTTGAGGATACCACGGTAGTCGCAAAGAAACTCCAGGCTCATGATTATAACTATGAAGGACCGATGAAAAGTCCAAATAAAATGATAATAATGGTATAAAAAACTGCGAATAGTTGCAAAAGGTTGCAAGAAATATGGGTCAAAACAATACAATTCCACACAATGAACCTCTCTGGTTATGCGAAATAGAATTGGGATTTATCTTATCAGTAAATCAGTAAGGATGGTTGTAGAGTCAGGGCTTTTCTTTACATGGATCGTCCATTGTATATAATCTCACTGTATAATTATGCTGGATTTCCACTACATACATCCCGATGCTGACCTCGGAATCATTTCCTCCTTTGCGTCTCTCTTCAAAAGGTAGTAAGTAATAGTTTCCATTGCTAACATCCAAACGTACCCGTCTTGACAACCAAGCAAGTCACCTACAAGATAGCAGACCAAACCAAAACGAGAACCTACCCCCTCCGTCAAAATCCAATGACGCAGCCATCCCCCCAAATAACCCACCCTCATAGGCCAAAATACACCAGTAGTTCGGGAATCGGGAGGGGCATGCCCAGCCAGCAGACAGCCTAGTCAAGCCTGAGCCAGGCAAACGGCGGCTATTACCTTACCACAGCAGAAGGCTGAACAGCCGAGCTGACCTGACTGGTTGTCACAGTTTGATGATGGGTGACACGCCCTAACCGACAGGGATGGATACCACGCACATGATGAACCGAATGGTATTGAGCTGTTTCCGGCCCGACGATCCTCGACGGGCCAGCTGGACTAATGTCATTCATTCATTGTTGGAGCTTGGGACTGTCAGGACCATGTGTTTGGGCTGTGGCGATTGCTTGCTCTCCGACTGCAGAGATTATCGGAGTTTGTTGTGACGGAGATCCACAGGTTGATCTGATCTGATCTGATCGGGGCAGATCAAACTGATCGTCAATCTGTCATCTGGTGCAACAGATGCTTACTGAGGAAGAGTGGCAATCAAGATACGGGAAAATCAATAAGTAATAGAAAATAGAAAATATTGTCAGCTCGTCACTGTATAGTTAAGACTAGCCACTACGGAGCAGAAATCAAATATATTTTTTGCCTTATGCAAGTGCGGAGTTTGCCTCTACTGGTCTAACGTATCATCAGCATGGATTGGCATTACGCAAGGCGAATCATCATATATAAGGAAGGTTGCAGTTTAGGACTGGAGACTTCACTTAATAAGGCAATTCCAGTTTCAATAGTTCCAGCTCACATGGTTATTTTGTCACTATTCTGATGAAACGACCTACCGGTCGGAACTAAACACAATTACCCTCATTCACGGTAGGTGACTACGGTATAGTGGCCGTACCGGTACCTGGCCTGAATACAAGGTGGGTATCATTGGATACCGGGGTCCTCGGATATTAACCTGCCCACTTTTTTTCTTCAATTCCTTTCTTCCTTTTTTTTCTTGATTTTCCCTTCTATATTTATTTTCCTTCTCACTTCTTGTATGTTGATCTTTCCAAGTACTATCATTATGACCTCGAGTATCATCAAGGTAATGGCGGTTATCATCGCCCCTTGAATGGTAGTACCCGGCTAGAGTAGGCAGGCATCATACATTCCGACCGTCAGCATTCCTGCATCCTGCCCACTAGCGATCCCCCCAGCTCGCTACCGAGTGGAGATACTTTTGATCCTTCCATCTTCTTCTCCTCCCCTTTCGATTCGTAAAGACCAAAGATCCTCTCCGATCTAATGACGTAGGGATGTTCCCAGCGCGCAGATGACCTCATGGTTCGGTCCATGCATGCGTTATCATCCTTGTGTATCACGGTTTCTATCTCAGAACGCCTATCTATCACCCTTTGTATCCTGTAGCATGGACATCGCTATCACACACGGTAGGGGCGGCTGCATGCCGAATTGCCGATACAGACAGACACACCGCACAGGGCAGATTGGGCGTCCTAGCGCGAAAACCAAGAAGATTGATCCGGGACGAACCATAAACTCTCGGAGTCTTTTCCCTGAAATGGATAGATGGATTCGACCACTGCTTCTATTCGGGTGCCACAGTTCTTACCGAGTTAAGCGGCGCAGGAGTACGGACGGGGCCAAACCAGGACAGTAATTAGACACACACCAGCTATCGTAGCTACCTAGTCCGTAGTGATGAGTGAACGGCTTGACCCGACAGCTAGCCAGTTGTGGTGGTAGTCCGGAGATAACCATGCATCGAGAAATCTCATCCTGCTCGTTCATCCTGGCGCTAGTCCAACACTGTAACGGTCAACTGGGCCTCGGATGAAGGACCGGTAACGAGTGCGCCGTTGGATACCCGATGGACCCAGATGGGGCTGACCATGGGCGTCACGACCGAGGAACCAAGCACCGTCGGATCTGTGGCCCAAAGAAGAAAGGGACAAACACAGCCAAGATTGTGAGACTGGGAGACCGCA